TTATTATTATTATTATTATTATTATTATTATTATTAATTCTTATTTTAGTTTTATTATTAAGTTTCTTTTTTATTTTGAGAATCTTAGATTTATTATTACACAGAATCACTCTATTATTATTTTGTTGTTTGTGCTTAATTTTATTATTATTATTATTATTATTATTATGATGATTATTAATCCTAATATTAATCTTTTAGAACATACTATGGCAATTACACAAAGTCATCATTTCTGTTTCTATTTTATCTTCTTTAATTATATTATTTGTTATTGTAATTGTTATCATAATATTAATATTAATTTGTTCTTTTTTGATTCCATGTTTCATTATATGTATTTTTTTAATATCTTTATTAACCTCTATCATTTCTATAATTTTATTATTTTTCATTTTGATCATAATAATCTTCATCTCTATTTCTAATATCTTCTTTATTGTTTCTGTTATTGTAATTCTATGATGAACTTATAAATTATGAGATTGAATACTTGAATTATTTTTGATTATAACCAAATCTTTCATTATTTCTGTTGTTTCTATATTCTGGTTATTTATGGTATTAATCACTTTATTTTCTATTTTTTTTCTAATCTTCATCCTTGTTTGAGTATTTCCTATATTTATTTTGAGATTTTGATTTTTCGTTATCATTTGTAATCCAATCACCATCGCCATCGTCGTTATCGTCTACTTTTTAGAGACATTAGATATCTCTTTCAACTAATTCAAATTAACAATAGTGTCTTTTAGCAATACTATAAACTTCGCTTTCCTAAAAATTTGAATTAGAGTTCATTACTTTAAAATGATACTTTTGTGAAAGTCGATAAATTTCATCTCTTTATTTCTAATCTAAAGTGCCTCTTTTCTATTTCCACTCAACTTCCGCAGGTCTTTAATCTTTAGTCTCACTTTCGCTGTCACTCATTAAAAAAAATATTTATAAAAATTAGTATCAAGAATTCGATTCTATCGTAAGCAAATCATTTATTAATTCTTAATTATCAATTATTCTGAGAAAATCGATAAATGCTAGAAATTCTTAAAATCTGCTATTAATTAACTCGTTAAAAGAAAAAATAATGATAACTTTTTAAATTGCAAAAATATTTTCAAGCGGTTAAAATAAAAAACACACTTTTCATTTGTTAACTATAACAAAAAAATGATAAAAGTTAAAGGAAATTATTGTTGAAGTATATTTAAAATATTAATTAACTATCTTTGTTGAAGAAATAATTGATTTTGCTGTGAATTGCATTCTCAATTTTATCATATTATTATTAATATATAAAAAAATATATTAATTAATTATTTATTAAATCTTAATAAATATATATATATTATTAATTAAATTTATATTATTTCTTTTAATTAAATCCTTGGATAAAATTTAGTGTGTCTCCTTTTTATTCTAAACCAATAAAATATAAATACTTTATTATCAAGGCAATTTTTGCATGATAATTATCATTCCTTACCACTTTTATATTAATTTTAGTGACACGTAATAATTTAGGTTGTTTGGTTCTAAGAGGAGTAGAGTATGATGTAAAATAAATTATAATTGATTTATTATTGGATAGTTTAGAGGAGTGCTTCAAATTTAAGAAACTTTATCACACTTAAAAATCTTACTCAATATTCAAAGTTAAATTTACATATAATTTTGTTCTTAAATGAAGACTCTTCACAATTCGAAGATAGTCTTATTCATTATTTAATATATGATTAATAATTCATACTTTCATTAATCTTCAGCTGTGTAATTTAGAAATAAATATGTACAAGAAGATGAAAAATTCTCCTATTGATAAAACGTTCAAAATGTGTATTGAATCATATATTTAATAAGCTTTTAGTTCACTAGATTCTTTTTAAATGAGCAATTTAAATACAATTGTATTGTTTACATAATTAAATATTAGTATAATAATAAGAATTTGATAAAATCTTAGAGTTGATATTTAGTGAAATGAAGAAATATTTCCATTAATATTAATTTTAAATTATTTTTCAAACTTTGTGCTAAACAACTTTCATGTAAAACCCTTTTAACTTCGCCTAAACTTTATCAAACCAATTAAATAGTAATTAAAATTTTAATGGTTAGGTTTCATGAACATACATCAATAAGTGATATCAGAGCTCTCTAATGAATTAGAAATCAATAATCTTCCTTAAATGACTCAATCAATTACTTTGTAAGAGAATTCAGCTATGATAGAAGAAAAATAGGTACAATTTTTTTATATACTAGTAACAAAACCACCCAACAGTTAAAAAGGGTACCTAGAACGAGGAGAACGCTTAGTAGATTTTAACTCCAAGAAGGATAAGTCATGATTTCAATAGAGAATCTCCCTTCGTCAAAATCAGCGTCTACAAGTAGCACCAAATGTCGAATTAAAAAGTTTACATTCTCCAAGATGATAAGTATTTTAATTTGATTATACAAGAATAATTGGTAGTAACAAGGTCTAGAAGAATGAAATCTCTATAATTCGTCGTAAAAAACAATAACATTAAGGAGATAACAACATAGATTTAGGTAATTATTTATGTTATAACTAATAGGTCTTTCTTCATAGGAAGCACATATTGAGTAAGTCCCTTGCAAAATTTCAACAGAGTTCGGTTTTCGTCATTCAAGTAGAATCACTCCACAAATATTTTGTTTTTTATCATTAAAATATTTCCATACAAGATTTTCAGAATTGCCTTCAAATATCTTCAAACTTATTCACTAATTTATCAAGTAGTTCTTATTATAATTTTAAGAGAAAAGCCAAATTTTTACATTTAGGATTGTGGAACAGCTTTAAAAACTCTAGTCAGGATTTAAAAAGAAAGTCCAAGAATAATGGAAGAAAATAATAGTTATTTAATTGGAGCTGATTTCTATTTTCATGTAGTTCAATTGAATTCGATACCAAAATAATTGGATCATAAGAAAAAGAATCAGGAATCTCCAAATGAGTATTTTTTTTAGACTCTTGTAAGAGAGAATGAAAAATATCGAGCTCGAATTCATGGTTTAACCAAAGAAGAATAGGAAGTCTTTTAAGGTATTTTAATATATTGATTTTAGTATACTTATAAGAGTTTAGAAAACTAAAGAAAAAAGGAAGAAAACAATATTAACTCTTAAATTGTGATAGACCATTTCTTAAAATTCAATTTGATACACCAGTATCTAGACAAATAGCTATTTTTTTTGGAAAGGCTGGATAAGAACAAACTTTTAAAATAGGAAGATCTTAAGATTGTGACATTATTGTCAATATGAATACTATTTCTAGAAAACAAACTTAGATTAAGTTCAATAAGAATTATTGGGAAATCTAAGATGGAGAAGGAACACGATAATCAGCTAATGGAACTTGGCAATCCTTATAACCATATGAGCAATCCTTATTGGATACTAAACCTAAATTAAGTGTACCAATTCTGATTGAAGATAAAATGGAAGTGAAAATATGTGAAAACATTTTTAAATTTGAAATGATTGGATTTGGAGTTTCAAAAAAGTAATAATATTTAAATATCTTTAGACGAAAATTGACTAATACGTTGTACTAAGAATTGACTTAAAATGATTGAAATTCATTTAATGTGATTTTCAAAAATTATATATATATATATATATGTAAATAATATAATAGATAATTATTGTTAATAATTTTTATTATTTGTACAAATATCTTTTATATATATATTACTCATTTATTATAGAATTATAATTATGAGATTAGGATAATTAAAAAGAAAAACGATGAAAATATTTTAATATAAAATTAATCTAATTACGAAGAACACAGTTAAGCCATTCATAAATTATATGAACACACTATAGTATATAAAATAATGAATAATTTGTTTATTATATTATTATATGATAAAGGGAATGATTATCTATCTAATTTTTAAATATTCTTCAATATTTAAAGTAATATTAATGACTTAAATTGTTTAAGGAATATGTTGATTAGAATTCTTTAAGAATCATAAAATGGTGGATTTTAATATTAATTATCATCAATATAAAATTCTATATTTTTATTCACAATAATTTGAAATATTATTAAATTATTCATGGCATAATTAGGAGAAGAATTCAAAGGCAAAGTTGATGAATCTCATAAGGGTGAAAAGGATTCAAAGGAATAGTCTGGCTCTTAGTAGGAGGACAAGAACATCTAATAAAATGAAGAAAAGCCTAGAAACTAAACTTAACCTTTAACACTTTTTAGCGGTTTGAATTCTGGATAGAATTTGTTTAATAATAGTGGAATAAGTTTAAAACCAGGTTAGCTATTTACAGGAAACATCTTGAATTCATCAGCCTAACCATCATCAGAAATATTTTCATCATTGTTTAATAATAATTCCAATTTAGAAATTAAATCTGTAAAACCTTAGCCTGAAATCAGTTAACAAGCATCTAAAGAGAGTGATGGAAGTGATGATGATGGTAAATATTTTAATTATTTTATTATTAGGATAAGATGAGGATAATGAAGATTAATAATACTTATAAATTGAATAAAAGTATGATTATACACCAAATACAGAATAGATTACCAAGGTAAAAATTATTAATTATTTTATAAAGTAAGATATTGAGAAGTTTAGAAAGAATACTAATGAAATTCTTGAGAAAGGAATTGTCACAATTGAAAAAGCAAATAATGGAGAATGTTATTTCTTTGTTTATAGGTATAATATAAAATTAAGAAAAGAAATGAAAAATAAGAAGTCCATTATGCAGGTTAATTGGTTAAAGGACTTTCAGTTACTAAGCCTTTAGGGTAGAAATAGGAAAATCTTCTTCTTAAAGCAATAAGCAAAAAATAAAAGGAGGACTAAAATGAATAATAAGAAGTTGCTGAAAACAAGTAGTTTACAATAGACACACTTAAATTGATGTTCACAAATAAAGAAGGAGCTGAAGCATTTAAGACAGAATTATCAAAGGCATTGTAATGAAAATATGTAAAAATTATGTTGCTTAAAAAATAAATAAAAATCTTATTCTATTTTAATGTAATAAAAACATAAAATAATATCAAAGCTTGGTTTATTCGCATATATGATCTAATTTTTTTGCATGTTCTTGATTATGAATCATTGTTTTGCAATTAATTCCAAACCAACATTGAGATCTATTTTTTAGGTCATCTGGCAATTAATTTTTTATAGCAATTCTATATCTAAACACAATTTACTACCATATTAATCCAAAGCAGTAATTACATACAGCCTTTTATATTAATATCAATATATACTGTATCAGGACTTAATGTCAAATCAATATTTCTAATAGGATTAGCCAGAATTTTATTGCTTTCAATATATCTGAATTATCCTTTATTAATGCAATTCTCTAACATAAATTTAAATATGTCTTATGTAGTAATATTGTTATTTTTCTAATAATCAAGAAAACCTTTTTATTCTATATAGTTTTATCTAAAACATTGAATATCAACAGTTCCAGGAACTTTATGTTCTTACAGTTTATGCATAGGATTTTAATTGCTAATTTAAGAGCAATTTTTATTATAAATTGAACAAAAGAATCTCTCACACAATTCACATCTAAAAATTAGTCTTTTTTCATTTAAATCTATATATTATATAAAATATAGTACCAAATTTAGGCATTTTTGATTAACAATTAGTACAATTAATATGTTATTATCCTCTTTTTTGGCATTGAAACCCATTGATGGCTTTTAAACAAGTAACACAATCTTTTGTAACTGGTCCATCATAATTAGATTAATCTTGTTATTATTATTATTATTATTATTATTATTATTATTATTATTATTATTAAGGTTATCCTCTTCCTCTACCCCTTCCTCTTGAAGGTGGTACATTTTAAACAATTGGAGCTTATGGTGGAGGAGGAGGAGGAGGTGCTGAATTAAAAACTAGTGCATCACCTTTTATCTTATTCTTTTCATCCATTTCCTTATATTCTTCTGGAGGTCTTTTCTTTTCTGGATTCATTAACAAATATTTTTCTACAACATTATTAACCATTGGATTTTTATTAACTTATTAGACCTCTTTTCTGCAAGAAGGACATGTTTTTTATTTAACCATCCAATCTGAGAAACAAGCTCCACAAAAATTATGTAAACAAGGCATAAGAGAAACGCATTAGAAAATAAGATCATCACATATAGGACAATGAATATCATCTTACATATCCTCCATCATTTATAACTTCTTTTATTATTATTCATCTAATTAGGCGGCTACTTTCACTTCTTTGACTTATTAAATTATTAATGTAAATCCAATAATTTCTGAAATAGGTACTTTACTTTTATGCAAAATAAATATTTCATCGCCATTTTTAACAATAATTTCATTGTTTTTACCAATTTTTTAATCGCCAATAAATGTACCATTAGTTGATAAATCTTGAAGTTAAGCTATATTATTTTCAACATCCCATTTTAATTTACAATGTGTCCCAGATAATCGATTGTCAGGAATTATAATTTTGTTTGTTGGCATTCTTCCAATAGTAATCTAAATATATGTTTAGATTCTACTTCACTATCAAAAAGATCTTAAGAGCTAACTTTTGCTCCATTCATTGATATTAATTTACCCCATGGTTAATTTAAAGAAGCAACTGGTGCTTAATCTAAATCTGGAGTTCCTTACATTAGAATTGAATAAGAAATTAAATAATTCAAATAAAAGGGTAGTATATATTATAATATATATTTTTTTGTATCATCTTCTTTTGTTGATAACAACTGCTTATTTTGGAAGTTTGGTTTCTAATGATTCATGTTTTGGTCTCTTGATTGAGATTGGTTTTTTATTTGGAGGAGGATTGTTATTTGCTTTAACACTCTTTTTGATAACAGTAGATTCTTAACTTTTAGTTGAATGAGGTTATATATTTTAAGATTTCTCTTGTAAAACATCTTGATCATAATCATGATGATTTTCAAATTGAGCAGTACCTATTGATTAATATTAAGGATTTTTTTCAAGAAGAGCCAATTATCCAAATTAAGCAGCAATTGATCCAGTAACATAATACTCTTTTATTGATTAAGAAATTGAAGATTTAACAGAATAAGGATGAATTTCCACATTTTATTTTTATAATTTTTTAGGTGATTCTTCAAATTGTTATTTACAATCTTCGTTAGAATTACTTATATCTTGATATTAGAAAGATTCTTTATGGATCTAAACTAATTCTTAATGTTTCTATTCTTCTTAATTTAATTCACATAGAGTCACAACTTATTATTCATTTACTGGTTATGTATTTAATGGTTATTTAGGTTCTTCCTCTGTTAATTATAGTTAAATATCATATAATTGTGCAAAAGAAGTGCTTAATTCTGTCATTGTTGGTCTTGCATTTGGATCTAATTACAACATTTATTTGATAACATTTTTTAGAACATAGCCATTTCTTACACCAAATTCATCAATAGCTTCATTAATAACACCTATTATATAATATTAATATTTACTTTAATTTAAAGTGCATGTTTCTTTATCATAAAATGATTGTACATTACCATTACCCCAAAGTTCTAAGGCAATCAAACCTAATTGATAGACTTCACTTTATTCATGATTATATTGAGGTCTTAGATCCTTTTTTCCAAATGCAGTGACTAATTCTGGAGATAAATACCACAAACCATCATTAGCTAATATGCGTTTATAATGATTATATCCAGTCAATTAAGTACAATTGTTTAACTTTATTTCTCCTTTTGATTTATCAATAAGTATAAAATCAGGTGTAAGATTTCCATGTACTTAATTATGTGTATATAGTTCTCTTAATCCTTCAGATAATGATTTTAGTACAAATAAACAATTTACTGATGCTTATTTAATTATCTCCCTAAGAGTAATATCATAATATTCATATAAGGCAGAAACCTTATAAAAAGTACTACATAAATTGGATTCTTCTTGAGTATCAACTTCAACCAATTTAACAAGTTACTGTATACTATTAAATTGTTGAGTCTCTTTTAAAATCTTGTATAAATTTGTATAGTCTTCTTAATTTTAACATGTCTTTGAAACCATGGCATATAAATTTCCTTGTGATTCTACTATTTTAAATGATCCATAAATATCATTTTCTTTATAACCTAATATTGTGAAGTTCTTTGATTTAATTATTCCCATTGCAACAGATTATTGTGCACCCATATAAATTGAAAAATAAAATATAATAATAATTTATCTGTTAAATAAAAGTATCAGTTAAAAATAATCAAAATTAATATCCATTTTTTTATATTCTCATTTTTATTTTCTCTAATTTTTATTCATTTTCTTATCTATACTATTCCTCTTATTTATGATTATTGTATTCCTTCATATCAAATTTGAAATCACCGATAGATTAGTCCATAATTAATAAAGAACATTATATTTTAACAATTAAATCCCTTAATTACTATGCTTATTTAGGTCTTTCTACCATTAACTTTTTAATATGACTATAAATCTGTTAGTAAAAGTAAATAAAAGAAATATCTCTAATACTTTAATCCAAATTTAGATTTAATAATGGAATTATTTTCTATTAATTTTTTTTATCAAGTTTATCAATTTTAAATTCACAATTTTATAATAAAGTTTATACTTCATTTTTTACAATATTATTTTAATTAAAAAATTCCTCTTTAAATTCTTGATATTTCTAACTTTCTATATATTCTTAAAAATATTAGAATTTATAAATATTATGATTATTTTTTATACTATCTTCTAATTACATTCTTAATTAATACATACGTTTAAATACTATAAATAAAGGCATCATCCATAAATTATTCTTTGCATCCAAAGTAGTTATGCATTTAGCAACAGTCTTTCCAATCATATTTAAACATTCTATATATTCTTTATATTTTTCAGTATATTATTCAAATTCTTTAACTACATCTTCCTCAAATTTGATAACTTTAATGGTTGATTCATTATCTTTTGGAGGTAACTATTTATGTTATGGTAATTTGAAAATTATTTTCTTTTCATGTTAAATAGTACTCTTCTCTTATAATTATTGTAAAGTACTTAATTATTCATTTTCATTTGTAATTTAATTTTCTTAGGAATAAAAATTTTAACTAACACTAGCATTAATCGAAACGAATTTAGATTATGAATCTTCAGGAGTCATTGTTTAAGTATTTAAAAAGAAATTATCATATGAAATGTTTTGGTGAATAGTTTATAATGAATTTTCTGTTTTAAATTATGATCTAATCTGTTAGGTTTATGATTGTGTATTCAAAATTATAGGTGAATGTCTATTTGGATGTTCCATTTTATTATGATTTGGAGTAGATTACATAGATCCTGGTTTGATTAGATTTATATTTGGATGTATTGTTCTTCTGCAACGTACAATCCTCTAATTCTCTTAAGAGTCATCTTCTTATCCATTAATAGATGTTTTCTAATGCTCATATAGAGATCCTAAGTGTCTTTTACTTCTAGATCTAATATTGCTTTGCATCCTTTGAACTGCTAAACTATATGAATTTAGAGTTGAATTTAATTTATATGGCTATTTATAATACACAGCAACTGGAGGAACTTCTTATTTATTAACATCAGATATTAGATAATAACCAAGATTTTCCCAAGAAATTCTTTTATGAATATCTTCTAACATAGGTAATAATATCGAAAATTCATTAAAATTTCTAATGTATTCAATCTACTATTCACAATTCATATATTTTAGTGGTTTGTATTATTGTCTAGATAAAAACAGTTTTAATATTAATAATGCAAGCTAATTTGTTGGAGTTGAGTCTTTTTAGACTTTTTTATTCAAAACTCCAATATCTAGTATTTTTAATTGATCTTAAACTTAAAATAGATTATATAGAGAGAAATCCAACTATTTATTCTATTTCAATAATGAATTATATGCCTTATATAATTCAATAAGAATTCTTCTTACACTTTCTGTCTTTCTCCCTTCCATTAAGTCTTAATCATTTAAATGATATAATTCGCCTATGAAATATAATTCTGTTTTGTTATCTGAAATTTTTACATCTTCTATTAGAACTATTTTTTGATTTGTTACTTCCAATTTAGCACCTAATTCTTTTGTTACTCTCAAACACAACCCTCCACATTATGCAAGAGGCATTAAATCAAGTCTTCTATTTACACTTAAAGAAACCATAGGGATATTTCCATTCCGTGCTTAATGAATTACAATTTGATCTGTTTGATAAATAGTATGAATTATTTAATACATTAATTAATGGGAAGCTCTTAATGCTGTTCTAGTTAATCAGATGAAAAATTTGAGATCATTCTTAAAAAAGATATCACTGATAAGTCCAACAAGAAATCCATTAAGAAATCATCCAAAAAATAATAAGAGTATTCTTACACTCAAATTAAGGGTTCCTGATTCCAACGAGAAACTTATTGTCCATTCCAATAAATAAGATGAGCCAGCCACTCCAGGATTTGCTGATCTAAAATCTTATGGAAGCAAACAATCAGAATAATCTTAAAAACAAATATAATTAGTAGCAGAAATTGAGATGAATCCTGAAGACATTTTAAGAAATAATGACAATCTTTAATAAAGTCCTATCTAATCATAACGCTCTTTAAAGAAAAAAAGAAAAGATGATTCACCAATTTGTGATTTTTAACCTAAGAATTCTCTAAAATCTTTTGATTCCAAAAAATTGACAAAACTCAAATCCTTATCAGAAAATAGAGTTAGATTTGATGATAATAAAGATAATGATAGTTAAAGAAGCAATAGTGCAGACAATAAATCTGTTAAAAGCATTATGAAATAAGAATTAAAATATAGTCAATTTCGAAAAATGTAAACATATGGTGATGTAGAATCAAGAAAGAAAGTCTAATTTTCAATTAATAAATGATAAAACTATAATCATTCTTTTTAAATCTTAAGTTCATATTTTATTTAAACCATTTCTATTTTTAGTTCAAGTCAAATATTAATATAAATAGGCTATTAATCAATTTAATTGATATTAACATTATAAAATCAATTTTCTTTTGAACATTCTAAAAATATTTGACCCTACTTCTCTTTAATTCACTTTCAAATTCTATTAAAATCCTGGATACTAATTATCTATATCCTCAAATTAAATTTTATACATATATTATTAACCATCACTCACTCGTTATATTTAAAAATACAATTTGGTTTTTTAATATATATAATATATTCCTACTAATATCTATGGTTTTTATAATAAAACTCCTCTGAATAATAATTTAAATCTAGACTTATTAATTTATAATGTTCTTAAATTCACATTTAATTTTATTGTTTAACTTTCATTTTAATAAATTTAATGAGGCATCAAAAATTGAAAAGTATTATTTTATTTCATTTCTAAATCCAAAGAATAATTTATTATAATATTTTCTATTGAGATTTCACTCATTTTTATTAAATCAATAATTCTAAATTTATAATCAAAAATATTTTAATTAGATAATTATTTATCAAAATATCCCATCATTAATTCATATAAAGGTAATCTATATTATTATATTTTATCTTATTAATTTAACCATTATAATTATATAACCATATTGATATTTTTAGCTTCATTTATTCTTAAAGGATAATTAATATTAAAATATTCAGATCCATATTTTTGTTTTTATTCAATAAATGTTTTAAAAAGAATAGCCTCTTTTGTTTTTTCAATTGATTTAATCTCATATAATAAAACCTCTTATAAAATTGATTCCACTTATATATTTTCAATTTTTAATATTAATTTCATCTCCTAATTTATAGAAAATGTAAAACTTTTGATTAAATTTCTCCATTATTTTTCTCTTTTTTTTATTTAAATTGTATTTCCATAATCTGTAATTATCTCCATACTCATATCACTTAGTGTATTTATTTAATTAAAATGAAGTGTGCTTGTAAATCTTCTGCAAGTTTGTGGAATATAAATTTATATATAATAAGTTTTAATATCTTAAATTTCTTATATAATTATGATACTTGGAATTTTGTTTTAATTTTAAGTTGATTTTTAATGAATCTAATATTTATTTATAAAATTAAATGGTAATTTAATAAACTATATTGTAGTGCATATTAATTTAAAACATTTTATTTGTTAATGGAAAAATTACAATTTTTATGGATATGGAGTTACATCAAGATTATCATAATTATAATTAACAACCCAAGGTAATTTATTTATGAATTTTTAAGTCTTACCCTATTTGATATTTTTAATCATTATTGTTGGACGCCTAGAATTAGCAAATCTCTCATATTGAACATATTTACACATTAATTATTAAACATCATTAAATAAGTTTTAAATAACATTATGGTCATTTAAATCATAAGATTTCTTTAAAGTATTTTACAAATCTTCTAGAGTTAAAACTAATTTATACATTTTGGTTTTCATATTATATTTCTAAAATAGGTTAACTTTAATAAATATATATCTTTTTTTATTTTATTTTAGTACATTAAGAGGTTTATTGAAAAATAGTATGATTTCGAATAAACAATCTCCTAATTGTAATATTTTACTATGAGATAATTATTTATATTAATTAAATAAAGATTCCCAAAATTTTTATGATTGATCACTTCTAATTAATTCATAATTCAATAAATTTATGAAAGCATAAAATTGCTGATTGGTAAATTATTCTAGTTAAAAATATGACTAAAGCATATTAAGATTGGTAACATAATTTTCTTTTAACAATTTTACTTTCTACAATAATTTTTTCCCATTTAAACTTAAGGTTTTACAGATCATTTAGTTTAAAAAATAGCTTCTTAATTTGCTTAAGATAGCATTCAGCAATTTTTCTTAATTTGTTATTTGGATATGTTACCATATTTTTCTTTGAAATGGTCTCCAAATCTTCAATTTTTCATTAGTCCAAATATAATATGTAGAATTATGTCTAAATATTTATTATTTCTGATATATATTCACAATAGTATTATATTATTGTAATATTTTTAATTCTTAATAATTTGGTAATTATACTGTCTATTCCTCAGATTCTCCATCATAATCTAATCCTATGAATTTTGGAATTTATGTAATTGGATCCAATTTACTTGGATCTGTTAATTATAAAAATGCCTTGTATTTATTATCTCTTCTCTATTAATTTTAATTATTAGTTTCTCTATCCTTTAATAATTCTTAATATAAATTTTATAATCCTAAACTTTAAATGTAACTCATATCAATTTTATCTCTTAAATATATTTTTTCAATTGCCTCCATTCTTTGTATTTCTAAAGTTCTTCTCTAAATTTTTTTAAATTGAAATTCTTTTTTTTTTTCTTCATAATATTCAAATTTTAATTTTGAATCCTTAATATGTGCAAATTAACTCAAATATTATAAAACTGATATCTTTTATAATTTACTTAATCCAAATTATTAAACATACATTGATAATTCAAAATCTGAAACAAACCATTTGATAAATTCTTTAAATGTTAATGTAGCTGAGTCTTTCCAAACATTATTAAAAGGAAATATTAATTAAAATGTAATTTAAATCTTTACTAAATCTTTTATTTTTAATACTTATTAATTAAATAATTCAATATTCTATTTTAAAATTTAACTAACACTTACAATAAAATATTATTTATCAATTTTTAAAATTCCAATTAAAAGAATTTCACATTATTAAAAAGGATTGTTGTAAATAGATTTAAAAATTTATTTTTCATATTTATTTTAATTCCAAAAATATTCAACATCAAAATTTTATATTTTTATATCTCTGTTTTATTTCCATAAAGGTGATACTGTAAAATAATCACATTTTTTGAATATAGTTTTAATTTTACAATTTAATTCATCTTCTTCTTCTTCAGGTGCAATATCTAGTATTTTTAAAGCATCAGTTTCTAATATTTCATTTCCAATTAAATTTATTTATGTGTCTAAAAGATTATGACCTGAATTGAATAATTATTATTAAGATGAAGAAACATTTGCAATATTTCTTCTCTGAAAAGAAGTTAAAGGTGGTTGAAAACTTAATGAAGCACTTTGAGATACAGATGGAAATTATAAATCATTATCTTTAGATTCATTATTTAATGAGAGTATTGACTTTTAAGATCTACTTGAAGATGATTCTTCAACTAATTAAACAGATGTTTAAGGACGTCTCAAAATTTTTCTGTGTTTTGATTCAGGTAATAGTAATTTGTTGTTTTTTGTTTAAGAAGCAGTGGGAGTAAAGGTAGATTAATTTCTTTAGGGGTATTATAATTTAGATGGAGATAACCGGCAACTAAAACGTTTAATATCCTAATATTAGGGAGACAATAAATTATCTTAAATATTCAAAACCTTCATTTAAAATTAATTTATTTCAGGAACTCTAATAGAAACATCAAGCATTTACAAATATGATATTTCAGGTTCTTCAGGTAATATTAATTTATTTGCTGTTTTATTCTCCTAAAGCGATTCTATAATAGGATTTGTTTTTATAGTATAGATTGTATTACCATTCCAAATCTTTTATTCTTATTTTTAAAAACTTGATTCGATTGAATCTTTGAGGTTTAGATCAGTTTAACTTATTCTCATATTAATCTTCAAACTACAATCTTCTGTTTAGAAATTTTAAGGTTTAAAATAATACTACCTTTTTTCTTATCTTTACTTTTGATAATATGATTATAACAATTTTCTGTTTAATTTTACTTAAATTTGATTAGTATAATATAATTTTTTACCATTAATTTATTTTTTCTCACAAATATTAACCATTATAATAGAAAATAATTAGACAATAGAAGTCAAGATTTCATCAAAATTATCACCCATATAAATTAGGATATAAGAAGTAGAAGGCATTTTAGTAAAATTTAGCTCTATAAATTCTTCTAATTAATATTAACAAAATAATAGACCTTCAAATTAGCTTTAAGAATTCCAATGTTCTGATATAAATTAGATTGGTAAAAATATTTAATAAGATCTAATTGATTTTTCAATTGTAAAGCTGAAAAGTAATTAATCATTTTTAATTAATCTTGACTTGAAACTTATGAATCTTAAAATTTAATCAGATTAATCTGAACAGAAAAAATTACAATCTCCTTATACTTTATATTCATATCCAGAATTTAGATTTTCAAGTGTTTGCTGAAACTAATATTCATATGATTTTTCTCTATATTTAATATAATTACAAAATTACTTAAAATTTATTTCGCTTTCAGATTTTATATTCATTAAATTACTACTTGCTTGGCTATAAAAAGAATAATCTTTTTATTTTTAAAATATTTTTGGTTATAAATATGCTTCTTTTTTATGAATAAATTTTAATGATTCTACTGATGAAGTATTACTACGTTTAATTAAATTTCTAAAAATCTAAGGTTTTATTATTGTCTCTGAAACTTTTTCTGTTATCTTTTCCTCATTACTTTATTATAAGGCTTTATTTATCTAAATTTAATCATCTCTTAATTTTATTGTATTAATTTTCTATTTAAAGTATTTTTAGATTCTTATAATTTTATCCAAATTTTACTCAAAATAATCAACTTAATTTTACTATGTAATAAGTTCACCTGCAAAATTATAATAAAATTCTATATACCTAAAATATTTATAGATTTTTGAGAAGTAAGTTAATGAAAGACATCTTAAACTTAATTAGATTTTTTGGTACTCAATTCAGTAGCTAAAATTTATTAATTTTTTTTTGTATTGTTAAATTCTTATGTATTCATTTATTTAAGTATCTTTTTTAAAGGATCATTTTTACATTAAATACTTTATGATGAACTTTTACCTTTACTAGATTTGAGTTAGTAATTCTAAATAGTTTAAGAATTCTTCATTTAATTTTACTAATTTACACCAATTTTTGGTCTCTAAATCATTAAATTAAATAATTAAGCATTTTAATTAATTTTACCATTTTTATTATCTAAAAATTCTTAAGTTTTATTTGATTAATTATTTTAACTGGTTTTATTTATACTTCCTGATAAAATTGGTTTATCTTGATTTTTTCCAAGTATTGTTTGAAATTATGTGGTATCTGTTTTATTTCTTCCTCTAAAAGTAAGAATTAAATTTACTCTAAGTTATTGCAATTAAGAAAATAGTAAAACTGATTTTCCCCTTGACTTATTGTTCTTGAATTAATTTTGGATTTAGTTGTTTAATCATTTAATTTTTTAAAATCGTCAAGACTCTTTCTAGATTGATGACTAATTTATATAGATAATTTTGATTATGAATTATTTCTATTTATTTCATAAAATGAAGCTCTTCTTTATTAATGTTTAGAACAAGAAGATCTAATTTATTTTTTAAATGTTGTATTATCTTATAGACATTATTTCATTTTATCAGTAATTAGATGTTTGGATGAATCTTATTTAGAAATTGGTTTATAAAATTCTATTTTACTATGTTCTTCTATTTCTTGTTCGAATAAAATTTATTACTTTATTTATTACATTTAAAGAAGAGTTTAAGTAGTTTTTTAATTTTCATCCCCAAGGTAAATTTTTGAATACTTGTATATCTCTCCATATAATTAAAGTTGCTAATTAATATTATTTACAGTTGATAACTGAAATTCTAACATTTATATTAACATATTAATTTGTTTCTTTGTATGATTTCTATTTATTTAACTCTTTATCAATAATATACATTCATTAGCAGCATAATATTTTCTTTCTTTATTTTTTAGTTTATCCCAAAATATTGCAAGAAAATAATATAATTCTTAGAGATCTATTTAGTTTGCCTATTCAAGACTCTTATTACTTTATTTAATTATCATTTCAAGCTCTATCAAAATATTTAATCCTTACTAAAGCTGACCATTGATATCTAAACATTTACTTAATTTTATAGCAATTATTATCATTAACTTCCAATATTAATCAGAAATATGGGAAGTTACAGATATGCTTTATGGAAGTAGTTTTTTATAAACTTTGAATGTAATCTTGAATATTTACCTTTATTTAGAATATCAATCTATTATTCACTTTATTATGAATCAGCATAAGAACTTGCTACCTTACCATACAAAAGTAATAACCTTTAACTTTCTTAATGTTAGAAACCATAGCGCATAATTTATAGTTCAAGCTATTTCTCAAGTTAAAGAATTAGAATCAAATTGCTTTTAGACATTTAATTGTAAATAAATTAATCAATTTGAATAAAATTAATAAACAAAAATACATAAAGTTATTAAATATTAATTTTTCAATATGTATCCCTAATGTTTAATAGAAGAATATATTCTTATTATATATCAAAACTGTTCATTTATATTTTTAATATAATTATATTATTTTTAATTAATCGAACAAATATAAAAAAGAATAATAATGAATTAATGATCCTAATTTACATATTAAAAATGGTTGATTTATTATTTTAGGTGATTAAAAATAAAAAATTGTCTTTAAAATATCAAATTAATTAACATAAAATCTATTTTCAATTTAAATATTACTATTAATATTTAAGACTTTTTCTTTTAAATCTTTTTAATAAAATTTCATCCTTGTTATACTATTATTTATTTTATTAATTATGTATGTAGTATTACATATTTTCATTATAATTTACAATTTTTATAGGTTAAAATTCTATCCATTAATTTTATCAATTAACAAATGCTGAATAAATTATTAATAATTTTATATCCAAGTTTTAAAAGAATTCATGTTTATACATAAATAAATTAGAGTGTATTTATAAAAATATCATTTGTAAATAATACAAATAATGATGATTAAAATAATAAATTTGATATGAATTGATTATCTCTAAAATATTGTAATTAATATATAATTATATGAGTTTAATTTTAAAGAATAACATAGTTTTTCCAATTTTTAAACATCAAGAAACTCTTACTTACCAAAATAGGTAAAAGTCAACTCACATCACTTAAAGAGTTGATACTTCTTCTCCAATTAATCGTTTAGCCTCTCCATAAAACAGGACTATACATTTAAGTCCTTAAAGAGAATAGATTTTAAAAATTAGTCCTAGAAATAAATAAAATAGTTTTATTACTCCAAAACCTATTAGAAATGAAGAAAATCATAGTCTATAATGTTATTTAAATCATTTAAATTCTATGAGTGCATTAAAATCACCAAGAAGTATATTTTTATTAATATAATGAGAAGCGATTCCATAATCAACAGATAACAGAATGATATTACAAAGAGGAAAATCAATAAAAGAATAAACAAATAAAAAGAAGAAAATAAGTTTATTAGAAACAGTTCATAATCCAAATGCTTATTAATATAAAAAGTTTACTGAGTAGCTATACAATTTAATTCACAACCTTCATTAATTAAAAGTAATAACTTTTAACATTCTTAGGATTATTTGAATAATTAAAGAAAGCTTTTTTAGGTTGTTAAAAATTTGATTGGTATTAAAAAAAATCTTTATAGAATATTAATTAAACCATAAACAGAGGAATTGCATGATTTTTCAGAGATATCTCGATTATGTTGCATTAAAGATGTATAATTTGTAAATGGAGAATAAAGAGTAATAGAGAAATTTGATTTATCATTAATGGATGATTTAATATATATGAGTGAGTCAATTAAACAATTATTGTTATAAAATCAATTGAAAGCTATTAATAGAATGAGTGACAATGTATTTTATATTAAATAATAATAAGATTAGAGTTGAACAAACTGAAATCAGTAAATTGAAAGGATAACTTGGAATTCGTGAATAGAATCATTCCTTATCAATTGAATCATTAGCAATGAAAAAATTCTAACCACATTTAGAATTAAAATGTATAGAATAAAAATTAGGTTAACTAAATTATATTCCTAAATAAGTAAGAGAGACTTCTGAATTGCTTTGTGATATTGTAGACAAATTGAATGGATGAATACTATTAATATATTTATTTATAATTAAAATATTAATCAAATATTATGCCACCTAAACCTTGGGAAACTTAATAAAGTAATCACTTAAATTAATCTAATAGGAGTTCAAAAAGCAACAGCAATAACTTAAGAATTATAATAGAACCAAACAATAAACAAATCTTCTGATTTACAGATTTAAGATACTGGTATTGGAGAAATGACTCAAGAATAAGCTGCATAAGTTTCTGCTTTGGCAGCCAATTAAGGAACAAATAACTAGACATCGTAATAAATTAGAAATATTTTCTTTAGTTCATTAAATAATAATTTAAACTCAACTACAGGACTTGGTTATGGAGGTCTAAATAGTTATGGAGGATATGGAGGAATGGGAGGAGGATATAGTAGTATGGGAGGATATGGAGGATATGGTAGTGGATATGGAGGAATGGGTATGGGAATGGGAATGGGCATGGGTTATGGTATGGGAGGTTATGGTGAGTAAATATATTTAAATTAGGAATGAATAGATTTGGAATGGGAATGGGAATGGGAGCAGGAATGTAATAAGGTAGTAAAATGATGCAGGCATTGGAATATTTGGATAGTGTTGGTTTTGTTGTTAATAGCCTTTGTGAAATAGCTAGGATGATAGAAATGAATACACAAGGATTATATAATTTAGGGTAATAATAATAATATATATATATTTATAGAATTAGTGGATTATCATTATTAGGAAAATTATATACAGGAAATAAATGGTTGTGGCATGTTATTATTAATTTTATCAAGAAAATTTATTATTAAATAAAGACAAGATTATTATTTGAAAATGAAACATCAAATTAGATAAATTAAAAGTATAAAAAACTATTGATTATTGGAATCATTGTATCAACAATATTATTAATAACTTTTATTTATCCAAAAATGATTAGCAACAAATCTTAGACTCATATACTAGATGAAGTATTTAATTAATAAAAAATATGAATAAATAACATATTTATATATATATTCTACAATTATGTAAATAACATTACTTTAATATATCTTTCTTTTTTATGTCAAGAAATTCTATTAAATAATCTTTTTATTTTAAGAAACAATTTAATTCTTAAAATTCATACAATTAAATAATTATTTTTGAAGTTTGTTATTAATAATTATTATTGTTTTTTATTTTAAAACTATTATGTATGAATACTTTGAATTTTAATATTATTATTATAAATATATATATAAGAAGAAAAATAGAATAATCATATTTTTTAAATTAATTTTATTATTTATAATCACATGACCTTCCAAGATTTTAAGTCAAAACTATTTTTGAATATAAACTATATTTTTACAATTGCAATTTCATTAATTTATCTTTGATAACTGTAAAGTAAATCAATCCATATAACCATCCTAAAAGCACTACCGTTTTATAAGGAAGTAAATGTAATAAAAATAATGAAACACTTGCTGAAAACTAAGTTCCAAACAAATAACTGCTAAATAATAAAGTAGCATAGGTTCCTCCAATTGCAGGATCAGCAATTCTCAAAAAAAATCCTGACAATGTACAGGAAATAAATGAATTATTGAATTCATATAAATATTATAGTACAAACTAACTTAGATTATATATATTACATAAAGAGTTTGAGTAAAATTGTTATAACCTCCCATTTTAATGAAGCTAATGACATAAACAAAATGAGCACCCATTACTAAAAACATAAGATAATAAGCATTTAAGACCCAAGTCATTTCTCTGCCTCTTTATAAGTATTTAGCAACTAATAAAGAACTCAATATCCAAGATGTAGTGCATAATGCTTCAATAGTTGCATATTCAGATTATGGAAAACCCATTTAAATTAAATTTAATGAAGTCGAAGCTATTACAGGTGCAAATGCAAATCTTCTTGTTAATAAAAAGAGTAATAAAAATCTTAAATTTGAATTATTTAACAATGAAAATGATAATTTTAAAACTTATGTAAAATTAGACTTTTCTTCTTCTACATGATATTCAGTAACAAAACATTAAGTTATAATAGCTATAAATAAAATTAATGATCCAAGAATATATGTGTATGAGTTTAATGATATGATAGGTTAGTCTAAACCTAAATATTAATGACAAAAGTAAGATGATGTGATATTCATCAAAATAGCATAACTAAATACATACCCTAATGACAATCCAACCATTTAACAAGTTGCTCCCAAATGTACATAATGTTTTGAAAAGGATGTTAGAACCCAACCATTAGTTGCTATTGTTGCACATGCTTATAAGACTGTAAGTAATATGGTTAATCCAAACAAAGGATACAAATTAAGGTTTTCAATCCATAATGAATATCCACTGTATGCCAAAGTTAAAAATGTAAAACCAAGCATATATAAGGATGGTATCACATAAGTCTTCCTCTTTCCAAATTTGCTTATATAGAAACTATCAACAAAGGGAGCCAAGATTAATTTGAAAGATAATGGATAAAGACTAGTAACCCAAAAAGCTAGAATATAATTCATTTCCTTTACCCATCTAGCCTGATGAAATGCCACTACCCTATAAAAGGAGAGTCAAAGAGGCATAAAATCCAGCCGGTATTCCAATAACAAAATACAACATAGTGAATCTTATAATGGCTTTTAGTTCTGAATTAGAAATTTCAGGTTTCATTTTCTCAGAGATTTGCTCTTCTATTGATAGTTCTTATGGATCTTCAATTTAGAACTCATTCATTTCTATTTCTTCTTTTGCATGCATTTTAAAAATTAATATAATAATATTTCATATAAGTTATAATAATATATCTTGTCAGGTAACACTTATAATATAATATATGATGAAGTAATAATAACAATTATAGTGATATATCAATACTTCATTTAAATATTTAAATAACGAATAATAAAATTATTTTACAATTATTACAACACTAGTAGTCTTATCAATTTAAAATCTAAAGTCATAAACTATTGTAGAACTTAAATATTTTGAATATGATAGTGAAAAAACAATAATTTAAAAAGATTATCAATTATATTATTATATAATAATAGATTATTATATATTAAAAATTTTAATGTATACATCATTCAATACATTAAGAACAACAACACCTTTACATACATAAACAACACATATCACTATATCTTTCTTCATAATAATTGTAGTCCAAAAAGAAAACACCTGAGAGAATAAGAGCTTTTTCATCTTAAGATGATAATTTTGGAAATTGTACTACATATTCCGATTCTACATTCAACATACATTCATAACAACATCCCTTTTTTTGGCCAATCTTCTTTATTTCAGCTATTTTCTAAATATATTATTTATTACTTTATTGAACTTATTAAGGATGTCAAACGAAATTGTTTTACAAAAACCACAAGGTAAATAACAGTATGTTTAGAATTAATTCCAAATACCTTTTATATTAAATAACAAATTATTATTTGCATCAAATATTTCAACTGTTTTTTAAATTGAAAATAAAGAGGATCTAACATATCCAATTGTACTTCCAGATGATCCTTACACCTTAATATCAGGTCTTATATAATTAAATTTATATTACCTATTCAGGCATAAACAAGTACACTTATAATTCCTGTTAAGAGTAAACAGTAATTTTTGGTTAGTTGAACTTAGATTTTGTTTAACCTCCATGTTGAATGATCTACAAGAACTAGGTAATGTTATTCTTTCATGACATTCGGTTTCTGCATTAGCTTTAAAATATGGCTTAGATTTTTTCTATTCAATATCTGTGTTTAAATTGTCCATTGCATAAATAAAGTAAAAATTTTGATTGTCACAATTAGATGAAGTTGTGAAAACATCAAATCTTTGAGCTACATACACAAAGTCGATCTTTGAAAATGCATCGTTTTCAACACTATCAATGTTAATCTAAAATTATATTCATAACTACTTAAATGTTCGAATCTAATGACAAATTGCAATCATTTTAAGTATTTTTCTTTGAATTCATAGATCCAAATTAAAAAATAATATATGTTAATTTAATGTAATAGTTGTCTTTATAATAATTAATCTACCTTTGAAATTGTAATCCACCTTCCTAAAATAATACAAATTATTTAAACTTTCTATTTATTCTAGTACTAAAAACTCTATATTCTTTTTATTAATTGTAATATTTATAGGAAAAAAAAGATTTAATACTAAAAAATAGTTATTACAAATAATTCTTTTCTATCACATAAATTTTTTTATTACATCTTTTAGATATGAAGAACTTCTTTTATTTATTTTTATTTATCTATTAAAAAAACCGAAACATCCAAATAAAAAATGTAGATAATAATCAAAAAGTTAAGAAATTAAATAATTGATTTGGAAAATTCCTAATATTTAAAAGAACTACCAGAAAAATGAATTAATCAAAAATTTTGAACTTGAAAATTAAAAAGTTGAGAATCGAAAACATTATAATTTACTAGTTTACTTTTGATCAAGATATTAAATATTTAATTATAAATATATAAGTCATCATAATTGTAATATATATCTATTTTATTAAACTTCTAAATTAAGTGGAGTTTTCATCATATAATTTTTATTCAGACTATGGAATCTTTAAAATATATATTGTTTTATTATTATTAATATTTAAGATTCATTTTGAAAATCTACATCAAATTCACCATCATTCATTAATTATTCTTTTATTTTTTTTTTATCAGAATATCTACAAACTCAACTAACTACGTAATTTCAGTAAATGTATTTTTGTGATTTTTGATCTTGTTTATATAGTTTGTGTTTCAGTTTATTAAGTGGAAAATCCTGAATAATTATTAACAATATCAATTTTATTAGTAGATTGTAATTTTTTTGTTTCTATTTTTTTGAATAATAATTAAGGTGGCTAAGCTTTTTAATCTTTAAGTTTTTGATTTGAATTTAAAGATTATAAAATTATTTGTTAAAAAAAATGATGTATTTGCAATCAATTTAATCTGAACTAGAATATAATCTATAATTAAATAGATAACTAATAATAGATTAATATCATAATTCTATTCACAACAGAATTGAACTTCTATTAAAGTTACTTACTTAGAAAACCAATATACATATCAAATCAATTAAAATAAAAGTATTTTTATAGAAAATTAAATAAAATTTTATGATTTCCTTTAGTTTATAATAAGTATTTTATTTATTATATAATTCACTCTAATCAATTTTCATAATAATTTATTAAATCATAATAGTATGTCTAATTTAATACAATCTAAATTTCTATTATTACATTTATTTATTTCGTAGTATTAGTTTTGAATTAGAATGTTTATAGTTGTGATAATCAATTAATATTAATAATGATTGTTTTATAATTTCATTAGATTAATTAAATTTATATATGATAAAACTATTAGAAATTATAATACATATTTGTTAATTAAAATACAACATCAAAAAATTGATGATGAAAATATAAACGTTTTGATATGAGAATATTTTATGATTATTATTATTAGAAATAAGTAAATATGAATCAAAATAATTATAATGGAAATTGTATTAGAAATGAATTCAATTATTAAATTAACAATTTTAATTTTACTTTAATAGGAAAAGAGAAATGATAAATAAATGGTATTCCAAAAAATTATAATATGTCTTGATTATTAACAATAATATTTTTATATATTGAATGGGAATAGTTTGCTGTAAAAATTAAGACGTTGCAAGGCTCAATATTTAACCTATGATTCCATTGATTCCAACTGAAGAAGCTTCTTTAGATGAAACAAAAATTGTGAAAATATAAACCAGTGTCAGACGTAATAAATGTTTTATTTTCAAGGTTACCTTGCAAAAACAAAAACATAATAAAAATAAAAATCAGAGGCTTCTGTAACAACTGTTGTTTAAGTCTAATCTCATGCAAATGAATAAATAATTTCAATAATTGATACAATACCTAAAGATGCACAAAAAGTAGAATGGCCTTAAATATTGCTGTAAGCTGTGCAAAACAAATTAAAAGAGTTATCACCACTTGTATAATTGACATTTTAATGCTATCTATTGGATGATGGTTGTTATTATCAAGGACCTTTTATGAATTATTAAAAAGAAGGGTTTGGAAGATAAATTGATTAGGATGGTTCGTTATATGAAGGAACATTTAAGAAAAATGTAAAATAAGGGAAGGGAAGGTAGATTAGTTGTGATGGAAGTGTGTAATTAATATAAATTTATGTAGATATGAAGGAAGTTTTGATGATAATGAATATGATGGATATGGTGAATTTTAAGATTCTTATGGGTTTATTTATAAGGGAGAATGGAAATAATCATTATTTCATGGAGAAGGTCATGAAATAAATGAGTAATTTTAATACAAAGGAGCATATAAATAAGGACATAGGACTGGATATGGAGAGATTATATATGTTGATGGAAATAAGTATATGGGAGAATTTTAGAAAAACAGATTTGAAGGTTTTGGGATTTTTATTTATGCAGATGGAAGAAAAGTAATGAATATTGATCTTAGGATTTAGTATGAAGGTAGTTGGATGAATAATTAGATGCATGGCAAAGGTACTTTTTCTTGGACTAATGGACGAAAATATACAGGAAATGTATTTAGAACTATTAAATAATTTAGTATCATTTAGATCAGAAAGAAGGTTTTGGTGAATTTATTTTTGAGAATGGAAGTAGTTATAGAGGAATGTGGAAATAAGGTAAATAGCATGGACATGGTGTGATGGTTTCAGAGTTAGGAGATCAAAGAGAAGGAGAATGGGTTGAAGGAAGAAGAATAAAATGGAGATGACTATTACTTTGATTGATTTTAATTAGACTCTTTTTTGGTAATATTTATTATTACAAATATACTTATCAAATCATTATACTATCTTTTTTGAGTATTTTTTATAAAAGTGCTAATTTTCTATGATTTTTATTACTACCTAACATAATACTTTTTTGCATTATTTTAGGAGATTTTAATGTGATTTATTTTTATTATTATTCCATAAGTTAATTAACAATTTCATAAATATTGCCTTCCTTAAAATAATTACTAAAAACTTATGTTTTGTCAATATCAAAATTAACTTCTACATTACAATTTTAAATTTAATAACCTAATTAAGGATGTAAACTAGAAGGTTATTCACTTTTATGTTAAGATGAACCTTATTAACTTTCAAAATTATCATTCTAATTAAGATAGATATTATTATTAGTAGTTAGAATATTATTTAAATTGCTACTAATTTAACTTTAAAAGTTACTACTTCCATCATTTCTTTTCATAAAATTCATTTTTGAATCTATTTTATTAGTACTAAATAAGATTTTTGGTTATGATTATTTAATACGAGATAATTCTTTTGTTTATCTTCTGGGTCTTTAAAGAGTATTAGAGTTTTATCTATTAAGTTAATCAGGTGATTAGAATTTTAAATTTAAGAAACTATCATTCTCAGGAGTAGGTGCAAATACAATAGATCTATTTTTATAAGTAGCTACAACTTTTGGAGCTTATAAATATGAATGATTTGAATCATCTTCATTTTCTATAACTTTAAATGTGCTTTATATTTTCTTTTCTATTAATTCATCAAGATAGACTGCACTACCACGTAAAATAGAATCATTTCTATTAAATCCTAAATCAACCAGATGTTGTAAAGTTAGATCACTAATTATAAATATTAATATTCTACTTTGTTTCAGAATCCTAGATAAAATCTAATGCTGCTTATCTTAAATTATTCAATCTTTAAAATGTTCTTGATTTCTCTAATTTTCTTAATCTTTATTTATCATCTCTATATTGTTCTTTATTATTTAATGCTTATGATAATACTTTTTCTCTATCTGCTATAAAAAATAGAAATGGACATTTATTAAAATAATGAATCCATCCACATATAAAACATTTATTACCTCTTGATTTTTTAGAATATTATAATTTATCTTTGATTTAGTTAAATTTTTCAAAATCCTCTTTGTTTTCTCTCAAGACTTTTGTAAAATCATTTCGATGAATAGCCAATAATTTAGTAAATTTAACAGCTTTCACTGAATATAGATATGGATTTTGTAACACAAATTCCCATTACCCAATTACATCATCCTTTTTTAAACAATTACATATGCTAACATCTCTACTATTACCTAAAGTTATATAAATATCTAATTCCCCTTCCAATACATAATATAATTTCTCACAACTTGATTTCTAATTTAAAATTTTAGATTCTGGAGCATAACTTTCTATTTTTACATATTAACATAGTTTTTCTATTGTACTTTAAGAACAATAATCTTTAATAAACTTTGCTTTAATCAAATACTTTTTATATAAATCTATTTGCATCTACTCTCTTAATTGTCTTGACAATTAATTTATCATTTATTATCCTTCATTATTATTTTCTATTTGAGATTTAAGATGATATTCAAAGTATTTTCTTATCTATAATGATAAATTCTTATTTATTTTATAATCCTTTAGATATTGTAATATACTTTTCATCTATTATTTAAACTTCACATCCCTTTCATTTAGATTCTTAAATATCTCACCAATATTATTAATTGTGTACCCTAAAACACTGCATCCAGTAAAAGCAATAAAAATTGTAAATAAAGCCTCTGACACAGTACAAGGAAGAATATCACCATAGCCAATTGTTAAAGTTGTAACAACTATAAAGTAAAGAGAAAAAAAATATTACTCTTACCAAGTAGCATTATTTAATTCCTTTACTATTAACCAACTATTTGTATTATTTTTAATTCCCAATTCACCTATTTTATACCATATACATGCAAAAAAATGACAAGTATATACAATAAAAAACACTGATTTAATTAATTCCCACCATCCTTATATTTATTACTTAAAACAAAGTATTTCTTCTATTGTTGCTAGTGTTAACTTTAATTTTATTATTCTGAATATAGTCAAATATTATATTATTAGACTATCTGTAAATATAGGAATAATACTTAAAATATCTACTATTAAATCATTTTTCAAATAATGCTTGGCTATTTTAAATATATCCTTATACAAAATTCCTAGAATATTATCATTAAAAACCTTCATCATAAAATGATGTGATGAATCTTAAACTACAATCTAACATACAAAAAACTATTGGTATCGTATCAAGTAGATGATGAATATCAGTCTTATTAAAATCTTACTCATTTAAAAATAATAAAAGAGGAATATAAGTAATATTGACTATCAACAATATAAATAATACAATCTTAAATCCAAGTAATATAATATTATCTGGATTAAAAATAGGTATCTTATTTAATATAGTATCAAATTGTAAAAAATTAGAATCTAGCTTTTATCTTTGATTTTAATGAAAGTATAGATTTCTTAAATAAATAAATAACTTAGTATTAGATGCCTAATCTCCTAGTAATTATAAAATATTTTCATTTATCATTTTATACTAAAAAGTTTATGAATGAATTTTTAATTATCGAATGAATTTTGAGACTAGACGAATTAAATTCAAACCATTTTTCAAATAGTTCTTATTAGTATTTTTTAATACAGCTATCTCGTCTAAGGGTGATGCAACCACTCTAGATGATGCTTAACCAAAAATATAAAAACCTTCCTGTACTTCTGTTTTATTTTTATTCTTTTCACTTTCCTTACGATCCTCATATATAATGATTAAATGTATACTAAAAAGCTAATTCCTAAACTTGGTTCATAATTCTCTTCAACCATTGATAAATTATCTTTTTTAAATTAAATCAAATTAGTGCTGTACTCTTTAAGTCTGGGATTGTGTTTAGACTAGATTTAAGAATTCAAATTTTTTTTAATATCATTTGATATAGCTATAGATGTATCTGAGGTTCGCCTCATTTATATGATAAATTTATTTTTAAAATGTTTTAACTTTATAAATATCATAAAGTTAATTGCTTCTTAATAATAATCTTTGAAATTTAGGTTGATTATTTAGTTACTTAAACATTAAGTTGTTGATTTGATATTACAAAAAAAATGAATTTTTAAATCTTAAAATTTTCACTATTTAACAAGAAATTTATGGTTAGAATAATAAGCTATTCTTCTGAATGATAATGAATAATATATAATTTTAGTAGTATTAATTATGTATTTTAGACTCAAAATTTTATTATTTATTTTTATTTTTATATCCATTTTATGGAAGAAAAAGAAGTTGATGCTTTATGGAATTAATTATTGAAAACTACAGTAGAGATGTTTGGGTTTGAATTTAAATAAGAATATTTATCGAAATCATTTAATCGTTTATATTCAGATTACAAAATGTTCACTCAGAAGAGAAATTATTCACATTTTGGATTATGGCTCTTTGGGTTTTATGCTTTAAATTTTCTTCAAAGCTTTTAGGACAAAAATATGTATTTGTTACTAATAATACAAGATCTGACATCCCAAAAATCATAGAATAATTGATATTTTGTCCCATATTGATAATGATATTAATTTCAACAAAACCTTTTCTTTACAGATCTTTTGAATCAGAATTGCTCTATTTTCTATAAAATACAATAGTTATTATAGTTGGGATAATGTTTCCAAGACCTTAATAAACAGAATATGGAATATTTATTGAGTTTTTTATCTATTAAGCAAACTTAGAGAGCCTGCCATTTAAAATAATTTATATCATTGTTAGTCAATTAATTCAAAAAGAGATTAAATCTTTTATGGATTTAGTTGTTTTTATGATTTTACTAGCATTAGCAGTTTATTAAGAGATACATCGCTATACATCATATATTTAAGATTATGAGTAAGTGGAGAAACATCGAAAATAAGAAAAGTAAGAATATCTACTTAAAAAAAACATAGACAAATATTAGAATTCATTCTTGAAACTCAAAATTATGATGAGAGAGAGAGGATTTATCGAAAACTAAAGAAATAACTAAAAGCTAAAAATAGTAAGAAGATAAGTCTGGATACTGTGTTAGATTATATATTCTGAATATAAAATAATTTATTTAATCTCATAATAAAATGGATGTAAGACTACTTAAATATGATATTTTTTCATCTCCATTTGCTCATAAACCTTCAAAAGGATATATTCCTAAATTAGCTGACAGAAGTCTGACTTCATTGTTAAAATATAAAAATGAAACAATAAAATAACCAATCCATTCAAAAATATTTAAACCATATGGAGAAGAATCAGAAATCAAGACCTAATAAATAATGTATACAACTTCTAAGTTGTCTTATTCAAGTTCTGTCAAAAATATCAATAAGTTTCCAGAAGTATAATTAGATCCAAAAGCTGTAAAATTACTAACATAAGGAAGACATTTCTTAAAAAGTGATTATCAAACAAAAAGAAAATTTTAAGAAACAAAATATAATCAACATCTAAAAAATCATTCCTCTGATTATTTGATGTAAAATATATAACTAAAGTTTTGTGAAAAATCTGTAAAAAAATAATTCAAAGCTAATCTAATTTTTTTCAAAAAAACTAAAAATATCCCAGCTTAAATATAATTAATTAAAAAAGAAGAGGAAAGGAAATCAATGCCTGAAACAAAAAATGATTTTTATGATTCTCGATAGAGAAAAATAAAAATGCCTATACCTACAAAATAATAACATACTGATCATTCTATGTTTTCAAGCACCTTTAGAGATAATTTTTTGAAAAGCCAAAGAAGCAATATTCATCCAAAACCTGTTAGTTAAGAGAAATCTACAAGACAGGGACATAAAAAGACCCAGTCTGTCTAGTATTTCTTATTTAATAAATAAAAATAGAACTTAGAGTCATTTAGAAGAAGGTAACAAGGAAGTACCTCTTTTTGGTAATAATTATCAACCTAATAATTGATATTCTTTCAAAATTAATTATTCTAATTTAACTATTATTTTATTCAAAATTATGTTTTAGATAGTTAAAGCAGATTCAGGCATTGATGCTAAATTAGAATTCGAAATATCCAACATAGTTAAGGGTGCTTATGAGAGATTCAATAACCAGTATGATCGATCAAAATATATCTCTGATTATTTGGATGAAAGGTATGGGGGATGTTGGAGAGTAACAATAGGGAAATCATTTACTAGTTGTGGAACCTATTATTTGTCACAATTATTAAGACTTAGTTATTAGAATGATTAAATAGAAATTGTTAGAACATAGGGTGATTCAGAATTTGAAATTATATAAAAAGATTTAGGAATGAACTAAGCTGTTTTTGATTCAATTTTAGGAATGTACTACTTATATTAAATAGAGAATATAAAATGCTTAATAAACTTAGAAAAACTTATCCGCTCAAGTTGAGTATATTTCAGATTGTGTGGAATAAAAGCATACTGGTAAATGGGCTGTGATTTGTGGGTAATTGTATAATTATTATCTAAAGTTATGACTTTAATAGTCGTGTTCCTTATGTTAATAATAATTTAGTTTGTGTAGCAAAAAAGGGAATCAGATATACAGTATTAATGATAAGTAAATGAATATAGACATTGATATAATTTCAATAATTTACATAATGAAGACTTGAAGCTAGTATTTAAGTTTTCAACTTTTTCTAGTTTATCTTTTAACTTGAACCTGCAAATAAGTGTTTAGGGTCACTCAAAATACCTTAAGATATTTTTGGTTATATTTAATTTTAATTGCCTTCTATAAGTACTTTGATTGAAACTCTCTGGTTTATTACTTCTTGTATTGTTTGTTCTCTGATGCCTTAATCTTAAGTTGATACTCATGTTTCAATTTTTTGGTTGAATTCCTTAAAAAAATATACATTGATTTTATCATCTTAAAATACTACTTTTGGAAATATTTTCTTATATGTATCTACATCTTTTATTTGACTTATTTCTTGAAAATCTTTTTATGTAGTTTTTAAACTATTTTTATGATGTAGATTTCAACAAAGTTTCACCCAAGCCTTTCATTTATTTTTTTGTTACTTTTCTAATTTGCAGATTTCTTAGGAGAGATTTGTCGAGTAGAAAAATAAATTTTATTCTAATGCTAACAAACTTTATGTTTATTGAGTTCAATAGGCTAAATTAATGATTTTTTATTATGATTAGCTGGCTATGTCAAATCTTGATTAATCATTAAAGATGTTCGAGTTCATTTGCTATTTTTTAATTGATTTGATCCTGAGGAATATTTCATTTGATTATTAATTAATCAATTATAAAAGCTGAAAGTAATGAATTATTATCAATTTCTATTAAGAAGAAGACATATTAATTATAAAGGAGGAGATAGTAATTATTTTGAATTTTTCCAGAATATTTTATATAGAATAAAGAGAACTTAGTTGTAATTAGGATAGTTTTTGAATAGCAAAAGAATTAGGAATTTTAATTAATTAATTATGTAAACTAAAATAAATAGTTGATTAATTGATATTATGAAAATTATGTAATTCATAATATAATACTTACTAAATAAAATGAAAAACAAGAAATTCCTATTAATTATTAATAATTGATTATAATTATATATCTGTTGAATATTTATTTCTATTTTTAGAAAAAAGCTCTTTAAATTGAAAGATATTTGTTTGCATCAAATATTATATTTTTTAATTAATGAAAAAAGCCTGGAGTAGATCTGCATCTCAGATTGTGACAATGTTCACACAAGCATAGTAAAAATTGAAAATATGACTTAGATAAGAGATGGAGCTGATTGTTGCTAAAAGACAATTTGACGAAATGACTAAAGAGTTAAAACAGAGAAGAGAGGAAATATAAGGAAAAGTAAAAGGAGTATAAAAAATAGAGAGAAAGCCTGCATCTTCTGGGAAATAAGAAAAATTTAAATCAATGGTAGATAATTATTAATAATATCTAAGGATGAACATAGAATTACATTGTAGGAACTGGAAAATAAATTGTAAACAAACGTTGTAAATGGACTAGAACAATAAGAAGCTGAAAAAAGATTAGGAATACATGGGAAAAATTAATTGACAGAAAAAAAGCAAGTTCCTTGGTATTTGAAATTAATACATGAATTGACATCTGTATTTGCATGTATGATGTGGACAGGATCACTGTTGTCATTCATTGCCTTTGGATTAACACCAGAGGATCCTTCAAATTTATATTTAGCAATAGTACTTGCATTTGTAGTAACTGTTACAGGAATAATGGCATACTTTTAAAATCAGAAGTCAGCTGCATTAATGGAAGCATTTAAGAATTTTATACCTCCTGAAACATAGGTTGTAAGAAATGGAAAATAAATGAAAATTCCAGCAGAAAATTTAGTTCCAGGAGATTTAGTTGTTGTAGAGTTTGGTAAAAGGATACCAGCAGATATCAGAATAATAGAAAGTAATGGAATGAAGGTAGATAATTCAAGTTTGACAGGAGAAACGCTTTTATTATAGAGAACTCCTGAATGTAGTCATCCTGAAAATCCTTTGGAAACAAAGAATCTAGTGTTTTTTGGTACTTTATGCAAAGAAGTATATATAAATATTATTCTTAATAGGGTAATGGAAGAGGTATAGTTGTTTTTACTGGTGATAATACAGTTATAGGTTAAATTGCAGGATTGGCTATGTCTTCAGGGGAAGAAGAGTCTGTTTTAAGAAAATAAATCAATCTCTTTGTAAAAATGATTGCAATAATTGCTTTACTTTGTGGAATAGTGTTTTTCATATTAGGTATGTCTTATGGATATCCTGCATTATAAAATATTATTTTGATGATGGGTATTGCTGTTGGATATGTACCAGAAGGTTTGATTGCAACAGTTACAGTTGCTTTGAGTTTAACAGCAAAAAGATTAGCTTAGAAGAAAGTTTTGGTAAAGAATTTAGAATGTGTTGAAACTTTGGGATCAACTTCTTGTATTTGTTCTGATAAAACTGGTACTTTGACATAAAATAAAATGACAGTTGAACATTTATGGTACAATAATAAAAAGATTAAAGGATTGAATTATTAAAAGTTTGGTAAGAAATACAATTACGAATATGATTTAAAAAATAAAGGTTTTTAAGATCTTTTTGAATGTGCATCATTTTGTTCTGAAGCTGTTTTTGATTCATCTTTGCCTTAAGAAATAAGAATGAAGATTTAAAATGATAAAATATTAACACCATAACAGAAAGAATAAAAAATATAATTGGCTACTCATGACTGGGATATTAAATTATAATCTATGACTTGGTTAGAAAGACCAACTATTGGTGATGCATCTGAAAGTGCTTTGATCAAATTCTTATAACCAATAAAAGATATTTAAGAGACTAGAAATAGTAAAAAATTGGCTATTGATATTGATGGTAAAAATACAAGAATGCCATTTAATTCAACCAATAAATATGCTTTTGTAATTCTTGAATATGAAACAGATGATTCATTTTATTGTTTAATGACAAAAGGAGCACCTGAAAGAATATGGGGATTATGTACAACAGTAAATAATGATGGATATGAAGAATAAAAAGATGAAACTTGGGAATAAGCATTTTAATCTATAAATAAATAATTTGGCAAAAATGGAGAAAGAGTTCTTGGTTTTGCTAAAATACATTTACCGAAAACAGCATATCCTAAAGGTTATCCATTCAATCTAGATAAAATGAACTTCCCTTGGGATAAATAATAGTTTTTAGGTTTATTTTCTTTAATTGATCCTCCTAAAGATTCTGTTCCAGATTCTGTTATAAAATGTAAAACTGCAGGTGTTTAAGTAATTATGGTTACTGGAGATTAACCTGTAACTGCAGCATCAATAGCTAAATAGTGTAATATTATCACTGAAAAGACAGTTAATGAAATTGCTGAAGAAGAAGGAATTACTCTTGAAGAAGCATTCCATAGATCTAATGCTATAGTAATTCATGGAGATTTATTAACAAAAATGATGATTGATGATGAAGGTAAACCAGAATCTGAATAAGGAAGATAACTTTAGGAATGGCTTAGCAAATCATAAATAGTTTTTGCTAGAACAAGTCCAGCTCAAAAATTGATTATAGTAGATGGTTGTTAAAAGAAAGGACACATTGTGGCTGTTACAGGGGATGGAGTTAATGATTCTCCAGCTATTAAGAAGGCAGATATTGGTATATCAATGGGTATAACAGGATCTGATGTTGCAAAAGATGCCGCTGATATGATCTTACTTAATGATGATTTCTCTAATATTGTAATTGGTATTGAAGAAGGAAGAAAGATTATTGATAATCTTAAGAAGACTATTGTTTTTGTATTGACTGGTAACATTGTAGAAGTTATTCCTATATTTGCCTACTTTATTCTGAATATTCCCTTACCTTTAACAACAGTATTAATCCTATGCATTGATGTAGGTACTGGCATTATTCCTAGCACAGCTTTTGTTTATGAAGAAGCTGAATTAGACATTATGACAAGAAGACCTAGAAATAAATAGGAAAATTTAATCACTCCTAAAAGCATTGTATTTGCTTATGCCCAACATGGATTCATACAACTTTGTGGATGTTTCTTAGCTTACTTTGTTGTTTTCTATGATTTTGGTTTTCCTTCAGACTCTTTATTGGGAATTTTAGCCAAAAATGGAGTTATTCCAAAACCAACTGATATTTTCGATCCACTTGATCCTTTCTTAGGCAATTCTAATCTCAGAAATAATTATAATGATCGAATTTCAGCTCAACCTGAGACAGAAAATAAAATTTGTACATCAGATGATGAAAATAATTTTGAACCTATAGATTGGTTATTCTCTAAAAATAATGATATAGATTTGAGAATGTATTATATTCAATGCAATACAGAAACTAATAAATGGGAATTAAGCGTTGTTTGGGGAGAATGCAAAGTTGATTAGATATCTCCTATCAGTAATAAACCTGTATGTTACTCTACTGAGGCCTTATAATATGCTTAAACTGCTTATTTTGTTGGTCTTGCTTACACATAAATTTGCAATTATTAATCTTTGAAAACTCATAAATCTGCAGGTATCTTCTAAGGTTTCAATAATATATTCATGCATTTTGGATTTATGACTTTGATCATCTTAGTTATGGGACTTACCTATATTGAAAACATTAATGTAGCTTTTCAGACCAGAGACATCATATTTTAACATTCAATGTTAGCTCTACCTTTTGGTTTACTCATGTAAATTTGGAATGAAGGTAGAAAATATATGGTGAGAAATGTTCCTTAAACCACACCGAACATGCCTAATTGGTGGGCAAGATGCACATCAATTTGATAAGATGACATGCAATTAGATGATTTTTATTAATCATTTATAAAACATAAATTATAAGTTTCTATAATTATTATTTATAATGGAGAGTTTGTATTCTTTATTTTCATAGATTTTATTGATTACAACATCTGTTATATTATTATTCTCTATGACAATTGCTTTTAGGAAGATCATGAAAGATGTGAATGACATTTTAGACTCAACTGATAAACTTGTGTTTTTTATTGCAGCATTTCAATGTACTAAATCTTGACATTTAGAGTTGTTGTTATTCGCATTCTTAATTAAATAGTATACAATATTCTTAAGTGGATTACGTATCCTCAGAATGCTTTAAGATATTATGCTATTAAATTGTTTAATCAAATTAGATAATGATAATGAAAAATGCTTAGTAAATTTCAACAGTATATAGTTTATCAGAAAATTATAGACAAAATCTCCAAGTTACTTTCATTGATTCTCCTTTTTTTTTGGTGTGGCATAGTTTATTTAGAAGGTTTCAAATCACCTTTTTAATGTGATTAATAAATTTGGATGCTGCTTTCAGGATTGCTTCTTTTAACCAATATCATACAATTATATTTTGGGCTTAAAATTATAATCTAAATCTATAAATACTGTAAAGATTCAAGTAATCAACATATGTTTGATGGTTTACATAAAATTATGATGGATGAATTATAAAATAGGAAGGTTTAAGTAAGAGTTTTTGTCCTTTGTAGTATCATTTCATCTATTGTAATGCTATTATATGATTACAACATGTTTGATCAACTTAACCCTACATTCTGTCTTCAAAAAAGCACTATTACTTAAATTCTTATTTATATTGCTGTCATTATTTTCTCATATTAATTACCTTGTCTAGGAATATACTATGTGTTTTATCATAAGAATAAAAAATATTTGAATAATCATAATTGGGAAATACAAAGAAATATTGTCAATTTCTATGATGAAAGAAGTGAAATAGAATTGGGAGAATATTAAAATCCATAATGAGTCCATTTAATTTATTCTGATTTTATTAACAACTAATCTATATAGATTATCACTAGTTTTCATTAAATAATCATTAATTCCCAACTAATTTCTATAATAAATACATTTACTGAGTAAATTGAAAAATAAAATATAAGATATAATATTTATATCTTATTAATTTATAGTAAAACATAGAATTAACATTCATTAATAATATGTTAAATTTATAAATTCCATATAGACAATTTGTTTTATTAAGCATTTAAAATGTTTGTTTATTTATGTGTATGTATTATTAATATACTATGGTTTCATGATCAATCGAATAAACCTCCCATATCGACATCTTCTTCAGGTTCTTCAACTTTGGCTGGGGCTTATTAAGCAACTGGTTTAGCTTCAACTTTAGCTGCAACTGGTGCAGAGGTTGTTGGTGCACTTGATTATTTGATTTAATCAAAAATGAATCCTGATTATAAACCAATAGCAGCCAAATCCTTGAAAGCATTAGCTAATAAATATGGAGCTGAAGATTCATTAACCCAACCTAATTTAATATAAAATAAAGAATTACCATTTGCTAAAGAAATAGCTGATACATTTCTAACATTTTATTAGAATTTCATAACAATGTCATTCAAATTAACTGATACTTATTGTTTGTTCAAGATAGATCCATTGTCATAGCAAGCAAGAACTTCCATTCTATAAAAAAATAAGAATATAATTATTACCCATATAAAAATGGCTTTTTGCCTAATTTTTACAATAAGACAGCTTAAGATTAGCCAACCTTTTATCCTGTTTTCAAGACAACAAAATCTTTGGTGATTTAGATTTAACCTTTTTCAATCTTGGTTGGGATTTAGAGTGCATGGAAGAATTAGATTGAAGCTGGGTCCATACCAGTTGGGCCTGGAGGAATAACAACATCAACTGGAGCAACGGCACCAACTCTGGCTGGGGTTTCAACCTTATTCTCTTCAATGATTGGTTTAAGATCAAAGACTGGAGTATCTGTAAAGATGAATCCAATTTTGCCTGCAACTGAGTTTTTCAAGGCATCCAACTCTTTAATTGCACTACCAAATTTAACCAATTCATCATAATATTCGTGTTCTTTTGGTAATTCTTGAACTCTAGTAGCTAAAACTTTTTTGAAGAGAGTCTTAAATAGAAATGTTTAAATACATTTTTGCCAATAACTAATAGGGCATTTTTCTTAGATAAAATTCTTCTGATATCTTACACTTATTTAGATCCAACATTTGCTAATCCAACGATGATAACTTAAGTATATTTTGATAACAATTCATAAATCTTTCTATTATAATTATCAATAAGATAATTACTTGAATTGTGCTGGCTTCTTATCTTTTGTTTCCTTTTTGCCCATTTATTATTTATTTAAATTAAAAAAAGATTTCAAATTTTTTGATAAACAATTTAAGTATATATATATATATAAATTTCATTAATTCTTTAATATACTTGTTCATGCCTCATTCTCTAACCATTTTAATCTCTTCCCTTCCTTCCAAATACCTTTCTTTCTTGTGTTATCATCAAAAATAAACACTCCCTCTCCATCTTACTTACCACCTTTCCACATTCCATCATATTTCCTACCATCAGCCCAATAATAAATTCCTTTTCCTTCTTTTTTATCATTTTTATATTCTCCTTCATATCTCCTGCCATCTTTCCAAGTATAAACTCCAAAACCATTCATACAATTATTGATCCATTAACCAACATAACCTCTTCCATCAGACCAACGATAACTCCCTTTTCCATTTATTTTATTGTTCAACCACTCACCATCAAAATAAGAACCATCTGGCCATTCATATTTACCAAATCCTTACTTTTTCCCTGAAAAATATTCTCCTATATATTTAGAGCCATCATTCCAAATTTCTTTACCATACCCATGCTATAAATCATCTTTCCATCCTCCCTCATATTTAGACCCATTTGAATGTTTATAGACTCCTTTTCCATTAGCTTTGTCTTCATCCCATTCTCCTTCAAATATATCACCATCTACATGATAAAATATTCCTTTTCCACAAGCTCTATTATTTTTCCATTCTCCAACATATTTTGCTCCATCAGTCCAAATTTGGGTCCCTATTCCTTCTCTACAATTACCTCTCCATTAACCTTAATAAATTGCTCCACTCTTAAATTCATAGGGACCTCTAGTATCCAATGAATTATCATTGATTTTAGATGGAATATTGATAACTTCAAAATTCTCTTTCAAATAATTCTTATTAGCTCCTATATTTGAAGTTTTCATTACTATTTTCAAAGTTTATTATTCTTTTTTTCTTCTAACTTAATATCCTCGATATCTACTTTAAATTTTGATTGTAGCTTAGAGAATTTTCTCACTCTCATTTTAATATTCATTAAATTTTATATGAGCTTTTTTAGGTTATTTCTAGTTTTATGATTATTTTTAATTTTTCTTAGTTTAGAGTTCTTTGCTTTATAAATCTGTATTTCCATTTGCTTAGTTACTTGCAATTGATTTTTTTGAGTTACTGTTACTATTTTTAATTCCATTATTATCTAACTTACTCATTCATTAAATAATATACCACTATTTCTTTTTCTTATAGCATATTCCTCCCTTATTTGCAATCACATTGAGTACATCTACTGCCCATTTAGAAAGGCTATTGAAGAAATAGAAATATTATAATTAATAATATGTAATTAATATTATGCTATTTAACTTAAATAAAAATTTAGCTTTTTTCTTTAAATGAAATACAATTTCATATCTGAATAAAAAAATATAAATCAAATCATAAATTATTATTTTACTTAGGATGGTTGAAATATCTTTGTTGCTTAATTTTATAACAATTCATAAAATTAGTTTTAACCTTATTTGCTTCCAAATTCTAAAGATACACTTGAATCCTATAAATAAAATGGTAAGGGAGTCAATCTATCATTAGGACTACCCAAATATGAAGACATGGATTCCAAATGAAATTCATTGAATACTTTACAAATACTTCGAATAATAGCCAATTCTTCTTTATGTTATTCATTGTTTGGAATCAATTGCATTACCTTACATAACAATTAATAAGAATGTTGGGCCTTAATATTTATAGTTATATCATGAGTATTGATTTGCTACTCCATAAGTAATTGATTACGTTCATTATTTAAATAATTCTAAGTTTTAGTTACATCTATAAATGAATTTGCTCATTAAATTTCATTTGAATTTACTTTTACTAATTTTGAAGATCCTTCAAGGTTTCTGTTAGTTACTGATGCTCCGCCTCATAAATTTAGTGTTTCAGATTGTTATCCTAATTGCTAAGTTCTTCAAGGACCTTCAATTTATTTTAACTAATGATATTTATCAACTATTTTCTACTTCATTATAAGTATTCATACTTCTCTCCTTGAATAAAATAACGATGAGCAAAAACATTGATGTTTCGTCTAATCTTCGATCTCTTGAAACCATATAAATTTAATTGCCTATCAAAAGTAAACAATTAAATAAACCTTATAAAACTTGCAAATGACTTTTGTTTATAGAATACCTTAAGTATTTATTTCTCTAATTTCTTTATATCACATACTTCGAAAGATTTACCATCATCACTCCATCTCAAGAATCTATATTACTCTGACTAAACAAATGAAATTAATTTATTACTTCTAGTAAATCAAATAGCTTCTCTAAAAACTTAGGACTTTTCTTCTATTGCATACAATATTAATAATATAATTTTTCTGATGATATGTAATGTTTTAGTTTATTTAGTCATAATAAGATTAATTTAAATATATTTTATCAATTAATTGAAAAATATAAATAATATACATTAAACTTCACAAATCAAACCCAAAAAAGCTAAAATCTGATTCTTATTAACCAAAAAACCAAACTGGTTCCAAAGTTTCAAGATTAAATTGATTCTACTTATGATTTAAGTAATTTCCAATATCTTCAACAACGGCTTTTCCAAATGGTGCTGGAGAATTTGGACATAGTACATCAATATCATCTTCCTTTATGAGAAATGTCTCCCTCATCCCATAATCTTCTTCTTTTGGATATACACACTTTATTAAATACTAAAATGAGGCCTCTATGAATTGATATTAAAATTGAATTTACAAGCTTCTGGTTTCATTGCTTTTACTATCATTCGTACACTCTCAATAAAAAACACTCCTCTTCTCTCTTATATTGCCTTTATCTCTAATAGTTTCTATCAATAATTTAATAATATTATACTTCAATGATCATTTTAAAATGATGTTAAAATCTCAACTATTATTTAATAAATACAACTAATTATTGTTAAATATTGATTTATTCTTATTTCAAAGTAGTCATTGTATTTTTTATTTCCTTTTATTCCATAATAAATGTCCCTACTTATTATTTCTCTATGTGAGTTTACTTTTTTTTCTAAATTAACTTCTGAATAATTTTATTTTAAGTAAAGTATGGGTGTTCATATGTTAAGATTCCATTTTAATCCTTACAACTAGTAAAACCATACATATTTAATTATCTGGAAAATATAGAAATAAAATACCTTAAGAAACTGGAATAATTGCTATGTTTAAAAAATCGTGGCAAAACATTCTCTTATAATAAGGACTTATCTATAATTTTAATTTTAATTCCTTCTTCATCCCATTTTATTATGTCTTTATATTCATTACACTAAATTTTTGATTGATAGTACATCAAGGATCTATTTAAAAATATCAATAAATCTATTGATTTTGCTCTTGTTATTTCTTTTACTCATTTTTTTTATAAATTCATTAATAGTAAATTAGATTTTTAAGAAGTTTTAGAATTCTTATTTACCTAAAATTGTATTTATAAATATTGATTGTTTAAGATCAATAATGAATCATAATTCTAAAATAATTTAAAATATCAATAATTTATAAATTTTATAAAACCCCAAGCTTATAGCCCATTATCATTTATAATAAGTTTCATTCCCTTTGTAATGTATTCTGGAAAATATTTAAATTTTAGTCTAACAATATTAGGTTGTTTTGGGATTAATTCAATGTACTCCATAGGTTTTTCATTTTTCTCATTTATAACAAATAGATCTGTTTTTTTTTAATCTTCTTCATTTGTAAAAGATTTGACTTAACTGCTTCCTTTTCTTCTTGGACTTCTATATGATTAGTTATTTAAGCTATTAGAACTACTTGCTTTTTTTATTTATTCACTTTATTTCCTATACGATGTTCTTGATGATAAAGTTTCAGGTTTTTACATACAAGATTCATCAATAGATTTTGATTATTTTTTTCTTAATGTTAGAGTTTCAAACTATAATTATTCTTCTCTAATTATTTTACAAATTTATCTAATAATAATAATAATAAAATACCTAGTACATTATGTATTAATTACAGGTTCAAAACTTACTGCAATTTTTTTAGCTTCTTTTTAATCATCAAATAACCAAATTTCAGCCAAAAAATCCCAAGCAGCTTATGGATTACTCTTACCTTCTATTAATACCATTCCACGTCTTATAGGATTTTAATCTGATCCAAATTATTAATTACCTTATTTAAATCTAATTGTACATATTTATCCACATTATGCAGATTTTACCTAGATTATATTTAATTAAATAAATACTTGAACTCTATTACATTAAATTTCTTCTATTTCAATAGGGAAAAAACGACCATATTTATCTGGTCCCATTTATAATATTTATTTGACTCTAATAATTCCTTTAAGTACAGTTCCACCAAGTACCTTCTAGTTATTAATTTCAAACACATTATGAATACAATATTCTGAATCTAAATTTGAATTATTAGTTAATTCATTAGTTGAAGGTAATAAATTTAAAAATTTAATAAAATAATCTAATGTCCTCTATTTCAAATTAGATATCAAAAATATAGGAATAAGAGTTTTACTCAGAATCTATTTACTAAATAAAACAACATCTTCTTCACTTCTAACAACAATTGGAACACTTTAAATTTATAGACTTTTAATCATATCTTTTAATTATTCTACTTTGTCTATATAATACTCCTCTGTAATTTAATCCACATGAGTTATAGCAATCATAAATGGAATTTATTAAATTTAGATTAATTTAAGAAAATCCATTGTTGGTTTTCCAATCTATTATAATGAAGAGATTGTTAATAAAGCATAATCTGGAAATTAAGAATTGATAATCTAAATCATTTAATTATGTGCTCTTTTAGTTCCACCCATATCAATAAAAGTAATTAGTTTTGTTGATAAATCCACTAATTTTTCAACCATACAAGTAGGACTGAAATTTAATTAATTTTAATGATTCATAATCTTTCCTTCACTATCAAAACCTATAACTGTATGACTCACTCTTTCTGTTTTACCAGATGTTATTTCTGATCTATTCTTCAAAAACTTCATTCTTGCCAAACCTTGTCCATTATCTAATTACCCTGTACTAAGAACCCCTAAAAGAGATGTCTTTCCAGATCCACTTTCACCTAAGAGTAAAATTCTTATATCCAAATTTATTCCATCTTTCAACCCTTTCCTTACTATAACTTCACAAGTTTTCCCATTAGTACCCTAATTTATTCCTACAACTAATAATTCAGCTTTTAAAGATTAAGCCATTAAACAAAGTGTTTTCAATGATCCAAGCATATCAGATTTATTAAGACCTAAAGGATTACCACTATCTTCCACACCAATTTTATAATATGCCATACCATTTCCTTCAGATAATCTAAAATTCATCTAAGTTGTTAAATGAGTTAATCTCTTAGGATCAGGATCAACAAGTCTAAGTTTGTATTCAGTATGTCCAAAATCACTCTCCTACTTAAAACAAGAAATCTTTGATTTATCCTCTTGAATAGCATACTAAATAATTTCACTTAAGTTCTTACTTATTCGTCTATGTATTACTATAAATCAATCTAGATCTCTTCATTATTTGGTTTAACTAATAACACAAATTATGGTTTTGTTTCATATTTTAATTGCTTGATAATTAATCATATTATACTTAAATTAACTCCTTTTATTCTGACTCATCATCTTTTATTTACATATTATCTGATTTATTTGATGTTTTTCCTTTCTTTTTTTTCTAGAGATTTAAATTTTGTTTTCTTTATTTTTATTTATCAGTCATTTCAGAAAATTAAGGATGAGCTTGCTTTTATTGTTTTTTCTTTTCCCTTTTTGATTCTTCTTCATCTATTCCTTACCATAAACTATAAATTCCATTATTAATAGTGGATTATTATTAAAAATCACTATGCATGTATTTTGGATTGTACAAGTATATTCTTTCTTAAATATAATAATAAATAATTGAAAAAAATGCATTTAAATGAATTCCAAAATAATGAAATTCTGAATAATTAAATTTTAACATATTAAACTTATTACAAAAAATATGAATGACCAAATCTACATCTCCTTAAATTTAAATTTGTTATTATTTATAAATTATTTTCTAGAATACTTTTTTCATTTTTATCATAATTTCTTTAAATTTCTATCAATTAAAGTTATGCTGATAGAGAATTATATATTCAGACTTAGTTATATAAAATAATCTCTAGAATACAAAAACAATTATATCATATATATAAAGTAGCTTATTTCTTTATTAATTCCTAATCCTAACACTATTATAAAACTAAAATATTTCCTTTGATTATAAATATATCTAAATTAACTAAAAATAGAATTATAAAGGGTTTCTTTCATTCATTTTTGAATAATAAATTTAAGAGTTGTTCGGTTTCATTAATTAATATTCTCAAAATTTTCACTGTATTTTTATTTTTTTTATTTGACATATTTAAATTAGTTTTTAATTTTGATGAATTTATGATGTTCATCTCAAATTTATTTATATTTCTTTGTACTAATTTTCATTAGATATGTTGATCTTATTCTTAAACACATTCTATATGAATAGTAGTTAATTACAGTTATATTCATTTTCTCCAGTTATGTATTACATTAAATTAAATTAAGTATTAGAAAATCATACTAAAAAATAATAAAAAGAAATAATATATATGAAAAATTGAAATAAACTTGTCATTTTTTAAAAAACTTTCTTTTTTGTATATTTATTTTTTTAATTAAATTATGACAGATGATGATTTTGAAACAGAGTAAAACTTACTAGGATCGATTTTATCAAGTAAATTACACTATTAAATATTAGTAACTGATGAATATGAGTATTAAGATTAGAAGAAGTTAAATGCAAGTGATGAATGCAATTAGACTCAAACTTAAATAAAACTCTAAAGATAATATAAGTTTTAAACAACAGATACCTTTAACAAATCCTTTGAACAAATAAGTTTAGGTTCAGATCAGATTTGCAGTCCTATTTAACCTGAAGGAAAACTGAAATATAAAAATTCTGGGGTTTGCACTTCATTTAGCTCTGATAATCAAACAAGTTTAGAGAATTCAATGATTTTTGGAAATGTCCGTTGTTTTGATTACTTTTAAAAATAATCTGATTAATTTTCACCAATATATTACAGTTAAAATAATCCAATTTGGCCTTAATATCAAAAATCAAATCAAATTTTAGATATATAATTAGATATTGATATTGTAAATATTATTATATTATAATTTTAATAGGAGAATATGTGTGGAAACTAAGTGCTTTCAAGAAAAGTATAAAAAATATTTGAGACTGGATAATCCAATTAAAGACAATAAATATTCTGCAAAGTTTTAGTTAATTGTTAAGAATTCTCAAAAGATATCTTCGGAAATTACTTAATTCAAAAGATTCTTGAAAAAGGTATAAAGAATATAAATATTATTTAGGAACAACATAATAATAAATGTAGATCTTTAAATAATTATTGCCTTATGTAATTGAATTATCTAAAAATAATTTTGGTTGTAGAGTTATCTAAAAACTTATTGATATCATCTCAAAAAATGATTAACTTATAGTGTCATTCATTTAAGAAATTAAACAAAATAGTAAATGTCTTTTAATTGATTAAAATGGCAAGTATGTAATTCTAAAATGTTTGGAAACCTTATCAATAGATATATTTAGATTTATATTAAAACCAACTGAAGAATTAGGTATCCATATGTGTGATTCTTAATATGGGTGTAAAATAATCCAAAAACTAATTGATAATTATCCTACTTAAGTGGATACTCTAATAGAAAATTGTATATCCAATTAGCATCTCCTTTACAAATCTTAATATGGAAATTACATCATATAATATGCTATAAAATAATCAAGATATTTAGATATTATAGCCAATTACATATTAAATAATTTAGAAAATTTGTGTTTTAATAAATATGCGAGTAACACTGTTGAAACCATTCTAGAATATTTAACCCCAAAACTTAAAAATAATTTTGTATAAATTTTAATGAAATTATCTGATAAAAATGGAATGTATAATATGATTATAAAACTTAGGTTTATTTTTTTGAATATATCTACGAATCCCTTTGGGAATTATGTTATTAAAAAGTTACTGTAAATTTTTGATCAAGAACATAAGTAATAACTGTTAAATCTGACGAAATAGAATTAACATTTGCTTTATTACATTAAGCAATCAGAATATGGATAAAGAATTTATATTTTATTGACAACATAGTTAAATGATTAAAATTGATAATATTAAAATGATTATAATCAAAAAAATTTAATGATGGCTGATTGCAATTTAATAAATACTTTATAATCTGATATTAATTGATAAATGAATAAAAACTCAAAAACAATAAACCAGAGCAATTAGACTTTCAGTTATTATATTAATAACATTCATCCTAATAAAATAAACAATAAAATTAAATATAATAATTTTAGTAGTTTTTTATCTTTCTTACTTGGAAATATAATAATCATCAAATATTTTTAGTTTTGGATTATTAACATTTAAATAATTTATCTATACTTCAATATCAAATCTAAGATTCACAAAAAAAAAATAACTTTAAAAATACATCTCTTATTCTAAATCTAAAATAATTTGGAAAATGATATATAAAATAAGAGTAAAGATAGATAGTGAAATTTTGGATTTTGTAAATAATTACCATATATAGATATCTTTTAATTTAAAAATCTGAACATATTTATTTAAATATTAAGATATTTAATAAAAGCAAATTTGTTAAATCAAAAATATAGTTCTGAAATGCCTTTAATATTAAAACTTATTAAAAAAATCTGTAATCAATCATTTTTTTAGATATTGAATTCGATTTCTTTGGTTAATCATTTGTTGATGAATTTATAGGTAGTTATGTACTAAGATTGAACTTTATTTTTCCAATTAATCTAAATATTTATATTATTAATCAAATCCAGCATTCATACTAAATTTATCCAATAAATCATCAATTTGTAACAGAGACTTTTTGTTAAAATTGTTTGTTTTGATTCTTTCTTATGTACTGATTTAGGTAGATATATTCATTGAATTGTTTGAGATCATATTAGAAATTGATCTTCCTTTGCTACTTTATTTTTGAAAAGGGGATTAATTTTTTGATCTTTGAGTTGGAATATAATTATTTTATTTTAAATAAGGACTTTTTGTAAGTTGAGGTAGCTTAAGTTTAAAACATGGACTATTCTCCTTGCTTTAAGCTTTGATAAATAATTAATCATTTTTATACATTTATTATAATCTCATATATAAATAATACAGATCCTCTAAACTTCTAATAATAAATTAAAACTAATATAATACTTCATAACATTTCATTAATTAGGTAAATCTATTAAGAAGATTTTATGAACTTAAAGAAAATAATAAATTAGATATAAATGAAATTATTATGAGACTAAACATACTTGAAGAGATGTAAGAAAAAGTTCAAAAATCATTATAGGATTGTTAATTAATATTTATTTCTTTATTGTTAGTTAAAAAATTATTATATTTTCCATTATAATCTATTTTAATTCATCATTTACTTCTACAATTGATAATTACTCAATCTATTATAATAATGTTAGATTAAAAAATTTTGATTACTTTTGAATTTCACCTGACAAGTTTCTTATTTCAAAACATTCTATTTTAAATTAAAAAAATATATATTTTATTAAGATATCCTAGGTGATCTATAATTTGATGGTATTATTTGCTATTTGCAATTTAAAATAAAAGAAAAGTATGTATAGTTTATAGATTTGATTTCTTGTATCTTATTTAATTTAATAATTTTTTTTATTTATCATCAATTTAAATATCAAAATTATTAGTTTAGATCTACTAATATATTTAAGAGTTAGAAAATAAAATAAGAATTCTGAATACTCTTTTTTACTCTAAATATAATTCAACTTTGGTTTTAAACTAGCAATTAATTATAAAAAAAACTTTAAAAATATGATGAAGAGAATTAAATAGAGATTAAGTATAAAAAAGTTAAAATTTATGTTAATGAGGTTATTAATGTTTATTAAGATTAAAATTACATTGAAGTTGTATTAAATTAAATAGAACAGCTCTTTAGATGGCAGAATGAATTTTGAGATATTATAATAAATTACTTAGAATTTACATTAAATAATATTTGATATTAATGAAAAAAAATATAAAGAGTGCTTTATCTATGTAAATAATAATTTTTTCATTATCTCATAAATATATTTTAATATCCTATAGATATATATATATACAAAGTTATTAAAAAAAAAATATTAAACTTAAATAGTAGATAGTTAATGTTATTTTGATAAAATTGATAAGATAAAAAATATTCGAAAAAATTGAGCATTTATATTTTTAAGATTTATTATTACAATTTTTAATAAGTAAAATTATATTATATATAGTTAAATTGAAAATTAAGATTAGTTTGTAAAAAGTTTGATTTATCAGATATCTTAAATATGATATTATTTATATGTACAAATATTTATGGGTATTTATTTGTGGTATTATATATTAATAATTTTTAACGAATTATAAATAATTCAAATTTTAAACCTAATGAAAACTTTTTAAATTAGTAAAGACTCATCATTTAGGTATTTCAAACATTAAATTAAGGATCTTAGTACCATAAAATAGAATTGAAATGGAAGAAGAAACAGTAGAAACATCAATATAGTTAGATTAAAAGAATATTTATCGACCTATTAAAATAATATTTCCTCCTCCAAATCTCTAAAAAATCATTACAAATACAAAGTAAATTATTAATTAATGAAAGATCATGTAATTGTAAGAAATCTTAATGTTTAAAACAATATTGTGATTGTTTTGCTAACGGATAAATGTGCTCAGAAAATTGTAATTGTGTTGGTTGTTTTAATAATACACTTAATATTGAGTAAAGAAAAGAGGCTAAAGTGTAAATTATTAATCGAGATCCTGGAGCATTTAAATAAAGTTTCAAAGGATGCAATTGTAAAAAGTCTGGATGCCAAAAGAAATATTGTGAATGTTTTTTAAATGGTTAAACATGTACACATTTGTGTAGATGTGATGGATGTCTCAATTGCAAAAAGTGATATTTTTATATAATTAATTTCAATCATAAGAGTTAGAATTAACATTTTTATTTATTAATCATTTAATTATTATTCTAATCTAAATAATTGACAGTATAATTAACTAAGTCAATATTTAAACAGTAATATAAATAGTAATTATAAACATTTTGATATTATAAAAATATGATAATATACTCTTATATAATTTAAATATTTACCTGTATCATATTTAACTTTTAAGATTTATAAATATTTTATTCTAGATATTATTCTATTAAATATAATTTTCTATTATATTTTTATGAGATGTCATATTATATTCTATCATTATAGATTTATGTAAGTATGTAATTTAATATTTTACAAATTTCATTTTTCATTTAAATTCTTTACACAAAAAATAGATCATTAGCATTATTAGTATCCTAGTAATGAAGATTGATTGAATTTGAGATGATAGTATTTAGATATTATTTAACTTATATTATTAGATTGTATATATGTCCTTTATTGTAAAATAGAATGCAATTTGATTTTTTATGAATTTCTGATTGTAAAAAATTATTAAAATATTGGTTTTAAATATAATTTTGATTTAAAAACTTGATTGTAGTATTGTAAAAAGGAAATTTAGGATAAATATAATGATGAGATGTATTTCTGATTTGATTCTATTTTTGGAGTCTTTTTAATAATAGTTGAAATTCAATAGATAAGTGTAGATAAATAATTTTTAATAATACTTAATTAATTGTATATAGTCTTAATATGAGAATTCATAATTTCTAGAAAAAGGGAGATAATAAAAATTATTGATATAAATGTATAATTATTAAAAACAAATAAATAAAATGTTAGGCAAAAAATAGAGTTAATGTGTTGGGTTCAATCCTTTTAGTAAATATGCAAAAGAAAAGCCAAGTATAAGTACTAAAATCATCAACAAATTGAAAAGCTTGTTTTAGGTCAATTTAAATCCTTCTTCTTGTATACAAAGGGAACTTATATCTCAATAGACAATATATGTTCCTGTAAATTCTGAAATTGTTGGAGCATAAACTATAGAGCAAGGTATCTATGATTTACATTTTAGATTCTATAAAAATATGTCATTCTTAGAGTAGCTAAAGATAAAGAAGAAATAAATATACGAGCTTTGATGATCATCTAAAAGAATAACAAAGTGATATAGTATAGTAAAATGATTAGTCTTCAAAAGTATAACAAAAAGAAGAAAAAGAATTGAGAAAGCTGAATTGTAATTATAAAAACATATTAAGATTTAGCCTTAAAAAAAAGTTTCGATCCTGTTTTACCAAAAGACATTGATAATGCTGAAATAAAAGAGAATAAGATCACTCATCCACGTAGAAAGCTGAGTTCATAATAATACAAAAAAAGAAAACTTGATGGTATGATTTTAAAATAATGTTAGAAAAAAAAAAATTAGTGGGAATAAAATTTGTACACAAGAAATAAGTATAAGATCAAATTTAGGATAGTATAAATGAGAGTAGAATCTAAGAAGTTCAAGAATAAACAAGCGATGATTCTCTTAAAAATAATAGTCTTCTTGCAGTCGGGTTAAAAGGAGAGCCATAAAATAAAGAAATAACTATAGTTTAATTAAATGATGAAAAATCTAAATAACCTGATCCACCTATGTTGACTGTTAATGAAATAATAGAACATCAATCTAAAGGCTTAAAGAAATCATAATCTAGGATTAATTTGAATGAATAAGAGGCAAAGTCCTTTTCTTGCAGTCCTAAAAAATTAGAAAACTCATCATCTCGAAAACAATCAGATGTTATAAATAAAAATAATGAACCTAAAGAATCTGAACCATAAAAGAATAATGAAATAATTTAATAGTAAGAAGAAAATAAATAAGAAAATAATTAAGATGAAAAATAATTAGAACCTTAAGTAGAACCATAATAAACTGTTATTAATTTCTTAATATAAGGACCTGTAAAATAAGATAAAACTTAAACACCTTCTATATTATCAAATTTATTAAATAAGGTTATTCCAGAAGAGAAAAAGACTGTAGAATAATAAGAAAAGAATATAAATAATTTTTCAGATACTCCTTTATTTGGATTTGGAAAGTCTAATGAAGGTCTTCAAGGATAAATGTTAGCTAGTAAAATTAATGTTTAATCATCTTTATTTGCATCTTATGATTCAAAAGAATTGAATTAATAATAATCATCTGATTAAAGTTCAATGTAAAATTTGTAATAAAATTAATTTACTTTCCTTTAAAATAAACCAAATGTTTCTGAAGCTTAATAATAACCTTCAAATACTGAATCTTCAAGTTCTAATGTAAATAATAAAAAAGATTCTTTGGATTAATAACCAAAAATAGAAGAAAACAAATAAATTTACAGTTTGTTCAATAATATATCTGGAAGTTAAAATGATTAATTTAATACAAATGATTAATTCCGTCCAAAGAAATAACTCTTTTAAAACTTTCTTAATGTAGCTTAATCTACATAAGGAGAGTAAAAAGATGAAAATAAATAGGATTAAACAAAAGAAAGTATCTAAATTCAAATAAAACCAGAAGAATAAAAATCTGTTAGTTTATTCTCAGGAATAGTACTTTAAGTTCCAGATACTAAAAATTAACCAGAAAAAAATAATAATACAATAACATAAAAGGAATAAGAGTAATCTATTTCACCAATCCAATCTTTTTTCAAAATGTAAACTAATGATAATAATAATAAAGAAAAGCCATCTACTGGTCTATTTGGTGATCTATTAATTAAATAAAATGAAAAAGAGAAAATTAATTTAGATGTTAAAGTTGAAGAATAACCTCCTTTATTAAATAATGTCAATAGTGTATAAATTAATAAAATTTAAGATAATAAAGATACAACTAATAATATTGTACCAACATCAATCTTTGGTACTAATAGTCTATTTAATTTTGGAAATAAAAATAATTTAGAAACTCCAACAAATTAAGATAGTAAATAATAATAAAATAATTCTTCAAAACCAGAAATATAAACACCATTACCTAATTCTATTGGATTGAACTGTTAATGGAAATCATCATCTGATGATCAAAAATAAAATAACTAATTTAATATCAATAGTGAACCAAAACAATAAAAACCATAATCTCCTTTTGCATTTTTGTAATAATAATAACCAAAAAGTGAACATACAAAATCTGATAATTTATCTTCTGATCAAATTATTAAATCAATAGCTACTCCAGTAAAACCAATTGATAATCCCTTTTTATAATAATCCCCAAAAATTGATTAAGAATAAATAGACTCATATTTTTCAAATCATTCTTAATAGAATAGAGTTATTTAAGATGGTCAGATTAAGGTTTAGACTTCCCTATTTTAAAGTGATTTATTCAAATAATAAAATAATGGACCATCCATGTTTAATTTCCCACAATATCCATAACAATAAACATAGCCATAACCATAATAATTACCTATATAAACATAAGTTTTCTCTTTCTAATAAATTCCCTAATAAAATTAATTCCCATAATAAAATACTTTATTCTAAACAGGTTTAAATAATTACATGAACATGAGTAATAATGGAATGCATAATGAAATGGAATATATAGAAATGCCTTAACCTAATCAATAATTATAATATGGATAATAGTAATAGTAATAATTGAATCCATTTTAATCAATTTTATAACCTTCACTTAGTGCACCTTCTACTTTCCCTACATAATTACAGTAGTAAATTTCTGGTGGTTTTAATGCAGTTTAATTATTTTAATAAAACTCATAACCATAACATGATCTGACGTCTTAATTGTTTAGTCATAATCAAAATAACAGTAAAATTAATTTATTATTTTCAGGTCTATTCCCACAAGATCAATCAAAGTCAGTAAATTAATCACAAAGTTTAAATAGTAGTTTCTAGAGTAGGGATAAAAAAAAGAAATAAAGAATTTGATTAATCATTTAAATAATTAATTTAACTAAAATATTATTATTTTTTTTATTTATCAATTAATTATTTTTAATATATCAATTAAGTATTATTTTTTAGAACTCTCTAAATGATAATAAATATATTTTAGATATATATTTTAGCTATATTATAAAAAAATTATAGTTTTATTATTTAAACAAGAATTATAAATAGTATTGATTAGTTTGAGATTATCATCTTAATTATTATAAATTTCTTTATTTCTAAAACTTTTTTTTTTATAATTGAATTAATTTACTAATTTAATAAATTTAATAATTATTTATATTATATAAAATAGGAATTTATATAATATAAATAATTATTCAATAAATAGAGTGATAATATTAAATATGGATGTATATCTTTATATGTAATCAATTATTAATAATGATTATGATTATATATTTTAAAAAATGAAATATTTTTCTATCATATTAGAAACCTTTTGTCAATTTTGGTTTTTTCACTAATGTTTGTTTTCTACCATTCTTATTTTAACCATTCAAAAAACTTTGTGCAAAAATATTACAATAATATTGATAATGCTACATTTTAAGTAACTAAAACAAAAAAGGTGAATATGATTATATCTGTAACTAAAAAGTACATTTCATAACCACTAAAGAATACTCTTCTGTATTAGAAATCTGGATCTTTATAGAAATAAGGCACTTAAGATTTATTAAAATCATCATAGGCTAACTCATCAGGAGGATAATCAAAGTATCTTTAGGCAGTTTCTTTGGTTCTAATGAAATTAGCTCTTTTGTCTACTTTTTTGACTTCATTAATTTTAGATTTAAGGAATTATTCAATTTTAAACTTTTACAATTCAACATTTTCAATACCTAATTACTTCATTTCTCTTTTTTCTTTATAATTCCTAATTCCTTAATAATTCATTTCAAATTAATGTTTAAATTCAGGAGGTACAAATAACTCATATGTACATAATTGACTATCATAACCATCCTTAACTAGTCCTCTGTTTTTACCTTTATTTTTGGATTCATTTCTAAGACATTCTTAAAGATGAGGAATACCACCCTCAGAGAATCCCAGAGGATTTTCTCCATGGATATAATAGCCATGTAAATTATCATCAAGTATGAAAATGGAAACATTGGCAATTGTACAGAGATCTACAAAATTTTCATAAGGATATGGTTGCCAAATATTAAGTATTTTTCTTAAGATCAATTATCCTAATCCAATCATGAGATAAACAAACTAAACTAAAAAGTATTTGAGAATAGGATTTTCAGGTACATAAGGTTATGTTTCAATAAGATCTGGAGATTCTATGAATCTTTTTTGAAAACCTAAACCAATTAATACAAATCCTAATATAATAAGTGTCCATTCAACTGAAACAGTCCTGACTGTTGATAATTCATTAAATTCATTTGCAACCAAAAGTGTTCTCCAAACAGAAACCTTACTTTTAATTTTATTAGCTGTTACAAGGACTTCATTTTCTTCTAGTTCTTCTTATCTTCTTTTTTCAATTGGTCTATGAATTTCAGTAGTTTCCCAATCAATAAAATATATATTAATTGAGGATTGTGCATAAATGATTACTAATGTTTGTATTAATCTTAATGCAAAAATAGTATAAAATAGTCCATAGAATGGTAGATAATTAGAGGAATCATTTTGATCTAACATTAAAAGAAAAGGTGTATTCTGGAATTTGAAAAAGACAAACCAATATGCAGTCATAAAAAAGAGAAAGTAAAACATCCAATCAGTCCATGAATCAATTAATAATTGAATCATATTCTTAAGTAATTACCACATATAATTTTCTCTAATGGAATTGCTTGGATTAGCTTTAGTCCATACATAAATTCTAAATAGCCAAACTAATAAGATAATAACATTGTAAATGGCAAATAAGATAATAATTGTAATCCAATAATTTGTAGGATTAGGTGAAATCTATACAGCAAATTCAAAATCAGCATATCCAAAAGATTCACCTGAATTTCTAACTATAGAATATTCTACATAAACATAAGGAACATATATTTATTCATATGAATCCTGACTTGGCAAGATTACAATTTTTATTTTACTTGCATATCTAATATATTCAGGAGTTTCAGCTGGATTAGTGTAATCTTTCTTAGAGGTTATTGTGTCTACCAAAAAGATTCGTTTAACAAAAATGCTACTTTAAGAGGCACTATCAGAATTAGGTTTATTTCCATCTTTATCCTTTAGATTATTAACTAGGAAATAAACATTCTAAGGATTAATAGTATTATCATCTCGAACAGCAGTTACTTAAAGTTCATATAAATACATTTCATAGTTTTAAAGGAAGGCATCCAAATCTAAAGAACAAGATATTTTCATATTTAATCCAAATGCTCTACTATTGATTTCATCTCCTGGAGAATGAGGACAGAAAATGAATTCAGATCTCAATGTTGTATCACTAATCATATTACCCTCTAAATCATATTTTTAGATTGAGTAATTAAGATATCGACGATTTTTAGAATCAGAATCATCTAATTTCATAGTTTAAGGTAAAACTGTCTGATAAATATTGATAGTTTCTATATTGACACTAGGAAATAATGCTGGAGCAGATGTTGAAATTTTTGATTTTAATTCTTCTAAAAATACAGAACATATAGGTTTTGTTAAATCAAATAATTGTAATGCACATAAGTTTGCCAATAACTAACAAGCATTAATACTTGAATAATAATAACACATTGATATTGCATATTAGTATCTATTCAATATATAAGAACTTGCTATTCTTTAATCTGTCTCATATTCGACTATGTATGATGAATCGAATATCAGATTTCCAATTGTTTTCTAAGTACTTAATACACATCGATCATATGATTTAATATACCCTGATTAAGGACATTCACAACTTCCTGTATATACCATCAATTTATCTGGACATGGAATACACTATTCTCGATAACTTAAGTTTTATTATTTATAATTACGCATTTGCATAAGCATTAGCAGCACAAGATGTGCAAGTATTTTAAGATAATGTATCTCCTAAGAATGAATATTTCAAATTCACTTAGCTTAATGTACAATTGTTAGCCTATTTTAAACACAACTAATCATATTAAAATCCTATGATATTATCACCTGATCTCTAATAACCCTAGGTATTATCACAAACACACTAATCAATCAAATTATATATTTACTAATGATATATTGTATCGCACAGTATTTTGAGGACATTGAGTACATTCACCTATAGCTGTATTATAGTATTAGTCACTTGCACATTCTGTATAACTTTACAATCCCTATACTACTTATATTACTACAATATAAATAAGCATATAATATATGTATATATAAATTTAAATATTTATACTAATTAAGAAGAAATAATCTTATATTTTATTTTATTTGTAATTAACACTTTTACTATTTCTAAATATCCTATTATATTTTTCAAAGTTCCTTAATCTAATTATCACCTTAAATGATTTTATTTGATTCTTTCTTTTCTCCAAAATCTATTTTAGTAATTTATTATTAAATTAGAAGATTTTCATTTTCTTCAAACATTATNGAATGAGGACAGAAAATGAATTCAGATCTCAATGTTGTATCACTAATCATATTACCCTCTAAATCATATTTTTAGATTGAGTAATTAAGATATCGACGATTTTTAGAATCAGAATCATCTAATTTCATAGTTTAAGGTAAAACTGTCTGATAAATATTGATAGTTTCTATATTGACACTAGGAAATAATGCTGGAGCAGATGTTGAAATTTTTGATTTTAATTCTTCTAAAAATACAGAACATATAGGTTTTGTTAAATCAAATAATTGTAATGCACATAAGTTTGCCAATAACTAACAAGCATTAATACTTGAATAATAATAACACATTGATATTGCATATTAGTATCTATTCAATATATAAGAACTTGCTATTCTTTAATCTGTCTCATATTCGACTATGTATGATGAATCGAATATCAGATTTCCAATTGTTTTCTAAGTACTTAATACACATCGATCATATGATTTAATATACCCTGATTAAGGACATTCACAACTTCCTGTATATACCATCAATTTATCTGGACATGGAATACACTATTCTCGATAACTTAAGTTTTATTATTTATAATTACGCATTTGCATAAGCATTAGCAGCACAAGATGTGCAAGTATTTTAAGATAATGTATCTCCTAAGAATGAATATTTCAAATTCACTTAGCTTAATGTACAATTGTTAGCCTATTTTAAACACAACTAATCATATTAAAATCCTATGATATTATCACCTGATCTCTAATAACCCTAGGTATTATCACAAACACACTAATCAATCAAATTATATATTTACTAATGATATATTGTATCGCACAGTATTTTGAGGACATTGAGTACATTCACCTATAGCTGTATTATAGTATTAGTCACTTGCACATTCTGTATAACTTTACAATCCCTATACTACTTATATTACTACAATATAAATAAGCATATAATATATGTATATATAAATTTAAATATTTATACTAATTAAGAAGAAATAATCTTATATTTTATTTTATTTGTAATTAACACTTTTACTATTTCTAAATATCCTATTATATTTTTCAAAGTTCCTTAATCTAATTATCACCTTAAATGATTTTATTTGATTCTTTCTTTTCTCCAAAATCTATTTTAGTAATTTATTATTAAATTAGAAGATTTTCATTTTCTTCAAACATTATCATAATCTCAAATAAGTTTTTAGTTTATATTATCCCTATTCAAATTTTATACAATAAACAGCCATCTTTATTTAAGAGTTAATTACTAAATTTTAGATGATTCAAAGCAATATTTTAATTAGCTTTACATTAATAAATATGGCCAACACACTAATTTAAGCTTTTAGAAATCTAAAAATGAGATCTCAGATCATCTCTCTTGATATTATGATCCTCCTTTTAGTTTTAAGCATAGCTGGAGTAGCTGTATATGTGGAAATCAAAATATTTTATTATATATCAGAAAGATCTTTGCAAAACACATTAGTAATTTCGGACATCAAGTAAATTTCTCTTACTACCCATTTGATGAAACATTACATCTTAGAAAAACATAAAATTAGTATTTATATTTACTAAAACATTTAGGCATTTAATTAGCTGACCATATCTCTTCATTCTTATACTACTATGCTAAAATTTAAAGTGAAGTTAGATTTAAAAATCCTTTTGACTCTTGTTTTTCATCAAATGATTACATAAATAGCATCTACATAGAACAAGTTCAAAAAATGTGTTATTCAATTTATGGAAATATTGAATTAGAGGATGCCTTTACACAGAATCCTAGCATTTAATTACTTTATAATGGTCTTAGATTATTAGACCAATTTGGTTTAGAATTGAATAAATTTTATCCAGATTTTATACAATTTGTGGATATCACTGATATAAATTTTAATGGTTTATATCCGTTTGGATTTTATATCCCAAATTATAACCTTTAAAATCGGCCTTGGTATTTTGAATTTTAACTTTAGGTATGTTGAACATCTTTAAAAGACTTAAATGGAACCAAACTAATTCTATTTTTTTACAGATGTTTACAAAATGATAGTTGGAGATTTTAATTATTATTTCTCAATTACTTAATCTTTATTTGATTAAAACAAACAATTTATAGGCATTTTAAAACTTATGTTATCGATTGATGATTTAAATTTTAATAATGTCAAATCTAACATAATGTTAATTAATAAATATGGATAAGTTATTTACAATGAAATGGAAATGCAATAGATTAATAAAACTTAAGTATATTATATTTATAATGAAACTATCACTGGTTTCAATAATTCTGATTGGAAAATAATAGAAAATAAGGCTATTTTTAATACAAAAATATAATTTGAAAATGATGACGATTTATCTAAATGTATTATTTTATATAATAAATTTTATAAATCCTATGTACATTTGAGAAGTGAAAAATTTATCAATGAGAACTTTACATTAATAATGTAATGAGTGTTTTTGACTATTAGATACACAAATATAACATCAAAGAAAATTTTAGAAGAACAATTTCAAGAAGCATATCTTGAATCTGAAACTTGGATTTTAAGTGCAGCTTGCACAATATTACTAATTGGAGCTTTATTATTTAGTATTAGTACATGTATTATAAATATCATCTGTTAACCATTGATAGAAATCAATCATAAAATATCAAATCATGTTTTATCTGTTGGAAATAATATAAACCAAATGATCTTCAAAATTCTGTAATCTAAAAAGAAATCTTCTAATCTATATGCTAATTTAAATGAATAACTTTGGAATTTATAAAATACAATACAAATAAAATAAATAAAAAAATGTGAGTAATGCATCCTTATTGAAAAGATGTTTTATCATAGAAGAGATAGTAGTTTAAACTGTTAATAAATAAAAAATGCCATAAGTAATATTTAAGGAGATGCATAAGTAGATCCTCAAGAACTTTATTTATTATACTAATTTATGCTTCAATAATTCAAGGTCTAATAATTCTGATATTATTCTCTTAAAATTTTAATATCTAATTATTATTATTATATATATATAATATCTATTTAAAGAATCTTATAATATAAAATATAAGTTGATATATGATACATCTTTTGTTTTTTATTAAATTCATAGATATATTAATTTAAAGTATATTAATTAAGTAATATCTTTGATTTCACATTATATAAAATAATAGCATTAAGTCAGGAGCATATATTTAATGAAAAAAAGAGTCTTACACATTTTATGGATTTATGAGAGGTGATCCGATATTGAATTACTCTAATTTAATCTTTAGTATGTTTAATAAATATGATAAATAATTTTTAAAATGTTTCGATTATATATGTTCAAAAGTGATTATTTCCAAAAGAAAACTTTCCTTATATAAAGTCTATTTTATTGGAGATCTTACATAGATTTACAAAATTATAGCTCGATAAAATAAATTTTAGAAATCAAAGAGAGATTCATTTTTTGTTATTACTAAGTAGTAATAATAATTTATTAGATTTTGTTCAATAATAATCGGATTTATTATTATAAATGCAATGTGTAAACAACTAATTAAGTTATCAAATCAAATATAATAGCATAATTTAAAACAATATTAATTATCGAATATGTAAAATGTTTGATATATCAATAACATCATTGAACTTACTGAACAATTTAAATAATAAACTGATAAATTTTTAAGTTCTATTGCTTCAAAGTCAACCTAAAAAATCTGAAACGTATAAATAGTTCCAGAAATGAATTTCAATAACTTAGAAAGTATAATTTATCAGAACTTATATATTTATAAAATTAATCTTAAATTAATAACAACCTAAATATAAATAATACCAAATATGTCAAATAAATATTTATATAAGGCATTAAAAATATAGTCTTTTTAACAAGAATTTATGATTCTATGAAGTATTCTCACTTTTCAATACCTATTATCTAGTATTATCAATCAAAACAGAAAATATTAATATATAAACAAAAAAATTTATTCTGTTTATTTCTGTTGCCACCTCGATAACATCTCTCATCAAAGATTCTTAGCATTCTTCAATTTTGTATTATCATTAATTAAATCAAATCAATTTTATTAAATAGTATGTTTAATGCCAGTTGGATTGCTCCTAATATACCAACAATGTAACTTTCAAATAATTATAATTCTAATCACCTGTTCGAAAACTAAACAAAGTTACCGTTAATACCTCTAAGAAATTAATTTGTGACTTAAGAAAAGCCATAATTTAAAATCCAATAGCTTATACATCATTAATAAAATTCTCTCAATTTCGAAGACATTCTAGAGATTAATTAAAAGAATAAGCTTCTTCTCAAAGAGATAAGGTATGCTTTAAATAAAGATCTTTATTACTAATCAGAATAAAAACATGGTTACATTTAAACCTAATAGGATGATGAACCAAAAGCAAAACCACATAGAAGAAGATACCAATCATATGATAATAAAATATAGAGCGATAGAAGTCTTGAAGATGAAAATAAATTTAAACAACTTCGAAAAATACCACATAAATAAAAAAATGATGAGTTAAGGAATTATTCGATAACAGAAACGATCGCCAAAAGAATAAATACGAATGAAATTAATATTAGAGATTCAAGAATTGAGTTTGAAACTAAATAAAGAAATAATATTAAGATTATAAATACAAACCAACTTAAAATAAATTAAAAGATACAAAAACCAGCTGTTTATGAGGCAAAATAAAATTTTGGTCTTATCAAAGAATAACGTTAAAAAAGGAAATAACAATTAAAAATCATAGGTTATGTGGTGTTGGCTGCTATGTACTTAAGTAAAAAATATAGAAAGATATAATAAGAGAAAAATGAATAAAGAAATTAAATTAATAAAAATTATTAAGAATCATAAAAAGCAATTGACAAATTTTCTAAAAGACAAGCTATTGTTTAAGAAAAGTTATACTATGAATATGTTGTAGAAAAAGTCATACACTATCTTAAAGATTAATCATTTATTGATGAAACTTAAAAAATTCCAAATTTATCAAAAGAATATTAGAGTGATATTAGAAAATTACACGTTTTTAAATTCACTACTTTATTATTTAAAAATGTAGAATTATTTACAAGATAAAATACTATCTCAGATCTAATAAGAGGTTTACTAAATATAAGTTTGTATGAAAAAACAACTATTCCTGTATCTAAATTTGTTGGTTAAAGATGTTATTTTTATAATGATAATCATCTTAAGATACCTTAAGAATAATTAGTTCTGATAGCTTTGGAACATTATTTTTTTGGTAATTTAATACCTCAGTTATTCGAGATTCTTGCTAATATTGAAGAAGATAAGAATGATTCTAAATAAAAAATAAAAACAAATCCATTACATTTAAATGAATGCCATTTTTATGTTTGTATTTTTGCTACTTTAATTCAATAAAAGATTATCTAAAATTTTTCTGAATTGAGAATGGTAAAAAACCCTAATGGAAAGATTGTTCAAAAAACACTTTAAACAACAGAATAATCAAATTTAGTTATCAAAGCTCAGATAGTAATTGATAATCATTTAATAGAGATTAAAGATGGAAGAAAGGAAATAGTGAAAGGATTAATTTCTTCTGATTTAGTCCTAGCACTTGAAGGAGAAAAACCATAATGGAAGAAATTTTTAGATTAGACTTTTTCCAAAATTATTAAAAACTTTCAAAACTTATTACCAAAATGAATACTATTTTATATGAGCAAAAATTTTGAATAAAATTATATTAGGGTTTTATATTTTTATATTTTATAATATAATTCAAAGTTAACAATCAATAATACTTTGGAAGTTTTAATTTGACTAATTATTTTTATCAATAATTTTAATGTTAACATTGGAGAACTTCAAATAAACATCATTCAAGTAACCAATTATAAACAGGTAATTTGCCTAAATACTCAAAGCCCACGGTCTATTGAATCTTGTCGTTTATGTGGAATTTTACCGGAAGAGCTCATTTAAATTGGTATAAAAGAACTCAAAAAGAGAAATCCAGAATTGAGATTGAATAAGTAAGGATGGGAGATTATGTGGTAACATCATGAAATAAGAAGATAAGAAAAATTGAAAGCTTGTCTTGAGGCAAGAAAATAATTAATTGATGCAGGATTTAATTTTAATAATCAAGAGGATGAAGAATAGGTTGTGGAAGAATCAGATTAATAATAAGTTAGTCAAAATTAATAAGAATTAGAGAAAATTTAATGGAGACAATAAAAAGAGATTTAATAAATGCTTGAACATGAAAGAAAATAATAAGAGATTCGTGAAAGAAATGAGTCGAAGTAAAGATAATTACAAGAGAGATAATATATAAGAGAGGATTAATTAAGATAAAGTAGAATGAAATAAGAGTATGATAGAGTACAAAGAGAGAGAGATAGATAAATAAAATAATAACGGGAAGAATAAAAATAAAAAAAAATTGCTAAATAACAATATTAAAAAGAATTAAATAGAGTTTAATTAGAATAATTAAGATAAAAAGAATTACAATAAGAATATAGAAGAAGAGAAGAGGAAAGAAAATAGAGACAATAATTATTTAAAGAATAAATGAAAGAAATATAATTGAGACATGAAATGGAATTATAAGTTAAGAGATAAATTATGGAAATGAAAGATAGAGAGAGATTGGAAAAGCAAGAATAATCTAGATAAGAGAAAATTCGAATTTCTTAATAAGCTTAACTTGAATTAAAATTTAAATTATAAGCTGCTAAATAACTTTAAATGGAGAAATTAGAGAGGATGAGAGAATAATTTGAAGAAAAATAAAATAAAATAGAAGAAAGACGTTCAGAATTTGAGAGATAAAAAGAGTAGAAAATAATTTAAAATTATATTAATGCATAATAACATTAAGAAAAAATTAAGTAAGTCATTGAAAAAGTATAAAATTAAGAAGAACAAAAATATTATGATTATTTATAGAAATAAGAACTTGTAAATTAAAGAAAAAGGTAATAAGAATTGGAAAAATTATAAGAATATTTGATAAAAAAATAATAATAAGAAGAGAAGGAATAGCATAGGGTTGATGCTATTTAGAATGCTGAAAAAAATTAATAAATAAAAGCTATGGAATTAAATAATAAATTAATATAAAAAGAATAAATGATTTTAGAAAAATAATTCGAAAAATAATAAATTTAAGAATAAATCAAATTATAAGAAATTCTAAAAATGAAAGATAAAAAAGAAGCATTAGAAAGATTATAGAGAAAATAAGAGTATGAAAAAGAGATTTAAAGATAAAAAATAGAAGAAAAGATGAGAAGAACTGAAAATTTATAATTATAAAAAAGTAGAGTCTTAGAATAAAGATTGTAAATGAAGTAAATAGCTAATTTTTAGAAAGAAGAATTAAAAAATCAATTTGAATTAATTAAATAGGGAAAAATTGATATCATTTAATCTTCTATTCAAAATGATTCATAATAATAAGGATCTCATTAAATTGAAGATCATCCTATTTCAAGCTAAAAAAAAGGAAGACGTATGTTTATTAATCTATTAATTTAGCATAAACTGCACTTCCAAGCAAAAAAACTGAAATTTAAAGACCAAAATCTGCATTAACTAAGAAAGTTCAAAATGAAGAGAAAAAGGTAATGAAAATAAATGATGACCCATAAAAAAGATATGAATTAGAATTCTTAGAGTAATAATAATAAGAAGAAATGATTAATGTAATTAAAATAAATTAATTTTAGCTTTTGGAAAACGAGCAAAGATTAGAAGAAGAAAGAGAAAAATAATTATATTAGATAGAGAACAAAAAAGAATAACTCAGATTGGAAAAAATATTTTAGATTGAAAGAAATTAAGCAAAAAAAAGAATACTTGATTTGTAGGAAGAACATAAAAAATAGATAGAGGAGTTTATTTCTAATTGATTATTTAATATAATTATATGTAAACAAAAATATCATACTTAAAAAATCTAAGATTCTCAAAATTTCAAACTCTAACTTTTTGTAGTTATAATAAAATTTAATAAAAAATGCTGTTAAGTTAGCATAATATGAAACAAAAATACTTAACTTAATTACAAACAAAGTACATATTCACTTTATAGATTAAAAAGAATAATATACTTATGATATGTTGAAAGAAAATATATACCCTTTTAAGTTAGTATAAACATTGTTATTTATCAAATAAATGCATAAAGAATTATACATTTTAGATTCAAAAAATTGAATTAGAATTTACATCAAACAATCATAATTATATTGGTAATAAATATATCAAAAGGTTTAGAAAGGGATATTAAATTAATTAAATGATTATGAATAATAATTTTAATATAAAATGCTAAATAAATTTTTGGGATTTTCATCTATGCTTGTAAAAATGACAAGAGAGAGCAAGATTTATTTTAATTTCAATGTTCCTGGTTCATATAATTACATTTAAATGATAAGAAAAATAAAAGACAATACCTAATCAAAAAATAATGAGTAGATCAATAATCTGATAAATGAATTTTAAGGATAAATTGAAAACTAAAATCAGCAAGCAGAATAATATTTTAGTTATGGAAAATTATAAGATGCATAAGTTGTCTTAAAAAATAATAGTAAAGCGCTTTAAGATTTACTTTAGGATAGTAAATTTGAAGAGTAACCATGCTTTGAAAATTTATATCTGACAAGTGCAAAAACTAGTTTACTCCTTGGAGATTGTTACATAAGATAATCTAATTTTGATTTAGCAGATTCATCTCTTTTACATTCCTTAAGTGTTTTATAAAATATGAATTCTAAAAATTTATAGGTATAAATAAATCTTTTAGATGCATATATTCTCTTATATTAATTCAATTTATATTCAATATTTGATGATAAATAATTAAAAGAGATTGAAGATAAAATTAATGATCTAATGAAATATTCAGAAGTAAATGAAGAATTATCATAAAAATACTAAATATTTAAAATGAAATATTTAGAAGAAGATTAAGAATAAGTTGATAAATTATTCAAGCAATTAAATAAACAAAATTAATCATCAATAGATCTAACTAATTTTTTGATGAAATAAGCAATGAATAAAGGAAATTCAAAATCTGCACTATATTACTGTAACTAATTATTAAATTCTCTTGTCCAGAACTAAGATCCAAATCATTATTTATTTGAAGCATCTCTAACTAACTATTTTGCTTTAAGTAGAGAAAACTAAGAGTAAATCTAATATTAAGATTTAATATAAAAAATAAAAACTAAATACTTTAACTAAGGATTTGATTCATTAGATAAAATACTATATTTTGAGGAAATATTAAATTAAGGTTTATAAGTATTAAATAAGTAATAAGATATAGATTAAGTAAAATTTAGTATATATTTAGATATAAAACTTAATTAATAAATTAGAGATTATAAAATTTACAACTGGATCAAAATATCATAGATATGCAGTGTTTATGTTACTGGGGTTAAAAAGAGAATTAAAAGTGATTTAATCTCAAATTATTTGAACAAATTTATTTATTAGCCAATAAATTTGGTAATCTATTAAATATTATAAAGTAATATGACAGGTTATTATAAATTATTGATTTTCCTCTTTCATCATAGATTCTAATAAGATAATGGTTTTAATTATTTTAGGAAAATTTGTCATTAATTTCATCCTAATAATTTAGATAACCAATTTATTGTTTCTAGTGAGAACTTTAATAAATAAAGCAATCCTTTCAAATCTAATAGATCCTGAATATTAATAAAAAGAAATCATCCAAACAGATTTTGAACTCTTTTTATATATACCAAGAAAATAAGAATTACTTATTTAAATTTATTAAATAATATATTATTATAATATTGATCATTATGTAATAATTTACAAAAATTGACTGAGATTGAGTGAATTGATTTCATTTTTAATACATTTTTAGCTTAAGAAAACAGTTTTTAATTGTTATAAAAGTTAACATAAAAATAATTAATAATTGTCAAATTAAAAAATAAAAGAATTTCTAGGGTCTTGTTAAAAGTATCAAAAGTTGACTGGCAGAGTGATACATTAAATAAATTAAGAAAGCATATTCAATTTTGATAATAAATTTTTTTACCAAATGATAAATTATATAGTAAATTTAATCATAATCAAAATCAAAATCATATATGTTCTTGAAGACTTAAGATATGTATATGTACATAAATAATTATATAATTTTTTGAAATATGATGATGAAAATATTTGCTTTTGCTCTCATTTTATCTTCAGTCTATTGCATAGACTTATGTACAGAATTTACTACTTTTTAAAAATGTATATCAACAAAAGTAGATCAATGTAAGAATTTATTCATTATTAAGGTCGTTGGATGCCTATGTTTGGAGAATGCATAAAATCTGATAATTACTTGATGGGATGTGATGTAACTTTAAGTGAAAAGTTATGTGTAAAGTAAATTGGTACAGTCTTAGGAGATTTGGCATAATGTATATTTGATGAGACTTGTCATGTGATTTAAAATATGGATTCTGTGTAATGTAGTGATAAAATTACTCATTCTGGATGTTTGTAAATTACCAATTAACATTGTAAATGGGAAAATCATAAATGCTAAGAATTAAACAACCAAGATTATGATACATTATAAACTAACTTTATGGATAAAGAACTAAGTATTTCAGTTTGCCCTTTAATTACAGGTATTTAATAAAGTATTATTAGAATAGGATATTTGATTATGCATCATAGTGTCCTTTGGCCTTTAGTTGATTATTAGCCAGACATGATTGAAGAATCAGATAATTTGATTTTAGAAGATGAAGGACAATATGTAGAAGAGACTCCTTCTTATTCAACAACAGACACATTGTAAAATAATTATATAGACTCATCTGGGAAGTTTGTATGGTATGAATATAAAGTGAGTAAAGTGAGCAGTGCTTCAAATTGTATTAATTATACCTTATTATTTAGTGAAAATAAATGATCAAACTAGATATGGATGTATAGCTGTAGAGATTTTATCAGATAGTGACTATTTAACAATATTCAGTTTAAGAGGTACTACAAATGGAGTTAATCATGTTTATTGTAAGTATTTGACAAAACATCCAACTGATCCTCAACTCAGTATTTTTCATGATAATAAATGTATAACAATGACATAAGAATAATTAAGAGATGAAAATTTTATTTAAACAAATAATATTACTTGTTAGTAAATGAGTGGATATATTTGTCAAAGATTAAGAGTTGACACTCTCAAATGTATGATTTATGGAGATACGGAATATGATTGCATTTAATTTGATGAAAATAAATATGAACCAAATACAGAGTGTTAATAAAGATAAAGTACTGCAACTTATTATTAATGTTTGGAAAATGATTTTTGTTATCTTAATATTTAAAGTGCAATTGGATTTTGTGATAATACTTGTTATTAATTTCGAACTGATTAAGCTAGTTGTATTGCTAATGCATAATGTTAATGGAGTGGTGAAAATACAACAGTACCATCTGATTCTCTTTTGATACATTGTTTACCTTATAATGGTTGTAGTACATATGGATTAAGTTAACAATATTGTATTCGTATGGCTTCACAATGTTATTGGAATGCTAATAAAAATAGATGTGAAGATAGTATTAATGTTGCATTAATATAATGTGAAGATGCAAACACTTTATTTACATGTACAACTATAACAAGATAGGATTAGTATTGTATTTGGTATAATGATGCATGTATAAATCTTAAAAAATAACCATTATTTTCATATTTCAAATCACTTCCTTAAAATATTATGATGAATCGAATAACATGTGTATCAATGGAATCAGAATATTACTATTATGTACCATCAACAAAATTATGTCTATAAACAAAATAAATTACTATGAAATGTTTAGATAAGACACTTGAAAGTTACAAAGAAGATCAATTAAAATATGATCTACCTTGTACAAATCCAGATGCATAACATATTACTAAATTCTTTTGTCTTAATTTCTTAAGTTCATATACAAAATGGGATTAATACAATTAAAAATGTTTAAATTTAGCAGAAGAACAATTAAAAAAACCATGTGATTCATTTAAACTTGTTAATCCTCGAGTTTGTAGTCAATCTATTTATGCAGATACTCATTATTGTTTTTATGATGAAAAAACATAAAATTGTTACACTAAGGAAAAGGAGGGACACATTTTAAAATGTTCAGATAGAGGATTAGATAAATCATAATGTACAAAAATAACAACTTAAGGATAATTTTGTTAATGGAGTTATGGAAAATGCAGAACTTTAATTTATAGATAGATTTTACCATATAAATGTAATTCTTTATTAAATGTAAATGGAAATTCATGTGCTTATTTTACAAGTCCTGGTAGTTGTCTTTATGATCCTGATTATGCTAGTTGTGCAGTTGGTTATGGTCCAGAAAATAGTTGTAATGTAAATTTAAATCCTGATGGTTGTGAATAATCAAGTGCTTCTTGTTATTATGATTATGTAAGATATAAATGTTTAGATACAACTCCAGAAATTTTAGATTAAATAAAATGTGAAGGATCTAAATTATCATTAAATGCTTGTAAGTAAGTAACAACTCCAGGATAACCATGTGTTTGGGATAATACATGTAAATTTTATCCAAAATAATATACTGTAACATGTACAACATTTACAAATGCAAATACATAAGTTTGTAAATATTTATAGAGTGAATTTGTTAATTATTTTTTGGATGGTACTTATTGTGAATTGATAAATAATGTATGTACAGCAACTCGTGAGATAATTAATGGTTGTGGTTCAGATAGAGAAATAAATGTTCATAGATGTGTAGCATATACATCCTCAAATTGTTATTATGATTAGAAATATAAATGTACATAAGTTTAAGATGATGATTACAAAAATGTATTATTGAATACATTAAATTGTACATAAACAAATTTAAATTTATGTGGTAAAATAAAAACAAAAGGATAAACTTGTTGGGTAGTTGATAACAATTCCAATCTTAAATGTTCATATTATTCATCCAGTAAAACTTATACTTGTTCAGAAATGAGTTTATTCAATACTTCAGATAACATAATAACAGGATCAGATGGAAAAAGATAATGGTTTAATAGAAATATGTGTTATTTGGCAACTGATAGTTGTTACTTTGATATAGACTAAAGTAAATGTTTATAAGATTTAAATCTATAATTGAATTGTGATCATCCAGGTTTAAGCAAAGTTTTCTGTCTAACTTAAACTGTGGGTGGTTGCTATTTCAATAATAGAACTTGTGAGTATATAGATTTTAATGATTTATCAATTGCTTGTGAATTAAGAAATAGATAAGGATGCTTAATGGGAGGATAAAAATGTTAATGGATTAATAATAAATGTTCTGTAGTTTATGATCCTACTTTAGCATGTCCAAATATATATGAGGATTAATTTTCATGGATGAATTGTGGTATCTCTTAATTAATCTAATGTTGGGCATATTTAGATGAATGTTTAAATGGTGATATACTTGATTTACCTTGTGAAGCTGGTTTATCATAAGGTACTTGTCTATCTTTAGATCATTATTGCATTTGGTAAAATAGTCGTTGTTAAGGATTTAATCCAAAAATACATACTTGCTAAAATGCTAACACTTTGTATGATTGTATGTAAAATTATAATAAGAATGAATATTGTGCTTATGTGGATAAAATATGTTTTAATGTTGATCCATAATTTAATACTTGTGATCAATTTAATTAAGTATCATTAGCATATTGTTAAGAATTTCCAAATTGTGTATATGATACAAAGAATTCAAAATGTATAAATTTACAAGTAGAGTAATTTTATGAATCAAAATAATTGGATGTAAAAAATAATTCAGGAGTATCTTGTTATGATTTAGATAATATGCATTGTATATTTCAAAAATCAGCTAATTGTGAATATTATGGTAGTTATTGTAATGAAGTCTATTGGTTAGATTTTGAGAGTTGTCCTAATTATGAAGTTTATGATTAATATTACAGTTTATTATCTGAATATACTTGTAAACAATTTGAGAATTGTGAATTTTTTGGATCTAAAGATGCTCAAGTTGGTCTTTGCTATAAAACAGGAGAACCTATAACTTGTTAATAATTAAATTAAACATTTTGTACAGTAGAATTTCCTAATTTGAGATGTATGTGGAATTTAGATGAATATAAATGTTAAGATGTAGAAGAAGATATTAATTGTGATACTATTTATAAAATGAATGTTTCTAGAGAATCTTGTAGATTGGCTAATTTTAATAGTGAAGATAAAAGTTGTTATTTTTATAGTGATGAATCCTTATGTAAGCCAATGTACACATATACTGATTTAACATGTTAAGATGTAGAAAACAATTATAGTTCTGATGAAATATCTAAACATATACATTGTGTCTTTACTAAATCTAATTGTTATATTATTCATATTAATGTTGAATAATATTAATGTTCAAGTACTGCAGATTAGAATAATTTGAGTGTGATGAACATAAAATTATGTACTGCTTAAATTAATGATACATATATGTTTAATATGTAAAAATACACTTGTGATCTGATTACTTCAGATACTGAATTACTTAATTGTCGTTTTCTAAATTATGATGCTTGTATTAAATTAACAAATAAATATGCTTCATTCAAATGTGTTTGGGATGAATCTGAATGTAGAGACATGGTAAAATCAGATTAAGAAACTATTGAATGTTAATATCGTAATATAAATACATGTTTTATAAGCAATACAATATAATGTATTTACAAGGATAATCTATGTTAAGCTTATGTTCATGAAGATAATATTTGTGATTATTCAATAACAACACTTGTATCACCTATGGTTTGTTAAACAAATGGTTGTTTATCTGATGGATAACATTGTTTTACAATTATTAACGAACCTGATTCATATTATAAGTGTAATTATATGGGTTTGACTGAAGATTAATGTATAAATAAAACATCTTATATTAAATGTTATTGGAATGGATAATATTGTGATAATGCTAATTTAAATACTATTAGATGTGATGATAATGTAAGTTAATAGACTTGTACATCTATAAAGACTCCAGGTTAATATTGTAAATGGATAGATACAGGTTGTATCAGTTTGGAAACTGAATAAGATTGTAGTACATATGATAATTCATTTTATGGATGTATCTAATAAGAAACTAAGAGTTGTTATTATGATTTTAGATATAATTAATGCAAAGATGCTGCTTAAATATATGAAGCCTGTTATGAAGGATTAAGTAAAAAGGCATGTAAAGAAATTTCAAATGAAGTTTGTATCATGCTTTAAGGATAATGTTCAAGAATGACTACCACTTATTATACTTGTAGAGCTATTTATAATAAATTTGGTTGTTATTATATAGATTTAAGTTGTATATGGGATGATGATTTAGGTTGTCAACCATTCACAGATAAATTACCATGTAATGAATTACCCAAAGGATCTAATAGATATACATGTAAAAATAATGCAATTCCTTTAAGTGGAGATGAATATTGTGAATCATGTAATTGTTCATTTGATGATGCTACTCTCTCTTGTACTTATAGATTATCTGGAATATCTATTAAAAACTTTGAATTAATTGATTAATCAAATTATACTTAGATTAGATTAACATAATTTTGTGTAGAAATGAAAGATTATCATGATTGTATTGGAAATTTAATTGATTCTTGTAAATGGGTTAATGGATAATGTATCAATTCAGATTATAAGGGTTGTGAATAATAGAGTATTAAAGCATGTTTAGCTATAGAAGATGAATTGTGTTCTTGGAGAGATTATTCTTGTGTACCTTGGAATAAAAATAAATTTGAAATAGCATTAGTTACTAAGAATGTTTGTAAATAATTAGATTAATCTTTGAATTCCAAATATGATGAAATTAAATAATCTTGTATTCCTACTAATTTTGATTTGGATGATTGTAACATTGTAAGTGTATCAAAAATTACTTGTCTTTCTATTCTCAATCATCCTTGTATATATTAAGATGAAATATGTAAATTTTATTCATCTAACAAATAACTTTCAAAATGTACAGATTATTAAAATATAAATTATTTAATCTGTTAATCATTGTCTCATTTAATATGTAAATTTAAACCTGATACATTTTAATGTGTTAATATAGATAAAACAGATGGTTGTTTAACATTAGGATTATCTCAAAAAGGTTGTGCATCCATTACAACTGAAGCATGTTATTGGAATGGTTCTTCATGTTAACAATTTTAACCTATTAATAATATTAATTAATGTGATTCCAAGACTATTATGAATAGTTTAGCTTGTAGTTAAGTTGCTTATTTAGATCGTCCTTGTTCATTTGATTCCTTTAAATAAGTTTGTACAAATAAATTTAATAGACAAAGTAAATGTGACACTCCAGGATTGAATAAAAGTGCTTGTTTATAATTAGAAAATGAAGCATGTTAATATATAAATAATAGATGTTAAAAGTTTGTCAATGGAAATTATAAATGTTATCAACTTTAATAGGTTAATAGTAAAGTATGTCAAATTTTAGAAACTGATACCTGTGCTTATGATATCACAACTCATTCTTGTTATTCAATACTTAACTTTCTATCTTGTAGTTCACTTGGTGTCAATTTAAATTCTTGTTCAATTTTGGATAATTGTATATGGAATAATGATGATAAGAAATGTCAATGTAATTAAATTGCAGTTAAAGATATCTGTTATTCAAAAACTAAAGATACATGCATTAAAAATTCAAATGATTGTCATTACTCTGGAGGATAATGTTATAAGAAGAAATGTTCAGATCTATAAATTGGTGAATGTTAAGGTATTGTAAATAATGAAACATGTTATATTAACTAAGATTATTAATGTTAAGGGGCTAAATAATGTGAAGATATTGTTTATCTATCTTAAAATTAAAATTGCAATCAATTCAATTTCAATGGTAGTGTTTGTATTAGTATTAATAATTATTGTATAAGTGCCACAAATCTAAATGAATTATGTATAAATAGTGATTGTTCTATTAATTCTTGTATCTTAGATTAAGGAATTTGTAGACCATTAAGTTGTCAAGATTTTAATGAAGATGATTGTTTTTTAAATTAAGGTTGTGCTTTAATTGATAATGTATGTGTAGAAGTTGAAAGTTGTAATCAAATTACTGATCCTTCTATTTGTAGAATGGTTATAATTGATAATAAATAATGTAGTTGGGAAGAATATAGAATCTTAGATGAAACTAAAATATGTACAAATTCTTAATGTGAATTATATGGACCTGCATATACTATATGTAATGGTAATGAAATTAATGGTAAAACATGTGTATTAGTTGATTTGATTAAATGTAAAATGTGTGAAGAAATCACAGATGTATGCATTTGTAATAATTCTAACAATGCTTGTACTTTTGTTAATGGCAAATGTTAATCTATATCTTGTGCTTCATTTGATAATGAATAATTATGTTCAGATTCTAAAAGATGTTATTGGAGTCAATAAGACAAAGTTTGCAGAAAAATGTGTGTTCAAAATATAAGGTAAGATTAATGTGAAGCATTAATTTATGAATGTCATTGGAATCCATATATGAAATTATGTGAACAAGGTGTTGAAATCATTCCTGATATCAGTATAGATATTGATATTGATGAACAATTTGGACATTTAATATTATTGAATCTGATTGTTATTTTATCTATTTGATAAAATATCTATTAACAATTTTATAAATATATAATTAAATTCTATTATTATTGTTTATATGCCATACAAATATTTTATATTTAATCAAATTTCAATATCTTCTGTAAATTCTTCTGTGCATGATCCACTAACATTGAAATAGCTAGTATGATCTGCAGAAGAATCACCAATTATTGAATTGGCACAAGTAGGATCCTCATCAGTTCCACTTGAACAAATCTATTATTTATTATACTTCAATACTTTATATGATTTATTATCATGAGTATACCACACTTCTTAAGGAGGATGTTTGTAAGAAAATGAAGAAGGTGGTTAATGAATTACCATATCTCTATAATGAGTAACTCTCCAATGTTCTGTTGCACCAACATAACTTGTGAACCAAACAGCAAATTCATGTGTTCCAATACGAGGAGCTCCATATGTAAAGAAATAATCAATTTTATATCCTAATTTCTTTAAATCCACTGCAGCCAAATAAGCAACTGCTCCACCTAAGGAATGTCCTGTAATCAATAATTTTGAAGTTGGATATTTATCTTTCAAATGTTTTGCAGCAGCCAACACTTCTGCTGATACGTCATCATAAGTTTCCCAAAATCCTAAATGAACTTTACAATTCTTGCAATCTCCAAAATCATGTTTGAAGAACTTGATGTTATTGTACCAGTTGATAAAATCTTAGGTACCTAAAATGATAACATAGAATAATTTCTTACTTCTATAAACAACAACAACCAAATTTTCCTTTTTGTTATATCCTACATATGCTTAAGCATGATGATCTGCTTTATAGAATGCCTTTACTTCAACCATATCTGGATGATGTTAACAAAATGAACCACAATTCCAATTTGTTATAGTCTATTACTTATACTAAAATATATTACTTTCAAACTACATTTGGCTACTTGAGTATAATAGAAAAAGCTTTCTGATTGAGTATGCTAATAATTCTACTGTAAACCCATTAATTTCTCGATTCTTTCCTCAACACTTCCATTTACAGCTGTCAATAAAAGACAAAGTGCTATTATTGAATACGTCATTTATTTAATGATTATATTAATTGGTAATAATATTTCTAAAGTCCTTAAAAATCATTCTAATCATATAAATCAATCATTCTGAATATAAGATTTATAAATGATGAGTTGATGATTATAATAATTTATGGGCAATTAATGTAAAGGACGTGATGAACATAGAACTGAAAAATCTAACAATTCATTATCTTAATCTATCCCATCTAAAAAACCTAGATTATAAGATTTCAAGAAAATTAAAAAGCTAGGCTAAGGAGCTTATGGATCTGTATTCTTAGTTGAACATAGAAATGAATATTATGCTATGAAAGAGATTGCCAAGTCAAGAATTTAAAAGTAAAGTACAAAGTAACACATTGAATCAGAAAGACAAATTCTTTAAAGCACTAAAAGTAAATACCTTGTTGAACTTAAATTTGCATTTTAAGATGAAAAAAATTTATACATGGTTGTAAATTATGTCAAAGGAGGAGAGCTATTCTTTCACATAAGAGAAGCAGGTAGTTTTAGTTTAGAAGTATGCAAATTTTATTCAGCCCAAATACTTATGGCTATATTAGATTTACATAACTAGAATATTATATATAGAGATTTAAAACCAGAAAATATACTCTTAGATGAATAAGGACATGTAGTATTAACAGATTTTGGATTAAGTAAACATTTATTATAAGATGAAAATACTAAAAGTATGTGTGGAACTCCAGAATACTTGGCACCTGAAATCATTCTATCAAATAATGGATATTCTTTTGAAGTGGATTATTACAGTTTGGTATAATATATAATATAATTCTATAGGGATGCATTATATATGAAATGCTAACAGGTAAACCTCCATTCTACTCAACTAATAAAAGATAAATGTTTCAAGATAGATTGAATAAATAGATAATTTGGCCTGATTCATTTGATGAAAAAGCTAGATCTCTAGTAAATGGATTATTGGAAATAGATGTACTATAAAGTAATATCTTAGCCATTAAAAAGATTATAAGGGAATTAAATAAAATAACATCAATTTTTTGAAGATATTTGTTTTGATGAACTTAGGAATGTAAAACCTCCTTATAATTACAACTAATCATCATCATCAAAGTACTTTGAATAATTCACCAACAAATCAGTATTTTTATTAACTTCATCAACAAAAGCTTAAGATTGTGCTTATTAATTCCAAGATTTTACTTATCAATAAAGTTGATTGCAAATATCATTCAAATTATATATTCATTTTATTATTGATTTCAAATTATGTTATAGNATACGTCATTTATTTAATGATTATATTAATTGGTAATAATATTTCTAAAGTCCTTAAAAATCATTCTAATCATATAAATCAATCATTCTGAATATAAGATTTATAAATGATGAGTTGATGATTATAATAATTTATGGGCAATTAATGTAAAGGACGTGATGAACATAGAACTGAAAAATCTAACAATTCATTATCTTAATCTATCCCATCTAAAAAACCTAGATTATAAGATTTCAAGAAAATTAAAAAGCTAGGCTAAGGAGCTTATGGATCTGTATTCTTAGTTGAACATAGAAATGAATATTATGCTATGAAAGAGATTGCCAAGTCAAGAATTTAAAAGTAAAGTACAAAGTAACACATTGAATCAGAAAGACAAATTCTTTAAAGCACTAAAAGTAAATACCTTGTTGAACTTAAATTTGCATTTTAAGATGAAAAAAATTTATACATGGTTGTAAATTATGTCAAAGGAGGAGAGCTATTCTTTCACATAAGAGAAGCAGGTAGTTTTAGTTTAGAAGTATGCAAATTTTATTCAGCCCAAATACTTATGGCTATATTAGATTTACATAACTAGAATATTATATATAGAGATTTAAAACCAGAAAATATACTCTTAGATGAATAAGGACATGTAGTATTAACAGATTTTGGATTAAGTAAACATTTATTATAAGATGAAAATACTAAAAGTATGTGTGGAACTCCAGAATACTTGGCACCTGAAATCATTCTATCAAATAATGGATATTCTTTTGAAGTGGATTATTACAGTTTGGTATAATATATAATATAATTCTATAGGGATGCATTATATATGAAATGCTAACAGGTAAACCTCCATTCTACTCAACTAATAAAAGATAAATGTTTCAAGATAGATTGAATAAATAGATAATTTGGCCTGATTCATTTGATGAAAAAGCTAGATCTCTAGTAAATGGATTATTGGAAATAGATGTACTATAAAGTAATATCTTAGCCATTAAAAAGATTATAAGGGAATTAAATAAAATAACATCAATTTTTTGAAGATATTTGTTTTGATGAACTTAGGAATGTAAAACCTCCTTATAATTACAACTAATCATCATCATCAAAGTACTTTGAATAATTCACCAACAAATCAGTATTTTTATTAACTTCATCAACAAAAGCTTAAGATTGTGCTTATTAATTCCAAGATTTTACTTATCAATAAAGTTGATTGCAAATATCATTCAAATTATATATTCATTTTATTATTGATTTCAAATTATGTTATAGTTGTTTCATTATCAAAAAAATAAAAAATCTAATTATAGAATAAATAATATTTTATATAAATGAAATAATACTTAATTTTATTAATGTATTTTATAAAGTAACTAAATAAATTTATTATTAAAACTAATTAAGACTAGAAATACAAAGTTCCATCTAAATTTAAAATGATTTGTAATAGAAGTTATAATCAATAAATTAAAAATTTTTAAGTCTGGCTGGTATTTTGGTCTAGAAAAAATTATAGAATAGTAGGATGAGTGTAAATGAAATTAATAAGGGCAACTTTAATTTTTCATTATAAATCTTATCCTTTAAAATAACAACTAAATGTTAACATCTTATTTTCATTAATAAATTTAATATAGAGAGAACAATTTTTTTGGATCATCTTCTCAGTCGTTTAAAATAAACAAAAATCAAATATTAAAAATAACATAATATCTAAGTAATTTGTGTATTCATATAAAATAATGGTTGCAAGTATTCAATAGATTTTACACCTTAAAAATTTCTTATTGAATTGTTAAGCATACATAAAAATCTGTTTCTGCCGTTTCATTTAATAAATGTATATTAACAAATCTGTTGTAATATCATTTAGCCTTATTGATACAGAAGTTTCAGTTTTACATTTTTCAAAAAAGAATATATATATCGTTATTATTGAAGTGAAAAATATAAGACAATTATTATAAATAAATATAAATGAAATTATCAAGTCATTTATATTGATTATAATTGAATAAATCAACAAAAAATCTTATTTAATTAAATATTAAATTTCTAGAAGGAAAATCTTATGAACTGATTTAAACTATTAAATATATTTGTAAAGTTTTCATGCATTATATATAAACATAGCTAAATATCTGATATTCCAGTTGATTAATTAAAGGAGTTATCAGAATTTTAATAAAATCAATAAATATGTAACATTAATTGATTATTGATAATATAATTAAATTAAGAAAAGTCTTTATTAAAGGTTAATTTAAAAAGTATTTATAGATGGGTTCAGGTTAAAGTAAAACCAAGAAGAAAGCGGCCTAATTAAAATAACCGAAAATTTAAAGTATTATTTTCTAGACATTTTTTAGATGAAGAATTAAAAAGGTAACCCCAATATGAGGATGATGTTATTGACGCTGCTAATTTAGCTATAGCCATTTAAAAAGAAGATCTTACAACTAATATAGAATTATTTGTTCATTGTGAAGGTTTGCCTAAAATGGATGCATTCTCATTAACAGATCCTGTTGTTGTTGCTTATTATGAAAAGGAGTATATAATAAATTTATACCAATTATAGTGATAAATGGGTTTATATTGACAGAACAGAGATAATTCCAGAATCTTTAAATCCTAAATTTGTTAAGACTTTTATAGTTAATTATATATTTGAAAGAAAACAAAAGTTAAGATTTGAAATTTATGATATTGATGATTTTGAAGCCATTGATAATTTAGAGAGATAAGAATTTATTGGTTTTGTAGAATGTGAAATCAGAGATATTGTTTGTGCTCCAACTTAATCAATCTCAAGAACTATTATTAATAGAAAGTCAAATAGAAAAAGAAATGGACTATTGCATATCAGAGGAGCAGAATATGATATGGGTGGAAATACAATTCTATTCTAAATTGGATGTTAGTAATTTACAACAAAAGCTGAAGTACTATTAAGGATGTCATATTTTACTGATAATAAGGATTGGATGCCAATTCATGCAACAGAACCAATTAAATATTAAAAAAAATAAACTGTATAATTTAATGATTTTTATCTTCCACTCAGTAAATTTGGAAATAATGAATAAGCTTAAATCAAATTAGAAATTGAAGAATATAATAAAACTAAAGGAACTACTTAATTAGGAGAATGTGAAACAACTTTGCAATAATTAATGGAAAATTCTGGTAAAACTCTTAGAATGACTAAAAATGGATTAATAGTTGGATAATTGAAATTGATTTAAGTGAAGTAACATAGTAGATATAGTTTTTTAAATTATATATATTCAGGTGCAAAGATTTAAGTTATTGTTGCTTTGGATTTCACAAATTCTAATTAAATTATTAATGAAGAGGGAGGATAAGCAGAATTATCTACATCAAATGATTACATAAGTGCATTAAAACAAATTTTAGGAATTCTCTAATATTATAATAATGAAAATAGATATCCAGTGTATGGTTTTGGAGCTAAATTACCTCCCTATTATAATGTTGTAAGTCATTGTTTTGCTTGCACAGGCAATATATTTGATCCTTATGTATATGGAGAAGTTGATGAAATCATAAATTTATATAAAGAAATCTTACAAGGTGTGGTATTACATGGACCTACAGTATTTTCATAAATTATTTCATAAGCTATTGAATTTGCAGCAAATGAAAAAGTAGATTAAAATAAGTAATTATTTAATGATATATATTTAGTTAAAAATATTATATTCTTTTGATTTTAACAGATGGGTCCATAAATGATATGCAATCTACTATAGAATAAATTTATAGAGCCTAAGAATATCCATTATCAATTATTATTGTTGGAATAGGTAAAGAAGATTTTAACAATATGAGAATTTTAGATGGAGATGATCCATAGCATAAAGTAATTAATTTATAATAATATTTTAGTTACGTTCAAAAATTCATAATGATGATATCAAAAGAGATTTGGTTTAATTTGTTGAATTTAATTCTGTTAGAGATAACTAAGATAAATTAGCTAAAGAAACATTAGCAGAAATTCCTAGACAATTTTTAGAATATATGGAAAAGAATAAAATATATCCAGCAAAAGGAAAAAAAAATACTAAAGCTGCAACAAATGATTTTATTCATTCTAAAATTGATGAAATGAAAAAATTAAAAAAGAAAGAAGGTGTCATTAGTGGTAAAATACCTTAATTTTTAAATCAACAAAAAGAAGAATTTATTAAATAATTAGTATAACTAGGATATGATCGATTAGCAGTTACTAATGTAATTAATAATGATGGAGTTCCTTGTAAAGATGTCAATTTAGTAATTGAAATTTTAAGTTAAAAATAAAAGCAAATGTAGATCTAACATCCTAGAGATGGCCATTTCTTGAGTAAAAGAAGTGAAATGGCTTAAAAATTATTAGCTAATGTTTCTTCTTCAGATTCTAAAATAACACACAGAGTCTTTTGTATTAGATAAAGAAATAAAATAGATGAACTTATGTAATTAAAAAAGTAAGAATCAAAAATTACAGCAACTAATTTTCTCTTTAAATTAACAGAACAATCTAAACCAAAACTTAAGCCTGTTGTAGAATAGAAAAGACAAATAATTGAATCTTAAAATAACTATGAAACTACAAAAATAGGGTAATCAAAAGAAAATTTATGTTTAAATTGTGATTAAAATAAAATAGAACTAGTTTTTATACCTTGTGGTCATGCCTGTTCATGTTTACAATGTTATAAGAATCTATAGTATTGCATCAGTTGCAAATAGAAAGTGCAAATGTTTGCTTAGATTGACTATAAATCATGATATATTATATTATTTTAAAAACTAAAATTACTTATTTTTAAATAAGTCTAGGTTTAATTCTAATAATTATCAAATATATTTTATAATTTAGTTTTTTTTCAAAATGGCCTAATAGTTGTTAATTAGAGATAATATAGATTAACTTTTGTTTTTATGACATAAACCCCTTTATTAAATTGTAATAATTCAATTTCTCTTATCATAGAATTAAGGATGACTCAAAAATAATTCAAAAATAATACTACTAATAGTCAAATAAATAATTGAATACATTTTGAAGTCCCTTATTCTTAGATTAAACTTCCCCTCATAAAATTTCACATGTCAAATAGAAGTAATATTTACAAATTTTATATTTAATTTATATCGGCCATTTTTTTTAAATTATTGATTTTAACAAATCAATAAATCCTAAGTAATATAAGGATTTAAAACTAATTAAAATACAATTTTTTTTCTAAACTACTTATTTGATAATAAAATTAGAAAGAATTATCAATACGTAAGTATTTAAGATTTTTATATAACTTCGAGTAATTGAAATGAAATANATTCATTCTAAAATTGATGAAATGAAAAAATTAAAAAAGAAAGAAGGTGTCATTAGTGGTAAAATACCTTAATTTTTAAATCAACAAAAAGAAGAATTTATTAAATAATTAGTATAACTAGGATATGATCGATTAGCAGTTACTAATGTAATTAATAATGATGGAGTTCCTTGTAAAGATGTCAATTTAGTAATTGAAATTTTAAGTTAAAAATAAAAGCAAATGTAGATCTAACATCCTAGAGATGGCCATTTCTTGAGTAAAAGAAGTGAAATGGCTTAAAAATTATTAGCTAATGTTTCTTCTTCAGATTCTAAAATAACACACAGAGTCTTTTGTATTAGATAAAGAAATAAAATAGATGAACTTATGTAATTAAAAAAGTAAGAATCAAAAATTACAGCAACTAATTTTCTCTTTAAATTAACAGAACAATCTAAACCAAAACTTAAGCCTGTTGTAGAATAGAAAAGACAAATAATTGAATCTTAAAATAACTATGAAACTACAAAAATAGGGTAATCAAAAGAAAATTTATGTTTAAATTGTGATTAAAATAAAATAGAACTAGTTTTTATACCTTGTGGTCATGCCTGTTCATGTTTACAATGTTATAAGAATCTATAGTATTGCATCAGTTGCAAATAGAAAGTGCAAATGTTTGCTTAGATTGACTATAAATCATGATATATTATATTATTTTAAAAACTAAAATTACTTATTTTTAAATAAGTCTAGGTTTAATTCTAATAATTATCAAATATATTTTATAATTTAGTTTTTTTTCAAAATGGCCTAATAGTTGTTAATTAGAGATAATATAGATTAACTTTTGTTTTTATGACATAAACCCCTTTATTAAATTGTAATAATTCAATTTCTCTTATCATAGAATTAAGGATGACTCAAAAATAATTCAAAAATAATACTACTAATAGTCAAATAAATAATTGAATACATTTTGAAGTCCCTTATTCTTAGATTAAACTTCCCCTCATAAAATTTCACATGTCAAATAGAAGTAATATTTACAAATTTTATATTTAATTTATATCGGCCATTTTTTTTAAATTATTGATTTTAACAAATCAATAAATCCTAAGTAATATAAGGATTTAAAACTAATTAAAATACAATTTTTTTTCTAAACTACTTATTTGATAATAAAATTAGAAAGAATTATCAATACGTAAGTATTTAAGATTTTTATATAACTTCGAGTAATTGAAATGAAATAGATTGTATTCCTAAATAAACTTATTTTAAATATTCTTTATATGTATCAGAAAACAAAGGCGGCTAAGACTAAACTGGCTGCAAGTATAGCTCCATTCTTGGTGGCTGGAGCAGGTGTAGCAGCAGCTGGAGCTGGAGCTGGGGCTGGGGCTGCGGCTGCTTCAGCATAGTGTAAACGGAAGTTCACTAAAATAAAATCATTATATACATCTATCTGATTCCTCTTCTTCTTCTGATTCTTCTTCAGATGATGATTAAGCATCGGATTCCTCTTCTTCTTCTGATTCTTCTTCAGATGATGATTAAGCATCAGATTCCTCCTCTTCTTCTGATTCCTCTTCTGATGATGATTAAGCATCAGATTCTTCTTCTTCTTCTTCTGATTCTTCTGATGATGATTAAGCATCTGATTCCTCTTCTTCTTCTGATTCTTCTTCAGATGATGATTAAGCATCTGATTCCTCCTCTTCTTCTGATTCCTCTTCTGATGATGATTAAGCATCTGATTCTTCTTCTTCTTCTTCTGATTCTTCTTCTGATGATGATTAAGCATCGGATTCCTCTTCTTCTTCTGATTCTTCTTCAGATGATGATTAAGCATCTGATTCTTCTTCTTCTTCTGATTCTTCCTCTGATGATGATTAAGCATCTGATTCCTCCTCTTCTTCTGATTCCTCTTCTGATGATGATTGGGCATCTGATTCTTCTTCTTCCTCTGATTCTTCCTCTGATGAAGATTAGGCCAAAAGATCTGAGCTTTCTTCTGATTCTTCTTCTTCTGATGATGATTAAGCATCAGAACTGCTTGATTATGGATGTTTGGGGGCATGCTTACCCTTTGTGGCAGCTAAAATATAATTTTTCAGTTGAGTCAGGAGATATGAATTTGCGAATAAATATATAATATATAGGGGTTAGTGTTGATATAAATGAGTAGTTTACCTTGTGCGCTAAATGCAAGCATAGATATGAGCAATAAAGCAAGAAGTGTTTTGGACATTTTCGTTAACTTTTATTTTTATTTAAATAAAATTTCAAATCCGAATTTGCTTATAATTCTAATAATGCGTAATTATGATTTCTTAAATCTTTTTCATTCCCTAACTAAATCTAAATTAATATTTAGTATAAGTTTATTCCCTAATTATTTATATGTATATTTGAAGGATTTAAAGAATAGCATTACATAATGAATTAGATAGAAAATTAACTTTCCTTAATTAATATTCATATAAAGAGGAAAAGAAACTATTATGTAAAATCTAAGACAATTAGTTTAACCTTAACATTGTCATAATCAGTTGGGAATCAAAAAATTTTACATAAACAAAGAAATTGTCATAATCTAAATGAAAAAAATGATTCTTTTTAAATTTAGAATATATCCTATAAATGTATTCACTCAATTTGGATTATTCTTGTCTACTTTCCATACATAGCCCCAATGAGCAGCTTCTTTATTCTCATATGTAATTTCTGGTATAGATAATTGTTAAAAGTTGTTGTTATGTCATAAATGACTAATTCATAATATTTATTGTTGTAATTGGTTTCATATTATTTACTCATAATTAATTTAATTGGAAAAGAAATTTTGTTTTCTTAACTTATACTCAGCTAGCATAAAGGAATTGAAATTGTTTTTGTATTTACAAAAGTTATTTAAAAAAAAAATTCAAATAATATTCCAAACTTTTACTATAATTTATTATAAATATGTATTTATTGAAAGTTAGATATAATTGAAATAAGATGATCTAGTATCAGTATTGATTTCATTTGAAGAAGAATGGTAATTTTAAAATATTTAAACAAATTTTGATTTAAAAATAGATTATTCATGTTAGTTAAAAACTTTTCCTAAAATTTTTGATATACAAACTTTTAGTTACAACTAAGAACCTTGATAACATCAAATTTGGTTTTTTTAAGAACTTGAAATCTGCAATACAACTATTATTTATGATCCAATTTTTTTTCGAATAAAACTAAAGTTATACTTAGAAAAAATAATAAGGCATCATGTAGTAAATTAACATTTAAGAAAATACTCTTTATTCTATTTTTTCTAAAATCTGCTAATTTATTTAAAATATAGTAAACCTCTTATTTATTGATAACTTTACTTTTTCTATTATAATTTTTTGCTAATAACCTTTGTGATGCCAAAAATACAATAAAAATTACTTAGTTGTTAGGATATGTGTATTATTTTCTAGTTATTTCCTTTATATAATTTAAAATTAGATTCATACTTTATCTGCTTTATACTGACTAATATCGTTGTAATTAAATGAATACTCAATTTTCTTAACTATATTTACGAGCAATATGAATATATAGTTAAGATTTTATTTAATTCATCAAATTCAGTAATATTGGTAATAAAGCATCTCGTATAAAATTCTGATGTGATCCTATGATTATAAATTCCACAATAAAATCAAATTTGAACCTGAAAATTCCCTAAAACAAAGATGAAGGATAAAAATCTGTAAAAACTTTTAAAACCAGTCTTTAATTAAATTTCTGTAAAAAATATTTTTATGTTCGAAGATAATATACATGATATTTAATTTTTAAAGGGCACTAATTCTTATAGAAACCCTGTCTCTGTATTCAACTTTAAGATTTAAGCTTTAAAATTTCTAATTTTTATGTCTTTTCCGATTAATATATCACCTAACAGAAAAACTATTGATTAGTAAATATATTACATGGAACAAAAAAATAAAGAGGCTTCTATTTAAATTAAGAAAAGAAAACATTGGACTTCAAAAGAAGACAAATTGTTAGAAAAGGCTGTTCAACTGCATAACTCAAATTGGAAAACTATAGCAGAGTATCTAATAGGAAGAAATGCAAGTTAATGTTAACAAAGATGGAAAAGAATTAAGCCTTATTCTGTATTCAAAAGTCTTACTTATTTTAAGATTGAAAAAAGGAATTTTTGGTCTCCTTAAGAAGATGAATTACTAAAAGGACTTGCAACATAACATCACTTTGAATGGAAGAAAATTACAGGCTTTTTCCAGAATAGATCAAATAAGCAAATCCGAGAACGATACATCAATCATTTAGACCCTCTTATAAATAAAAATCCATGGACTGAAGAAGAAGATTAATCTGTATGGGCATTATATTAATAATTTGGACCGAGATGGTCTAAAATTTCATCCATCCTTAAAGGGAGACCTGTATTCTATTCGTTTTTGTATATTATTAATAGGAGAACTCAATAAAAAATAGGTTTTATGGTCACATTAGATAATTTTATGCGTAGGAACAAAATCCTTACTATATAGTTACTGAGTAGAAAAAAAGTCTAGAAATAGATGAAAAAGAGGAGTTGTAATAGAGAGATATCACTTCATTATGCAAAAAAAATACCATATTCAAAAATAAAAATTTAAGTAATTTATATTGATAATTAAAATAGATAATAAAAAAGTGATAATTAATTTAAAACCGAATTCTTTAGATAATATTGATTAAAGTAATATGATTTAAGAGATAAGCAAAAGAAAAATGAATGATATGGATTTTGAATAATTCTTTGTTTCAGAATAATAAAGAGATAGTTCATATTCAAAGCAATTATACAGATGCAATAATATAGAAAATTATTCAATAATAAATTTCTAATCAATTGAATATGATAATAATGAAGATTCATTTATGCAAATAGAAAATAGATTGATTACGTCAACTTATGAATTCGATTTTATGTAAAATTAGCAACCTAAAATTTGCAGTGATCAAAATGCAAAATCTTGAGAAGATGAGCTAAAAAAGTTTGAAAATAATTAAAATATGCTTAATAAATTAAATTATAACTGATTTTTTACAAAATAAGAATTCTTGAAAATATAACAAAATATCTTAGTATGATTTGAAGAGTAATTTTTTAGGAATATCAGTAACATAATTAATTCTTATTTAATAATTAATTTAAAAAAAAAAATATGCGACATTTAACATCGTTTTTTTTTCACTCAACAATTTGTTTCTACTCTGATCAATATCAGACTTATCTTTTTTTTCACTTATTAATATCATTCTATGTCCCCATATTGTATAATGATATTTATATAATTAAAATAATTTAATTGTTAATTAAATTTCAAATAAAAAAAAATAAAATGATAAAAGTTTAACTCTTCTAAATTAATCAAAATTTATTTCAATCTCATATTGAAAAATTTATCTTCCAATAACTACATACTATTTAATTCATAAATATTGAATAATACTCTCATTTTTCTAATAATCTCTATACAAATATTGAATTTAATGATTAAATGGCTGTTTACAATTTATAATTCTATTCTTAAGCTGATTACCTTAATTGCTTTCTTTAATAAAATTTATTTTCCTAAATTTCTGTTAAATAATAATCTCAAAAGGATAACCCTTTTCAAGATGCCCTTGACTTTGTTTATAAATCCTAAATATTCGAAAAGTTTTAAAAATTTCTAAAAACTCTAGAAGTTTACATGAATTCTATTTTCACCTTAATATCGTTGATAGAAATTGCTATTTTCATAATTCAAAGGTGAATTTTTGAAAATAAAATATAAAAAACAAATATAAGTTAATACTAATATCAATTTAGCTAAATATTCTCTTTATTGTGTCTAAATAAACTAATTCTCTATGAAATAAACACAATATATTTTATTTATTTAATTGATTTTTTTTTAAAGGTTAAGCCTCGGATATAGTGGAAAGTATTTAAAACTAATTTAATGAATATATTTTACAAATCATTATCTGGATAAAAAGAAAATAATATTATTGTAATCATTCATCTAATATTGTAAGAATGTTAAATTAAAAAAAATTATAGTTGATAAATAAGGGCTCTTTTAAATAAATCATTTGAAATGGTTTTACGCCTTCAATATAGCAATATAGACTAATATAAAAAGGTTATTAAATTTATAAATATATCCTTAAAATTAATGAATATATTGATTTATATAAATAAAACAATTAAAAAGCATCAAGATAAGCATTTATCTAATTCACTAAATTATTTCTTACTTGTCTAAATAATTGATGAGAGATTATCCATTAGCATTAATTTCAATAAAATGATTAGGTTAACCAGAAACAATAAATTATTCTATTCCTTGGTTGTTATTATGTTCAAAATAATTCAGAATTTTTTCTACATCAGGTATGTAATTAAAATCTAATATTTGAGCATATTGCTCTGGAATATTTAGATTTATTTTACGCAGTTTATTCCTCCATTCTATTTCACTATTTCTTTTGTCAATTTTAATTTAATTTTCTATTTCAATTAATTTTATCTTATTCAAATATTACACCCATATTTCATTTGAAAAATGATTACTTAATTATCTTATTAATGTTTATTCTTATTCACTCTACTCAATATTAGAGGAAGACTCTTAAATTTAGCTGTAAGAGCTTTTCCATTCTGTAATTTAGCTACTTTTATTGCTCATAGAATATTTAGATAAATCTCCATATTTAGTATTTGAAGAATCTTCTATAGTTCTACTTGATATCAATTTAGCTTAATTTTATTCTATGATTTATTGAGTTTATTCTTGTTTTATGAATTTTTTTTCTTTGATTATCTATTTGATTATATTAGTAAGTGCATCAATTTAAAATGATTTTTCTAAATTAGAATTTGGAGTCATAGAAAATTAATTTGTATCTAATATAATGGAATCTTAATTTTAAGTAATTTATGATTTCTTGGATAAATAATTCATAATCTATTTTCTTAGATTTGTTTTTATAGTTTCTTATAAATAATTTAATCCAATAGGTAAGATAATAATTTAAACAGTCCATCTATTTATGATTTCTTAAAGGAATTTAGAATCAGCTAAAAAATATTTAAGAATATAAAATACATTAAATATATTCCTAGAATAGTGAATAATTTGATCCAAATAATTATGATGCTTTTTAATAAATGGCATGAGTATCTTTAACAATATTTTATAATAATGCTGCATATGGTTGTCCAACTTTTAATTTCGAGTGACCAATCCAATGAATTGATAATTCATGCATAGAAATATCTAACAAAGAGGATGATAAATGTCCTAATAAACAATTAATTGCATTGGATATTTATTAAAAATACTAATCTTTAAATATCTAATTTTTAGTTATTTTACTAAGTTAATTTTATTAATCTTAATCCAATATAAAAATTTGAAGTAATTAATATCTTTTTTCACTTAATAAAATATTAAATGACTATAAAATGCTTTATTCTATTGTATCATTAGATTGAGTTTAATCATATTTGTCTTATAAAATTATTTATGTCCATATTCTTCCTGCTATGGTAATGAAACTATATGAAGGGATATTAGTTTTATAAAATGTAGTAAATATTTAATCTATGTATTTAAACAATTCTTCAAAGTAAATATTTAAACTCCAAATAGTTCCCATATATGTTCTCCATAAAACAATATAGAAATTTAAAATTTAAGCTTATACTTTTCCTTTTTTAATGATTCTTAATACATTTCTACTAAACAAACATCTTAAATATAACATATGCAAAATATGTGCAGCAAGATTGAGTAAAGTTGGTACATTGGTTATAGTAGAAGGATCTCTTATAAAATTATCAATAATAACCCATTTTATTTCCATTAACAATTATGTATGTTAGAGGTTTTAAATTTTATACTGATCCAAACATTCTTAATAATAAAATTAAAATTTCTCATTTAGATTAAAATCTACTGATATATTACAATTAACATCATCACTATTTTATGCCATATATAATTAAAACCAACTTGTAGTAGCTTATTTTAATTAATCATCAGTCAAAATAGCAATTGGCAATAGTGGTTCAATTAATGAATTAATTATTAAGTCACTCAAATTTTATGTTAAATTCATCTCTCTATTCAATTAATTCATCATTAATCTAAGTATTTTTTGATAATATTACTTTGACTTCTAAAATGATTGGTATATCCAAAACCAACTTTCATCTTAATTCAATTCAATCTTTAGAAGCTATTCACTAAATGCTGCTTAAAATCTTAGATCTGATCCATATTCAATGAAACTTGAAATTTACATCTTTCTTATATATAATTAACTCAAAAAGTTCGCATATATGTTGCTACTCAGTTCAACCATAAACTTTAGTTTTCTGTTTACTAATTTCAATTATAAAACTTCTTTGATGTTAAGAAAATTGAAAACGTATTGAATTAATTTCACAGAATACAAAGGCATATCCTCAACAATTAAATGACTTAAATTTTGTATATGTAATTACTTTAAAATTCTTCTTTGACTCATTTAACTTTGTAAATTTCTGAAATTCTTGTTCTAATATTTATCCTTAAATTAAGTTTGCTTATTAATATCCTGTAGAGATTCTTTTTGTTTTTAACTTCCTAATTTTTACTATTATTGTATGCTTTGATTTCCCATAATTATTAATATTCCATAATCAATTATGAAAAATAATTGTAAAATATCTCAATAATATCAATATGGAAAATATATTTTCTAAATATTCAGAATCAGATTCTTGCATCTTAACACATGTGTTTCACATAATTCTTTCATTGAATATAGATTTTTAGATCCATATTGATTCAAATAATATAAATTTTGTAAGTCTAGTATAAATCAAGTTGAATTTCTTAATTTTATTCAATTTAACTATTCATAATTTAATATTGATTATATTAGTATTAGAATTATTATAATAATTTGTTTAGTATATTTACAAACACTTCATTCATATTAAGATTGAATTATTTCTAATTTAATTTATGTGAAATTAAAGTCTTAATAGAATCTGTAATTCTATTATAAACAATAAATTATGAGTTAATATAATGTCACAGTTGAGATGCCAAATTAGTAGATTTATTCTTTTAGTTGTCAACCCTAGAATATTAAACAAAAGTTACTCTAAAAAGACAACTAAATTCCTTGTGATAACATGATTCTAGTGGATAATTAGGATGATATATTTAGTGCAGTTAATATATCACACTTAATAAATACTCAGAATAAAGAATTAAAACTTCATTTTAAGGTTCTTGATGCTAAATAGCTTTATAAAGAATTCAAACAATAGGTTAACACAATTAAAAAATATTAATATGATTTGGATCAGAATAAAGAGAACTTAAAAAAATTATATTAAGAAATGAAAGATAAAGAAAATAATTATCAAAATGACCTATCCTCAAAAGAACAATAATATAATGAAAAAATTAGAATAAAACAAGAAGAATTTGAATAGATAAAAAAATAGTTTGAAAAAGATATTTAGTAAGCCTCTAAGAAAAATATTTAGCTTGAATCAGATATAAAAGAGATAGCTTATAATCATGACAAGTAAGAAAATAATATCAAAAAGTTAAAGGAGATAAATGGAAATTTAGAAAAAATTAATAAGGAATTATAAAGAAAAATTGAAGAATTTAACAAAATGATTTAAATATTCGAATAAAAAAATGAAGAATAAAAACAAAAGATTAATGAATTGGAAAAATATATTAACTATGTCAACTAAGAAAAATAGACATTATAGTAATAATATCAAATGTCTTATGATTAGACATGTTAATAATATCAGATGTCTTATGATTAGACATGTTAATAATATCAGAATTATTTAAATAATATGTAGAAAAATTACGAAAGTATTGTTCAATCTCAGGAATAGTCATAAAAAGATATTGAAAAACAAAAATAAATGTTAAAAAAAGAAGAGGAAAAAAACAAGCAATATTAAGACAAAATTATACAATATGAAAATAAAATTACGGATTTAGAAGCACAGATAAAATAGAAAGAAAAATAATTAGAAATAAAAAATAATGAAATTAATGATTGCAAGTAGTTAGGGAGGAGCTCAAAATGCTATTTTGATGAAGCTTCTGTAAAGGTTAGTTAGCTAGAAAAAGATAAGAAAAATTTATAAACTCAATTAGATGATATAAATTTGAATTTAATTACAAAAGATGAGGAATGTAATTAATAAATAATTTAAATCTAAAAGCTGATTATTTATTAAAAAGAATAAAAGTAAAAAATTGACTAGTTGGAATAAAAAGTTGAAGATTTAGAAGGAAATATTAGTTAAAAAGTAGACGAAATAAAAAAAAAAGATTCAAAATTATCAAATTTAAATTAAGAATTAAATGATTAAGCTGAATCAAACTAAAATCTTAAATACAAAAATTTAGAGTTAGTTAAATAAATAGAAGATTTGAAAGAAAAATTAAAGAACTAAAATAACAGAGAAGGATAATAATAATAAGTACTGCAAATATCAAAATCTTCAAGAATTTAACCAGATCGAGATGAAAAAGAATATATTAAAAAAAATCATGATCTCTAAAATCAATTGATGTAATCAAAATAGTAGAACTAATAAATAGAACGAGATATTAATGAGGTCAAACAGAAATTAAAGAGTATGGAATAAAATTAAGAAAATTATAAACAAAAGGTTAATTAATAAGAATAGAAATTGCATCAAGAAATCATATTATTAAAGGAATAATTATATTTTACAAACTAAATTATAAAGAAATTATCATAGAAAAACATGAATATATATTAATAAGGTGAAGTTACTAGCTTAATGCAAAGATTAATGTCATCTATTTATAGAATAAATGATTATCATTTAGATCCATAATCTATAATTAGTAGTTAAGAATATGAAATTTTTGAAATTATCTTGGAAAATGATAAAGCTAAATAATAAAAAATAAAATAATATTTTTTTTTTGAAGAATGTTTAACAACCAAAAAATTGGGAATTGTCAAACTAAAGAGAAATGTAAATATCAATGCAAATGCTGAATCTACATTTTTTAAGGGATATGTTAATTAAATCTAAGAGTCTACTGCAAAAGAACTTTAAGGAAAATATCTTTTAAGAAAAGAACTTATTTCTCAAGTAGAATAGTTTGATAATACTGAGGATATATTGGAAATTGTAAAAAACAATTTTTTATGTTAATTTTTATTGCAATAATTTAATGATGTTTTAATTTCATAAAAAATGAAGGTTTAAGAATATAAAATTGCAAGATAATTTATTTTAAAACATATATGTATATTTTATTTTATTTATATAAATAGAAAAAGTGGAATATTATTATTGTGAAATGGTAGAGGAAGGATAATATGAAAAAATAAATGGAGGTACTTTTATTCCAAATTAAAATGAAATTCATAAATATTTTAATGCATTCTCTAATTATGTTTTATAAAATTCAAAACAAGAATTAACAATCACTTATATTTAATTATGTGGAAAATATATTTATGATATGATAGTTACTAGTAATAACATAGGAGTCTTTTCACCTTTGGATTAAGGAGAAAATGAAATTATATAATTTAAAGGGAGCACAAAGGGAGAATTTATAAATTCAAATAATTATTATTGGAATTAAAAAATAGAAAATATTGCTAATAGTAGTATTTGATATAAGAATATTATATTAGAAATATTTGAAATTTCATAATATCACTATATTAGCTAATAGATAATCTAAAGTTTCTCTTTTTCTAATGATATATGGTTGACCATCTCTAATTAATATTTCTGCAGGTCTTTCTCTTAAATTATAATTGGAACTCATAGAAAAACCATAAGCTCCTCCATTCTAAACAACAAGAACATCATTAACTTCAACCTTTAAGTTTCTATCTATTCCTAGTAAATCTCCACTTTCACATATGTTTCCACAAACAGTAACAAGTTTTGGTTCAATTTATTTCTCTTCTGAATTGATTATTGCATGATAAGATTAATATAATGCTGGTCTAATGAGATGATGCATTCCTGAATCAGTACCTACAAATGTTTTTTATTTATTAGTATTAATAGCTTATACTGTGCATAATAAATAACCTGATTCAGCAATTAAATATCTTCCAGGTTCAATAAATAACATAGGTTTGACGTTAATAAAATATTTATCATATAATTTTTTGATTTCTGAAAAAAGGATATTTAAATCACTAATTTCTTCATATTCTTGATATTTGACTCCAAATCCTCCTCCAATATCTATATATTTTAAATAAGGTAAATCTAATTCTTAGGTTGCAGCTTAAAATAATTTTTCAATTCCTAATAAATAAAAATCATGATCCTTTTTCATAATTTTACTGCCCATATGTTAATGTAATCCAATGATTTTGACACCTTATTTTTAAATTTCAATTAATTATTCCTTCCACATGAGATTTATACCAAATTTACTATCATTTCCTCCTGTATTTACATGATTATGATGTCCAATACCTATATCCAGATTTAATCTGATAATCACTTCAGCTTTATATTCAATTAATTTTTTTAAAGTATCTATTTCTCCAACATTTAGAATTACTCCTTTTTGGATTGCATAATTAATTTCCTCTTTTGTCATATAATTTGCTGTATAGGTAATTTAATTATTAAGAAATCCAGCTTGTAAAGCAACTTCAATCTCATTTGGTGAGACTGCATCTATACCATGTATTCCATTTAATCTCATTATTTTTAAAATGTTTGGATTACTGTTGGCTTTACAAGCATACAAAACTTTAGCACCTTAATCAAATGAATTTTATAAGGCTGCCGTTATTGTTTAACACTATCTCTTAATAATCTCCTCATCATAAACATATAAAGGAGATCCAAATTATTAAACCAAAGCTTTAGATGTTAGATTTTAGATTGTAAAATTGCTATCCATAATAATTAATGAAAAAATACTAAGATTTATATACACTTAAATGTTTATATATATGGAATAATATTAATATTAAATTTATCAATAAACTACGCATCTATCCCACCAACTTGGCAAAGCTGTTTTTGATTTAAAGTGACGAATCTAGAATGTTAATTATAATTTCTTACGCAGAATTTTCTTCCTTCATTCCAAATAATCATCACCATACCATAAGGTAATGCACATATGCCATAATGTATAAAAATGATATCTCTTGTTCCAAAGACAGTATTGAATGCTTCTAGATATGACAAACTCCAAGTCAATAAGAATTCGACAAAGTAAGCTAAGATCATAAAGTAATTGTGGAATCCTAAGAATAATATATAATAAAATACCATTGAATAAACCAGCACTTTTCAATTGCCTTAATGCTTAATAATTACATATTTAACCAGCAACAACTGCAAAGAAGAATGAAGTTTATGCATAGCTTGATGCTTCTGTATGATAACAATAAGGCTTCTTAGTTATTGGAGAAACCAAATTAACATGACATTCACCAAATTCAATATTAGGTACAATTTTACCATCTTCACATTTAAGATAAGCCATTCTTAAATCATATTTACCATGATTAGCATATACCCAATCAATATCTTCTTATCCATCTAAATCAGTTCCAGTACATGTTCCATCTTTATAACTTTCTTTAAGATTTGTATTACCAAACCAAGGATCATTTGGATCATAGATATCATTCTCTTTTGGAAGTACTCCTTACTTATTTGAGATGAAATAGAGAGTAGTAGGAGTAAACCCAAAATCATTGAATGAAACATACCATTAAAAGAATCCACAAAATGTTTCTAAAATACCATTTTATGTATAAGAGAACCACAATAATTATCCACCAACTAAATGTTCATTTTTAGTCCTTGGCCTTCTTGTCATAACATCTAAATCAGCATCCTCAAATACAAACACCATTGATGGAAAGACATCAGTACCTACTTCTATACATAAAACCAACACAGTAGTTAATGGTAAAGGTAATCTGAAAATGATAAATCCTAAAAATGGAACTAATTCAGCAATATTAGAAGTCAAACAGTAAACAATACACTTTTTAAAATTATCAAATATCTTTCTGCCTTCTTCAATTCCAACAACAATACTAGAAAAATCATCATTTAATAAAATCATATCTGCAGCATCTTTAGCAACATCAGAACCTGTAATACCCATTGCAATTCCAATATCTGCTTTTTTTATTGCAGGACTATCATTAACTCCATCTCCAGTAACTGCTACAATATGACCTCTTCTTTAACAACCAGCAACAATAATTAATTTTTATGCAGGACTGGTTCTTGCAAATACTAATTATGGTTTACTAAGCCATTCTTATAATTATCTACCCTTTTCATCTTCTGGTAATCCTTCATCATCAATTGCCATTTTAGTTAATCTATCTCCATGAATTACTAAAGCATTTGATTAATGAAATGCTTCTTCAAAAGAGATATTCTTTTCTTCCATTATTTCATTTACTGTTTTTTCTGTAATGATATTACATTATCTAGCAATGGCAGCTGCTGTAACTGGTTAATCACCAGTAACCATAATAACTTAAATACCAGCTGATTTACATTTCAAAACAGCATGTGGAACATTATCTTTAGGTGGATCAATTAAAGATATCAATCCAACAAATGCTTATTTAGTAAATGGGAAATTCATTTTATCTAAGTTGAATTAGAATCCTAAAGGAAATTATTCTTTTGGTAAATGAAGTCTAGCAAAGCCTAACACTCTTTCACCCTATTTACCAAATTAGGCATTCACTTAATCAAATCCTTTTTCCCATTTTTCATCCTTTACTTCAGTTTTTCCATTATTATAAACTGTTTCACATAGTCCCCAAATTCTCTCAGGAGCTCCTTTTGTTAATAAACAATAATGTGAACTCTCTGTTTCATATTCAACAATAATAAAAGCATATTTATTGGTTGAATTAAATGGTTTTCTTGCTTATTTCATATTTAAATCTCTAGCAACATTTCTGGAAGTTCTTGTTTAGAGAATATCCTTTATTGGTTGAAAGAATTTTATTAGAGCTGTTTCAGAAGCATCTCCTACAGTAGGTTTTTCTTAACATGGTAATTTATCATATGCTGCTTTCCATTTTGCTTTAGCTTCTTCCATTTTTGCATCTTTTTATTCTTATGTTAAACCAATTAAATTTTGTATTTTAATTTGTTATTCTTATGGTAAGCTACTATCAAAGACAGCCTCTGAACATATAATAGCTGTTTCATGAAGTAGTTAAAATCCAGGATCTTTGAGATCATATTCATATTTAAATTCTGGTCCCATTTTCTCTCTACTATGACCTCTCATCTTTTTACCATTATACCAAATATTCTCAACAGTCATCTTATTTTATGTTAATGTCCCTGTTTTATCAGAACAAATACAAGAAGTAGAACCTAAAGTTTCCACACCTTCTAAATTTTTGACTAAGACTTTCAATCCTGCTAATTTCTTTGCTGTTAATGTCAAGGCAACAACAACAGTGGCTAAAAGACCTTCTGGGACATTTGCAACAATAATACCAATAGCAAATATTAGATTAGTAACGGCAGCTAAAGAATATAAATATTAGTATACGATATCCAACAGCAAATCCAAGTACAAAGAACACAACTCCAATAGATATGGCAATATAAGCAATATAAGTAATAAAGGCATTTAACTCTTATTTTAAAGGAGTCTCATCACTTTCAGAACTTTCGACCAACCCTGCTATTTATCCTATAACTGTTTTATCTCCTGTAAATAAGACAATCCCTTTACCGTTACCCTGAAATATTAATTTGAATTACTTCTTTGCATAATGTTCCAAAAAATGCTAAATTTTTAGTTTCCAAAGGATTCTATGGATGAGAGCATTCAGTAGTTCTTAAGAGCAACATTGATTCACCAGTCAAACTAGAATTATCAACCTTCATTTCATTGCTCTCAATAATTCTAATATCAGCTGGAATACGTTTTCCAAATTCAACTAATACAACATCTCCAGGAACTAATTCTGTTGCTTAAAGCTTTTATTATTCTCCATCTCTGATTACTAAGGTTTCAGGAGGTATAAAATTCTTGAAAGCTTCCATAATTGCTTCTGATTTTTGATTCTATAAAAATGTGATTACTGCAGTAACAACAACAACTACAATTAATACTATTCCTAAGTAAAGCTATCATAAACTAATTTCAAATACATTTGAAGGGTCTTCTGGTGCAAGACCATAAGCAATGAAACACAGTAAGGCACCAGCCCAAATTAACAAAGCAAAAACATTTGTTAATTCATGAAGTAATTTCATATACCATGGAGTTCTTTCTCGTGAAGATAGTACATTTTTTCCATACTGTTATAATTTTGCATCAATCTGGCTCTTACTCAACCCATTTTTAGCTGATGTTTCTAATCTTTTTTCTAACTCTGTTAACGGAATGGAATGCTCATCCTTAAATAAATCAATCAAAAAAAATACCATATTCTTAAATTTCTCTGCTTTAGATGCATCTGTCTTCTCTGGTACTTTTTTTTTCCCTTTTTCAAATTATTACATCAATTTCTTTCTCCTTAACATGATCTCTTTGGTCATTTCATCGAATTCTCTTTAGGCTTCCAACAATTGAATTTCCTAACTATACCATCAAATAATGATTTACTATTGTTCTGTGAATGCCGTAATGATGGAGGAGGCACTCCTAGATGATACTTTTGCCATATTTTTAATAAAATTTGAACTTAAACACGATTCGCCTTAAATAAATCGAAATCTATTTTTAGAATACAAAGATTCTGTTAAGAATATATATGTATATTAATTAAAATTGTTCATTTTATGATATAACATGAAAAAGAATAGCTATTTATCATAATAATTATATATATTATGATAATATCATTTAACCTCAAAAAAATTGATTACTAAGAATTATCTGTTACCAATAAGTTGTTTCTTTTCCAAATTAAACCATTAATATACACTAAAGCTCTACTCTAAATTAAAAATATCTTAATGAAAATGAATAATTATCAATTATTGTCAAAATCCATTTAAATAATAATAATAATAATATATATATTATAAATATATATATATATAATAATTCATCTGTGAGTACATATTTTTGACTAAGCAAATGATTCATCATTTTTTGTTAACAATCTCTAACTCTCTTCAAACATTAATTAACTCTCTGTTTAAGTTAGAAGTCCTTTTAAACTTAAATTTTCATCCTCTAATCTCTACTTCTCTTTGAATATTTATAATATTTCATCAACTGTTTCATTTATTTATTTCTCTAAAAGTGTAGTTTAATCTTCTTAACATAACTATTTGATTCTATCTTTAAAATGAAGTTCAAGAGATTGAATCTAATTAAATTCAATCTCTTTACATTCACCAAAAGAAACTTATTATTAGAATTATTTTATTTTATTCAATCTTCTAATATATTTATGTTTTAATTATCTTAAATCTGATTATTATTGAATAATATTATATGTCAATTATTATTTATCAAAATTAAGTGACATCAATATGTTTGCAAATTGATTAACAGCATTGGATAAGAATTATTATTCTTTTTCATTTAATTAATCTTTTAATAATTCACTTTCTTTTAATAAAAGAGTAATTGTTTCATTTAGATTACTTTCTTCATTATTTAACCATTCAATAATCTTAGATTAAGAATTTCTTAGAGAGTCGAGAAGATTTAAACTATTTTAATTAAATTAATTCTTGTCTTTAAATGTTAATGAAGATATCTAAGTACTTAGATAAAATTCATCATCTAATTTTTTGCCATATGAATTTAATCTACTTACTAAAATTTGAAAATTATTCTTTAATCTTTAATTCACAATCTGATATCTAATAAATTATTCTTTATATATTGATTATAATTAGAGGATGTATTTATTAAATTTATTTTTCCACATTTCTGAATTAATACTATAAGTTAATATTTTTTCAATCTGAAATTATTCTTTGATAGTTAATTATTTAGTTGTTTGAATTCCTTAAATAAATTATAATCTAATTCTCATCTATTTAGACCATTTGTTTTAAGAATCTAAAAACTATTAGATGATATTATTGACTTGACTATAAGTTTATTGAATTTCATTAGTTTCTTAATGACTTGAAAATTAGTTAAGATAGACAAATTAAGATAGAATGCTACCGAGGTAGAGTATTATTTGATGAGGATTTTTGTTAAACATTAATGCCATTCCAATTAATTTTAAACAAAAGAGTGTCCATTAGATAGTCTTTCTTAAATTATAATTCTGACACATTGATACTATTATTATAATTTCACTGAAGACTATTAATACTATTCCTAGAGTGTATTATTCCTTATTTGTTTGAGAGTCATCCTATAATAACTTAAAATTCTATACTTGATCTAAAATCGAAATGGTTATAGAGACAAAAAGACAATATAGAAGAGTAAATTAAGGACATGCTTTATTGTTATGAAGATTCTTAAGAATCGGTCTTATCACCATGAATATTTAAGGAATGACAATGGGAAAATAAAAATAATAATTGATTAATTACAATCAAAACTGATCATATTAATCAATTTAATGCAAGAAAATGAAAATTACAAATAAATCACATCAATAATAATAATAATTTGTATCAGCATATAAGGTCTAATATTTACAAGTTTTCTCCATCTATTCTTATAATTTATCCTGATTAAACCATATTCAATGGATTTTCTCCCATTTATTATGAAATCTAAAGACTAAGTTAAACTTCAGTTTTAAGATCAATCAATTATACAATATCTCCCTTAACTTTAAGTAATTATTCTTATCTAGGTAAAACATAAATTTCATCATCAAGAACAGATGAATCTTCAAATTACTTACAAACAATTCCATTCTTTAATCCATCATCAGTCTACAATTACTTAACATTAATAACAAATATTTTCTAAAAATAAATAATAATAATTTTGAATACATTTTAATAATAAGATTTTGGTGAATTCCTTTCTATTACAACAAAACTACCCCTTAAAGGTAAATAATAAAGACTCTTTACACTCCAAACTTATATTTATTCATAAGTTAATGTTAATATTAAAGTACAAACATTAGCCATATCTACTAAGAAAAATAGTATTTCTCCTCCATCTTTTTCTTTGTAACATTTATTTACAGCCAAAATATTATTTAATCTAGCATGTTTCATATTTTCACTAATTTTTTATATTTAAATATTCTTTACTTATCAGTATATTCAACTGGATTTAATATTTATCCTTCATTAGCATTTATTTTTTATGATAATATTTCTTTAAGTGTTCTTGAATTATAAACTCTTAAGAATCTATATTTTGGATATTTGCTTCCAAAAATATTAAATTATTTTAATGGTGTACCTGCTAAACATACTTAATCTTTGTCTGATAAAAATGCTATCGATCTAAATTAATTAATGAAAATACGTTATTTCACTAAAATCATCAATTTTCCAAATATATTTCAATCTCATTTCTTCTATACTAAATATTCTAATCATTTAATCAGTAGCTAATGTTCCAAATTTCTTTTCATATGAATCTGCCCATTCATAAACCTTTAATATTCTAATCTTTTTCATTTCACTATGATCTCTTATTTTACCTTCTTCAGAATTAAGATTCAAATTCCATACTGTTATTACTTCCTTATCTGATACTGTTATTAAATATGAATGATCTTTAAATAAGACTACAAACTATATTTTTGAATATGTATTAAAATTTGCAATCTTTTTAAATTTAGGAGGATTTTATTCAATATATTATTTCTCAGAAACATTTATCTATTATTTCTATTCCATTTAAATTGGAGCTAAATTTTAAAAGTTTCCTTTAAGATTTTATTTTTTTCTTGTTTTCTAACTTTATTCAAATTTCTCATATTTAAATTGATCTAATTGATTTTTAGGTATAATCTCTGATTAATAGTAACGAGGTTTTGCTACAGTTGAAGTTTCTTATTAATTTTTGACTATTTGTGATTAAAATATTATTTATTAAGATTTTTATAAATCTATTTCTTAAGTATTTTATTATTTATTTGAATTATTTATAGAATTATCTTATTAAGTGGTTGAAACTTTAAGTTGTTGAGAATCATCATTTATTTATACATTTTCATTTAATCCATTATTATTCTATTAATCTTAAACTGAATTTGTATCAATTTATTATTCTTCTTAAAATTATGTTTTATTTATAGATTATACTTATAATGAAGCAAATAATTATTATTATTATTTTAATTCTTTTTTATCAACAGAAGATTTTAAATTTGTTTTAAAATCATCTTTTGCTTTTTTTGGTTTAGGAGTCTTCTATAATTATTATTATTATTATTATGGTTAGGGTTATTCTATTTCTTTAACTTTCTTTTTTGCTTAAGGACTCATAGGTTCTAATTAATATTTAGGAGGTGTATTAACTAATAAACAAGGTGAATAAGTTCTTAAGATAAAATAATTAGTAGAATCAGGATATTGAATAAGATGAACATCTCCTTATACTTAATTCTAATATCTAAAAATCATCATTGTATTTGATATATTGTAATTAGTAGTCTTACCATATTTATTCATGATGTATTCAATTATTATTTTCTTTTCTTCTTCTGTGAATTTGAAATTATTATATATTTATGCAATTATTACATTATCTGCAATCTTTACAAATGGATTTGTACTCTTAATAATATTTATTAAAATGTCATGTCTATATATAATTATTTACATATACCTTTGAATATTTTCTATTAATACATTTTTCCAGTCAGTTTCTGAATCTTCTTATGTCAATATAGTTAATTTATTGTTTTTCTCAAAACATTAAAAATTCAATGAGCTTGTGATGATTGCAGTTATTTTGACATCAATACTATCACAAGGATCCAAAATTCCTTAATTTTAGTTAATGATTTACCTTCTTCAGGTTGAATCTGAAATATCATAGGATTTGGAGAAATAATTTTATAGGGAACATATTGTAATGTTAGATTTAGAATATTAAAGGAAGTTGATAAATTGTCAAGTGAAATTGATATTTTCTCAGGTGTGATTTCAACAAGGTGATTGTGCTCTTCCTCCATTAAATGTATATATATGTATATGTAATTATTAATATTTATTTAATATACCAATAAATTAGAAATGAAGGAATTCTATAAATGTATCATAATGGATTAATTGGATTTACTAAAATGATTTAATAATAAAATACCTATACAATCAAAAGTGAATTCATCAATATATCCATTTAAACAATAACAACTACTTCCCTATTATATAAATGAATCTTCACATTTCAAACATGTTACTTAATCTGAACATTTCTAACAACCAATTGGACATAATAAACACTTTTATTATTCCATATCAAATATATAACCAATATTACAAGTTTGATTTTAAGAATTCTATTCAATTATCCATTCAGTACAATCATTTTAATTAGGACCAATACAAGATCTACATAAAGGATAACATCTTTAAATCATAATATTAATATTTGAAATTCCAAAACTAAAATATGTATTAACAATTGGAACAGATATCATAGCTAAAGTTAAATTATTGAATGAATGTTTATGTTCTATATTTAACAATTAAATTTGATCATTCATAGATTAAATATTTTTTGTTTAATAATTATCAATAAAGATAGAAACAATATTAGGTTATGGTTTTTACTTTCCTTTTGGTAATAATTTAGTAAATTCAAATGTAATTACATTCAACTATAAAATAATATTATAATGAGGTGGTAAATTGTTGAATTATTTAAAAAAATATTAATTACTATTATCCTTCAATCCACCAAAATATCTAACACCATTATAATAAGTTCCAAATTGATTTTAATAAAATGTTGTAATACTTTTTGTATTCTACACCATAAAATTTATAATAAGATTATCATAAAAAGCTCTAAGTAAATATGTAGTTAATTAATATTATTCTGTAATATCCTTGCAAACTAAACCCTCTAAAGTAGAATAATTTGGACATATTGTGACACATTTTCCTTTATACAAATAATATCCAATTTTGCATACACCACATATGAGTTTAGTTAAACAAGAATTACAATTAGCTTAACAATTTATTGTATTGATTATAATTTAGTTTATTCCCCATTATAAATTTTGATTACTTATAACAATTATTGTAATATTAGAAATAGATAATGCATCAATAGTATAATCTATATGATATAATAAATATCCATTCAATTCTGTTTCATTGTAATAATGTAATGGTGAAACAAGTTTCTTTATTTTGTCTACTTGAACATAAATTTCTGGTTGCTATTAAGATTTAAAAATATAAATATCTGCTCTTATACGTAATAATTGATAATTGTAAACGTTATTAAATTTATAATTTATTGATTAACTAACAAAGAATTATCCTACACCTTTTCCATTCATATTCATATATTATTTACTATCTAAAGGAGATGCTTTCCCATTTTCCATCATTGACCATCCAGTAAAATCATATGTATTCCAAAAGTAAAATTACATTTATTCAATCTCTAAATTTATATCATTTTATTACTATCATCATATATACACATTTCAAGTACTTTATCAAAATATTCATTTGAATCACATTTCTTTAAACATTAATTTTATTATAAACTTAAATAAGGTGTAATTGAAGGACATTTACATTCATTTGTCATTTTACTAAGTTAAGCACCTAAATTACAAGATTTACATTAGTTCTTTTCAGGTCCTATACATTATGAACATGATTTATGACATTATTTTGGAATTATTTAAATATTTCTAATTCCTAATGTAAAACTATTTGTATTTTCAAGTTAAAATCCTAAGTTTAACTCTTGTTAATAATGTGTATAAGTCTTAAAATAAGTACTAATCTAAGATGGTAAACTATTAACTATTAGAATCATATACATATTGCAAAATGGTACTGAATGGTCATTCTCAACAGAGTATTAATCAATCAAGATGTTATCTAGTAAAATGTTTATAGGTTTATTAATGTATTCGTCTATTAAATAAAAATCAACAAAGATATCGACAGCATAATGAGATTCTCTTATTTTCATTTAGTAATTAACATTTGGTTATGATTAACTAAGATAATAATAATCAATTTTAGGTAGTATAGAACAGCTCATAATATTTGAAGATTAAGTAAGTGAGATATCATTCAATTCTTGATAAACTTTTAAAGCATCTAATAAATAGTAGTTCAATTTATTTACTCATGTTTGTATAAAGGCTAAAAATTACTAAGAAAAACATCATTTAATTTATTTGAAGTTTATTTAATTCCATACAATGATAATAATTAATATTATGTTATATGAAATTTGTTTAGATTTTCCATTAATATCTTTGATTAAATTTGAGTATTTTATTATTATCAAACATAATATTATATTTTTTTATTTATATAATAATTCTTGATGTTTTTGATTATTAATATAATTTATTATTTCTTATTTTTAATTTTATTATATTACTTTATAATAAGTTTAAGGAATGTTAATTAGGTTAACAAATAGTAATTGTTATTTATTCCATCTATCAAATTAAATTATTCTACATTTTTAATTTTTAATTCCTTTTTTATAAATTACAATTCTATATTTGTATTTAATATTCAGAATCTATAATTTATTTTCAACTTGACAATTTTTTAATATTGGTGTTTTTCAACATTGAAATTGGTATTTAAAAATATAATTATTTTTATTAAGTTTGGAATTTACTTATCTAAAGTTTAATGTATTAATATATAAGAAACTATTAATGTAATACTACAATTTGTTTATTAGTCTTTTTTCATTAATTTATGAATTATTAAATACTGTTTTATACTCAAATCATACAAAACATTTGGTGGATAATATGTTCATGGATATTTTATGAACCCTATGAATATTACCTTTTTATTCTATCTGTAAGTAGTATTGTTATACGGATTACTATAATAATTTTAGAAAGGAAAATTACACATATATTTATTTTAGCAATCTTATATTTACTTCAAAATTGCTTATACATGGAAGCAAGCATACGAATGCCTATGAATAATCCTTTTACAAACCATTCAAATTCTTTAATGATCATAATCAACTATTAAAATGCTAACAAAGAATCTAAAGAAAATATTTAAATAATATCAAAGTTTGGGTTCCCCATATTTTGTTTACTTAGAACAATCTCAATTACCTTTATTCAAGCCAATTATTCAATTCTAGAAAGTTGTATATTGATATTCATTTTTCTAAGTCTAATAGCAAAGGATGAATTAAAAAAAAAAAAAGAAGCAATTCAAAACTCAGTAAAAGACTTAGGGTCCTAAGATTAGCATAATTTTAATTAAAAATTTATAACTTTCTTCTAATAAGACTCTAAAAAATAATCATTAGGAGCTTCCTTTAAGAAAAGTAGAACTCATTATTCATAATACTAAGAGAAACCAGATATATTCCAAAATATTCCCTTATATAATGAACCAAAAACAATGGATGAAAATATCAAGACTTCCTTACAATTTCAGAATTTAAAAAAAAGTTTTAACAAAAAGGTTTCAACTATAAGTGCTGATAAATCAGATCAATAGTTACATACATTCTTTTAGAATATTATTAATAATATTTTTTCTGCAGGAGTAGTGATACTTAATCAAAATTAAAAAGTAACTTTTATGAACAATAAATGTGAGAAACTTCTAGGACAGAAAGGAAGTGACAAAGTTGTAGAATGTCTTAAAAAAATTATTATTGCTAATTCTTTACATGAAAATGATGATTCTCCATTAGGATAAATTCCTCCTAGATCTCAGGCTAAAATGAATAAAGCAACTTTTGAAAGAATTGTTAAATATCATAATGAGAATTTAATGGAATTAGATATTTTTGATGCTTTTCTATTTCCACAAAAATATCTACATTAATTCTATCAAAATCTATCACCTCATTCTGAATTTGATTAAAGAAGCAGTCTATCAGAATCTATAAATGAAACCTTTCTTTAAAGAAAAGATGCTGTAACTTATGAACACATAATGAGTGAAGGTGGTATTTTAAAGAAATTAAGGATTGTCATCCTACCAACCTATATGACTAATGCTCAATAAGAATAACTATCATATCCCTCATATTAAAAAGTGCATATAAGCAAAACAGCAATATAAGCAGAAAGTGTATAACCAATTATAGTTATTAAGATTAAAAATATTACTAAAAAACATAAGATTGAGTAAATGAACAAAGAAAAGGAAATACATAATTCATTATTAAAATCATTTTCACATGAATTAAAAACTCCTTTGAATAGTGGTTAAGATATGCTTGTTATACTTAAAGATAGAATTAAAGATCCTAAACTTTTAGAATTTGTTGAAATAGCTCATATTTCAATAATATTTTTAATACATTAAATAAATGATATATTAGATTATGCTGCCATGTAATCAAACACATTTAAATATAGATATGTTGAATTTAAGTCACGTGAAATTGTAGATGAAATTAAATATATTTATTCTAGTTAATTACATTCTAAGAAAATTGATTTATAAGTTAAATTTGATGAAAAAAAAGTAGGAAATATTAGATAAGATAAATAAAGAATAATGCAAGTCTTAATTAATTTATTAAATAATTCTTGTAAATTTACACCTGAAGGTGGTAAAATTGTATTTTCATTGAAATTAATAGACTATCCTTTTATTAAATTATAAGTTAAAGATTCTGGAATTGGAATTGGTTCAGAATAATTATAAAATTTAAGGAAAGTCTTAACTAGTTCTATGGGTAAAAGTCTACATAGATCTAGAATTAAAAAAAGTTTAGGTTTGGGATTAAATATTTCCGCAAGAATTGTAGAAGGTTTAATATAAAAGAATGATGGTACTTTAGAAATTATATCAAAAAATAAAAATAAAGGAACTAAAATATATTTCATAATTGAAAATCTATTAATTTGTAGAGATGAATCTGTTAGAAATCCTATGATCTCTGAATATACAACTAAAAATAATACTTATAAATAATAAATGTCATAATATGAGGGTAGCAATTTTAGTTAGGTTTTACCACTTTTGAGATAATTATCTGAAAATTCTAAATTTGAAGCTCAATCCCCTTCTAAAAAGAGTAAAACAACAAAAAGTAAGTTTTTTAATTTACTACCTGGTAATTAACCAGAAAGTTCTTTGGATATGGCAGATAATTGTTCATATCAAATTGATTTACCTTTAAGTCCTGAATATTTTCAATATAAAGATTAAATTTATGTAAAAAAAATAAAAACTCCATAATGTCAATTATGCACAAAAGTATTGATAGTTGATGATATCCCATTCAATTAAATTGCTTTAAAAGCTCTCCTTTAACATTATAATATTAAAGTAGAATAAGCATATGATGGTTATTAAGCTATAGATTTAGTTAAGAAATAATTAGATAAACATTGTTAATATTATACATTAATATTTATGGATATTGAAATGCCAGGAATAAATGGTTTTTAAGCAACCAAAGATGTAAAATAAAAAAATAAAATTAGATTCTTAAAATAACTATAGATCAAACCTAAGTAATTATGTGTTCTGCATATGATACTGAGGAAAATTTTAGAGAAGGGGGAGCAGTTGGAATGTCTGATTTTCTACCAAAACCTGTGAATTAAAAGGAATTAGAAAGAATATTAGATAAATTTGGTTTTCTATGATATTTATTAAGTTTTTCTCAAATTTTTGTAATCAATAATTATATTATATTTAATAAAGTTTATCAGAAAATAATAAAACTCTAATTGAAAAATAAATTGATATTTAATTTCCTATATCTTTATATAAATTATTCAATGAAGTAAGATATTAAATATTAATTTAATCTGATTATATTTATGATAAAGAAAATATTCAGTGAAAATTCTAGATAATAAAATCACAAAATATTAATTGATTTAATTTATTTTTATTTAATGTGCAGAATTAGTAATAAAGTATTAAAATATGATTATATCAAATTTTCTAAATAAAATTAAAAATTAGAGATGTTAAACTTTCTAAATAATAGTTTTCATTTCTACTTTTTGTCAAGTATTGTTTTTAATTAATTAAAATAAAATGAAAAAAAAAGGAGATTTAATCAAAAACATTTTTAAAAGTATAGCTGGAAAGTCTATTTTAATAGCTAATATTTCATAAGGTTTGTGGTGGATATTTTTGTCTATTAGAATGATTGATCATACTAATTATGAAGCTCTTTCTTTATAAATATCATGCACAATTTTCAGAATTTCATAGTAGATTATAATTGATTATTGGTGTGAAAAATAAATAATTTTACATCTAGTCTCACTCTTTTATTCTGTACTTTACATAGAAACTTTTTTATTTTTACAATACAATAATCCTTTTGGAACATATGCAAATTGTTTGTTATTTATTGTGACATATAAATAATACTTATCAATAGCTGTTGATAATTATAATAGTATATGTAAAATAGGATTTCCTTGTTATATTATATTTAGAAATATTATATTGATATTTACTGATTTCAACTTTTACCATATTGAAAGTCTAATTATTTGCATGGTTGTATTTCTTTCCTTAGCATATAATAATGAATACATAAAATGTTAATGTATGATTTAAAAAAACAAAAAAAATATTAGTACTATATCACAAAACAAAAAAATAGAAGATAATGATTCAGCTAATTAAATGTATTTAAATTAATCTTTAATCAAATCTTTCAGTCGAGTTTCTATAGCATAAACGCCAATTAAAAGTTAGAGTATTTTTTTAAAGGAAATGAGTTATGAATCTAAATTGATTTAATGCTCAAATTTAGGATAGACATAAAAATTATAAAGAAGTTAATTTATAGGTAATAAGACTTCAGAATTATAATTCCATTAATTTTACTAAAATTTAATAAACTCATTTCCTTAAGGAATTCTTATATTAAATTAAAGTTATTAAGTGAGTTACTAAAATAATAAATGTGAGAAACTATTAGAATGCTCTGGATCAGAATAAATAGTTGAGAAAATAAGATTATGTTTAAATAGTGCCAAAATGCCAGAAAATGATAATGAAATTACAAATTTATTAAGAACACCAAGATTTAATAGATAAATAAATTAATATGCATTGTTTAGGATAGTGAAAGAATTATAAAAGGAGAATTTATAGATTGATATATTAGATATTTTACTTCAACCTTAAAAATACTTTTAATTTTTAGATTAGAGATAGGATTAATTTGGTAGTTAAGATGATTCTAAAACAGATTAATTAACATTTCAATAATAAATGTTTATTTATGAATGGTTATTCGAATCTGCATAATATAGAAAAATTAAATAAAAGAAACTTAAAGTGATAATTATTCCAACATTTATGACAGGTAATTAATAAGAATACATATCTATGCCTTCTCATCATAAATGTCCAAGTAAACTTAATATTTAATTATAAAATGATGTTGAGATGCCTGTATTATTAATTATGATAAAGAACATTACAAGTAAACATTAATTCTAAAAGATGAAAAATGAATAAATAATACATCATAGTTTAATAAAATCATTTTCACATGAATTACGTACTCCATTGAATAGTTGTTAACATATGCTCAATTTAATCAAAACTTAATCTATTGAAAAGAAGATTTAAGATTATATTGATATTGCTTAAAGTTCAATTTCTCTTTTGATTCATTAAATTAATGATATTTTAGATTATGCAGCAATTTAATCATTTTAATTTTAATATCGTTTTATATCATTTACTTTTGGTCAAATTGTCTAAGAGATTTATAATCTATATAATTTATAAATGAAATAAAAAAAGATAGAATTTAAAATTAAAATTTAATAGAATTTGAGTGATGTTACTATATTTAATGATTAATAAAGGATTTTATAAATATTAGTAAATCTTTTGAATAATGCAACTAAATATACAAGAGAAGGAGGTCATATAAAATTAAGTATTAAATAAAAGAGTTTATTTTATATTCATATTAAAGTTAAAGATGATGGAATAGGTATTGAAGATGATAAATTAATATTACTTTAAAATAGTTTAAATGGAAATATTGAATTAGGAGCTACATTAAAAACTTAACATATAACTTAAAAGGCTGGATTAGGATTGAATATAGCAGCAAAAATAGTTGAAGGATTGATTGAATCTAAAAATAATTAATTAATAATAAGTTCAATTTAAAATAAAGGTACAAAGGTTCAATTCCAAATATAAAACTTTTTATAAACATAAAATGATTAATATTAGTCTTCAAATCTACTTTCACAATTAACAGGAAGATTTAATCAATCTGGATTGTAATAAACATTAAGTGAAAGAAAATTTGATGATAGAATGCTAATTAAATCTAGTATTACTAATTCAAAAATGGATTATGATATGTAACTTAGAGATGATTTCTTATAAGATTCAGAATCTTCTTTAGAAACTCCAAAATTAAATGATCGTGTTAAATAATAATAATAAATACAATTACCTATTAGTCCAGAATATTTTTCACATAAATAAATATAATCTTGTTAAACAATAACAAATTAAGAAATCTATTCTTTTAAATAATATCCATAGATTTGCAAAGATTGTAAAAGTGTATTGATTGTAGATGATATACCTTTTAATCAAATCACACTTAGATTAATGTTAAAAAATTATAAAATAGATTCTGATTAAGCATTTGATGGATTTTAAGCAATAGAAAAAGTGAAATCTAGAATATAACATAATTGTTAAGCATACAAATTAATTTTTATGGATATTGAAATGCCAGGGATTAATGGATTCTAAACTAGTAAATAAGTATAAATATTAATTATCTTAGATATTAGAAATAACAGGCAAATAGTCATATATAGTAATTTGTTCTGCTTATGATACTCAAGAGAATTACATTGAAGGATAAAAAATAGGAGTCAATTAATTTCTACCAAAACCTGTAAATTAAAAAGAATTAGAGGTAGTTTTAAGAAGATTTTTTCCTATTAAAACTGAGATTTATTGATCATTTTATGTTTATACTTTTTTCAATAATTGTAATATAAATTTAACATCTAAGGAATATATTTTATAAATTTCATAGTATATTAATTTTATAAATAATGAACTCAACCATTATTTTAATATTAGAAATAGCTTAAGGGATATGGTGGTTAGTATTATCCTTAATGCTTGGATGGGAGAATTAAATTATTACTATAGCTCTCTCTACTTCAGTCATAGTTATTTAATTAGCTTTATTAATTGCGCTTAGAAAAATTACTAATAATGTCTAACTTATAAGGATAACTTTGTTATTCCTAATAAATACTATCATTTATACTGAATTAAACTTATAAATCCATTAGTATCTAAATCCATATGCAAATCATACAAATACCCTTATTATTGTCTCAAATTAATATATCATTAATGAAATTGTTACTTTGTAAATTTCATATAGACTTCTTAAATTTGGCTACCCTTGCTACATTATTTTGAGGTTATTTTCTATTTTATTCATTAATTTTGATTACTATATTTTAGAGAGTATAATAGTAATATTCGTATTAGTTTTGGGAAATGAAAAACCATTGTTTTCATCATAATTTAGACTATCCTCAAAAGTCTAAGCAGATAACAACAATAAATTTATTAATTAATTAGGTTAATCTCAACAAAAAAACAAAAAACTTAAATAATCCACACAATTATTTATTTAAGATTATTAAAAAGATAAATTGAGTAATTTCAGTAATCAAACTAATAAAAATTAATCCTCTGATTAATTCTTTGCAATTGTTGGTAACTCATTAAGAAAAAGAATGACAGTTGATGTTGATAAAACTGAATCCTAATTGAATATTTTCTTTAATCATCTTATGGATTATTTTACCTAAGGAGTAATCATCTTAAATTAATGCCAATAAATATAATACATGAATAAAAAATGTACAAAGCTTCTACTTTGCTAAGGAGAAGAACAAATTTTATTTATGATAAAAGAATCTTTGAATAATACACTTTTAAACACTAAGAATACTTTTTCTATTTCACCAACTTCAAGAAAACTTGAAATGAATCAATAGATTTTGGAAGATATTTTTAATTAAGCTTCCAAAAGAAGATTATAATTGGATATATTTGATATACTATTAAATTAATAGAAGTATCTTGCATAATATTATCCTCGACAATGTAATTTTGATGGTGAAAATAGTAGTATTCAAGATTCTCCTATTTCTAATAGAAATTCAAATCAATTTACTTTTTATCTTACTTTTTAACATGATAAACATATTAAATTAAGTATTATTTTATCTTAATTTTCAAATTAATAATTAGAATCTATTATTTAAGGTTCTAAATCTTAATTTGGAGATTAAATTTAATAACCTTATATATTTTTATTAATGAAGAATATTACTCATAAAAATCAGGTTGAAAAAATAAAAAAATATAATCAACAATCTTCAGAAATGTTAAATACTTTCTCATTTGAATTACGAACACCTTTAAATATTATTTCATAAGTAGTCAGTATCACTAAAGATTTAACTACTGAGTAATAAGCCATTAGAGAATATCTTGAATTGATGTAATGTTCTAATTCTATTTTATATCATTCAATAAATGATATATTAGACTATTCTTCAATCTAATCAAATATGTTTCATTATAAATTTAATCTATTTTAGATTTAAGATGTTATATAAGAAATTGAACATATTTTTATATAACAAGTCAAATAAAAGAATGTTAGATTCTCAACTAAAATATAAAGCTGTTTACTTGATAAATAGATTTATTCAGATAAGCAACGTATAATACAAGTTATTATCAATATACTAAATTATACTTATAATCAAGCTAAATCAGGTGGGGAAATGTCATTATCTTTATTTTATCTTGATGAATAAAGGATATAAATTACAGTGCATCATAATGAAATTCTAAAAAATGGAAATACTTAAATAATTCCTCAATAGATTATATTAAAGAATCAAGAAAATGATAGATAATTTAATTTAACTAAAAATCCAGAATTAGGTTTAGGATTGAATCTATCTGCTAAATTAGTATAAGGATTGGTTGATACTAATGATAATTATGTTGAAATTGTAACATCTTTATAAACAGGAACAAGTATTAGTTTTTGGATTCAAGATTTGGATTTAAGTCAATCTTAAGAACAAATATTCTTAAAAGGTTCATTAAATACTGGTAAATTTATGTCTTGCAAAAAATCAAGATCATTATAAGATGATAATTTTGTAATTCGTCGATATAGTGATTATATACTTTAGGATGATCAATTTTATTTAGAAAAGATGGGTCAAAAACCTGATTGCTTAAATTCAAATGATAGTCCAAAAATAATAGATGATTTAAATGAAAAAATTAAAGTACCATAATAAAATTATTTCTAATTTAAATCTCTTGAGAGTCCTATTTAGGGAAATAAAACATTTTCTTTTAAATATTCAACCTTGTAAGCTCATGAATGTACTAGCTTTTGCAAACGAATTTTAATTGTTGATGATTAAGTACTAAATTTAATAGCATTCAAAGCATTATTAAATCATTGTCAAATTTAATGTGATTCAGCTTATGATGGAAATCAAGCAATATAAAGAGTAAAAGAGAAAATGAATACTTAATGTTAATTTTATGAAGTAATATTTATGGACATAGAAATGCCAGGTATGAATGGATTTGAAACATCTAAAGAAGTAATCCAATTATAAATATAAGATAATTAAACAAGGAGGTAAAAAACCGACAATTATTATGTGTTCTGCCTATGATACTAAAGAAAATATGAATTAAAGTGATCACTAAGGAATGAGTGAATTTTTACCTAAGCCAGTGAATAAAATTGATCTTCTTAGAATTCTTAAAAAATATCAATTAGTTAAATGATCAATTTAAATTTTGTATATTTTTAACTTATATTACTTAAATGGCTAACATAATGAATTAATTTAATAAAATTTATACATCATAATTATGATATTCTTATAATATTATTTAATATAAATTCTATTCTATTTTTAAATGAATTATTTATCTATTAATAATTTTGTATAATTATAATATTAATCTCTTAACTTAGTTAAAAATAGTTTATTATAAAAATTAATCAAATTTTATAAATTTAGATATAATTCAATAAAATATAAATTTTAATATTTATATGTTTTTATATAAATATAAATTTTATCATTTCATAATTTAGCTCTTTGTCTATTAAAGAGACCATTTATTGTATAATTTTTATTCTCTACTGGAAGTTTTTACTTCTCTACAATCCATTTTAAATCTGTAAAGTTTCCACTCTTCCATGATCTTAATAAATCAGTTGGTTCTTCATCTACAGGTGGTTAAACATTTTCTTTCAAAATGAATTTCTAAAGTCCATAATGGAATGTCATCATATAAGATCTAATAATTTAAAATTTATTTAAATACCTCCATTCCATTTCAGTTACATCTAATAAAAAGATTCCTTATTCATCTCTTGATAAACAATTCATTAATTATAAAACATTTTCTTAAGAAAATACCCATTCATTCCTATTAAAATGTTTAAAAGTCTTATTTATTGTGTCAGCCTTATCAATGACCTTAAGATAACGATTAGCATTTTTTTTTTATGCTGAATTTCCAAAGGTATCAGCAAAAGTCTTTAAAGCCAATGCTCCCATTTTTCTCTTAAAATTCATATAACGATAGTAACACAAATTATTATTAATCTCTATAGTACATGGTGAAACTTTGACACTTGGTGGATTTGCATTCCAATATTCAAAACAAGTATCTTTAGTCATTTTCCATGGAGCAGGATTTCTAGCACTTGTACCACAATGATAAATTTAAAATGTATTTTTATTTGCTTCATAAGCTCCTGCTACCAAAATCATATCAGATACAAAATCAACTGGGACTTGATCTGTAATTAAATTCTCCTTTCCTTTATATATTTTGACTAATCCAATCCCTGCAAAAAAGATCACTGCTGCACCTCCAACCAAATTATCAATCTTATATAAGAATCGATATTACCCAGCCAGGGATTGGATCCCTGAATGAACATCCTACTATTGTTGGTCTTACAATAGTTATTTACATATTGGGTGGTCTCAATTATGCTAACATTTATTCAGCCAAGTTTTTTGTAAATGTGTATGTGTTTGGAAATTTATCTAGAGCCAATTTTTATTATTTCTCATCAAAATTTTGAGAAGATCTATATAATATAGAAACAAAGGATTCGACATCTTTTTATGGATGATATATCTTTTCCTCAATGAATCTTAGTAAGTCAACAATAAATTATACCCAAATTTATCACTATTTACATAGGCAGTGGATACATGAATGAAATTTTCTAAATTTTTACATTACTTAGCTAACTCTAACACTTTTTAAACTCCATAATAATTGATTTCCAAAGCAACCTTAATTGGGGAATTAAAGTCAACACTAGCAGCACTATTTATGATAATATTGACATTTTCTATTAGCTCCTATGTAATTTCTTTACTGAGTCCCAAATGAGGTTTAATTAGATCACCATCAACGGGTTTTACAACTTCTTCAATAAATTTTTGAAAATCTGCTCCTTTTTATTTACGAATCCTGTCAAAACATTGAGAATTGATAATCTCTTTATTAAATCTCTCAGTCACTGATTGACCTTTCTTGGCTCTCACTAAGACGTAAACTCTCTTAACTTCCAAAACTCTTAATATTTTCTCCAATATAACTTTAGCTACAAAACCTGTGCAGCCAGATATTAATAAAGATTTCCCCTTATAGAAGTTAAGACAACTTATGTTTGTAGTCATAAATAAATTATATTAATTTTTATATCTTAATATTTCAGAGCTGTCTATTAAAGACATCTTGATTTTCATTGAAAGCAAATCCAGCAAAAAGACCTGCACTCAAATTACGGATAAATGCTCTTCTCTTGAAAAATACAGATGCAGCAACACCAACAAAGTATCCTAATTTATTATTATGTCTTTATAGATACCAACTGCTGAATATGTAACCAAATCAAAAGCTGTCTTATTTAATTAAGTATCTAATTTAAGTTGTCTATCCATTTTAATATAAATTTAATTAAAATGTTATTTTTGTATTAACAACTAATTAATATAGAATTGAATTAAATAAAATATAAACAGTATAAATATTCATCATCCAAGAATTTGTTTCTATTCTTCTAAGTCACTTAATTCAATTTTTTTTTATTGGCATCTTCTAATAATAGTTATTGCAAGTGATAATAAAATAGCCCATCCCCAAGCAAATAATATATAAGTGCCTTCGAATCCATATAATATTCCTGGTGGTTCATAAAGAATTTTATCTGGTTAACAACTAAATTCACAAGTATTACAACCACATTCTCCATGTAATTCATATCCAAAATCATCCCAATAATGAATACCTGTTTCATCTTTAGTAGTATAACTATAATTGTGATTGCAAGCCCAAATATCATCAAAATAAAGTGAATTTGATTCTTAAAATTCAACATTAATATATTATCCTCCTTCACCACTATAATTTTAATATATATATATACACTGCTTATTCCCCTTAAAAAGTAAAGAATCCTCCTGGACTAGCCATAGCAGAAACCTGAGTTGCAAATGAAGTTCTTTTGCATGATGAGAAAACTTCCTATGTATTAATTAATAATATTATATATTACACATGCTATTTATGGATGTACTTCCAAAGTTACCATTTACACTTCTATGATCTTAGAAGAGTTTAAAGGATCAGTCATATTCTATCTTCCAGTGATTTTCATGAATTCACTCTAATTTGGAGAACATGTATAATGACACCAAAATCTCTTCATATTTGAACCACATCTATTTTTATATTTACATTTTATACATATCACAACCTCCTCCATCATTTCCAAAGGTGGCATCTAAAGACTTGAAATCCTTAACCATTGATCGATCTTAACTTCTTGTACAGCAAACTGGTTGACCAGAAAAAAAGGGACATGCTTCTACAACCCCTATTATTTCAGGATCCTTATCAGTTTCTATTGGCTTGTCTTTATCATCAACTGTGAATGCACATCTTGAATTGCAATAATAAAGAAGAATTAAAAAGATTTGAATTTTCATATAATATTATTAATTAAACATTAAAAAAATCATTTGAGATAAGAATATTATATATACTAAAAAAAAATTTGAAAATTTTTAATGCATAATTTTATAATATTTATTAATGACTTATTTTTTTAATAATATCATATATTGAATATTCTTAGATTTCATTGAATTTTTTTTTATTTTATTTCTTCAAAGTAAGTGATTTAAACTATCTTTTAGTTTATTTTTAACTTATTACATGAACAGATAATCTTTAAGTATATGGCCTGTTGGGTAGGTTTAATTAAGGATTATCTTATTTTCTTAATGGATATTTTTTATTTGAGATTGGCAATAGTATATATATTTTTTAGGATAGACATTTGAATGATTTGGTTAGAGGAATGCAATATATATTAATTAATATCCAAATTTAAGTTATAGATATTTCAATATTAGTGGAGTAAATTGAAGTAATTACAACTTTCCTAATAGAATTGAAGGATATAAAAATATAATTTCATTTATTATTTAATGGCTATTCCTATTTTATATAAATATCATAAAGTTATGATCAGAAAATAAGAAATCATAGATGAGAAACTAATAGATTTGATTTATTCTTTTAGGATTATAGAATCAATATGAGGTTATGTATGTATATAATGTAAATATTTCAAATAATGACTCTAAATCTTAAAGTTTTTAAAATAATTTGGAAAAAAGCCTCTTAAAGTATGATATCATCAATGCACATTTAAAACTCATAATTTAAGCCCCTAAAGTAAAACATTCTTTATTATAATTATATTAATTAATTTATTATGTCAATAACTGTTTCAACATGTTAACAAATATGTGGTTCCCCTTTGAATAATAGTACTGCTAAGAACTTGTGGACTTTTTCTAAATCTGATAGATTTGGAAATTTAGCTAATCCAGTTAAGTATAAATGATTTATCTAATCATTATAGCTGCGGTAAAGCATTTTACGACTTGCCTAGTCAAATAGAAAAGAGGGCTGCTGGAATTGGAAAAGGAACGAAGTAAATCTAACTATTTAATTTAAGAACTGATTTTACAAAAGTGCCATTTGCAACTCCTTCACCATAATAATATAACTTAGGTAGCGATGTCGAAACAAATCTTAAGAAATAAAAAGGCAACAAGTTTGGAATGAGTAGAGAAAAAATGGCTAGCACTGGCATCCTTGGAAACTTAAATTTAAAAACTCCAGGTAAAATAAATTAACCAATCTTACAGCTCCTGGAACATATGATTTAGGATCTACTTTAAGTGATATTCGATATACAATGAGACAGAGACCAAAAACAAACTTTATGGTATTGACAAGCAAAGAAATACCTGGACCTGGAACTTATGAATCTTTACCTGCAGTAAATGCTGTAGGTAAATACCCTATATCAAAATATAATAATTCATGTGCAACTTTATTCAATCCTAAAAACTCTAAACGCTTTGTTAAAGATTTTTGTAAAATTGTAATACCATATTTTAAGCTACTAATCTTTATGCTCCTGGACCAGGTACTTATCCAATAGATAAAACAGGGATTTAAAAAGTAATTATAATCATAATGATAGGATGGTAATTACTTCATTTCTAAATTCCATTCATCTAATGTAAGAAGTTTTCCAAAAGAATCTAGAAGAACAGGATCTGTTGGTAAAGGTAAAGAAATAAAATTTATAATTCAAAGCTGGCACACCAGCTCCTGGTAGCTATAGATTACCTTCCGAATTCGGTTACTACGAATCCAGACACAAAGCTAATAGGAGTGCTGGAGATATGGGAGAAAATAAAGCTTAATAATGATTATCAAAATAACAATTAATGTATACATACGCACAAAAATATATAGATTTAAATTATTAATTATTTATATAATGCCATCAACTATTGAATTGCTTAAGTGGTCAAATCTAATTTCCTCGATCATGTTGATATTGATTGGAGTTACATAAATCATATCTTTATCAATCCTTTTTTCGAGTTTTAGTTTTAGTTTCTTCATGTCATTTTTTTTGCCATTTTTTTTAATGTAAGTTTACATATCATAATATTTAGATTATTTGGAATCATGTTATTTGCAAGTGGATAAAAGATGGAATTTATGGACAATAATTTCAAATTTTTGAGTTCTCTATTAGGAAGAGGCCTATTTAATATTTAGTATTAAAAAAAATCTTAAAAATTTAAGTCTAGCATCTTTGGCTGTTTATTAATTAGCAAATGCAGCAAGTGACATAATTGGATTCATTATTGGAGCAATGCTATTTTGCACAGGAGTATTTTATTTAATTTTGCATTTTTGTGGAGTAATAAATACATAATATATATTTTATTAGAATAAGGAAGAATTAACATCATACAAACAATAATTAGGTTGATTCAAATTCAATATTGATCTTTATTTATCAGTATAATTAATTTATCAATAAAACATATTTAACGAATACATGGATTAACACTCTTAATACTATTCCACACAACAATTCTTAGAACCAAACAAAGACACAAATAAATCCTAAAGAACTAGATCAAATACAAATGATATTATAACAAGTCCAAATATAGTGTACATTACAAGAACCCAATAGTAATCTCAGCCTTCAATAAGATTGGAGTCTCAACAGCCAATTCTGAAACCTTCTTAATCCTCATACAACATAAAAGAAGTAGTGAAGATGATTGAACCTGAAGAATTAATCTTCTATAAAAATAAGTGTTCATTTTAAGAAAAATAAATGTAAGATCTTTAGACTGAATTGCATCGTTTAAAGTCAACAGCACAAGAAAGAGTTACTTATATAGAAGATACTCATAGAATATAATAATTAGAAGGCAATTTATAATAATATCAATAAGAATGTAATAGAATGAACAATCTATTAAGAGATTTAACAAATGAATTAGAATAATTAAAGTAGAAAAACCTTTAAATGTCTTAATAAATATTTTAGTTTCAATAATAACAAATTGAATATGATAGATTAAAAAGGAATGCTTAAGAAACTGATTAGTATTGGCAAAATGAAATATAAAGATTGAATGTTTTAGTATCTTAAAGTCAATCATAGTTACACTAATTATAAAAAACATTAATAGAGACAAAAAAATATGAATAAATGTATCATTAATAATAACCAATTTAAACTTAATTGGCTTTGGAATTAGAAAGAACCTCTTCAGTTTTAAAAGCTAAAGTTGAAGAATATGATTAATAAAAACAAACCTATATTAGAGAGATAGAAATCTTATCTAAAAGAATAAAAGATTCAGAATTTGAACTTAAAGATTTAAGAATTCGTGAAACTAATTAAAAATAATCAATAGATGAATTAAGTAAGGAAAATAATTAAATTACTGAAAAGTTTATGAATGAAATTAGAAATAAAAATGATGAAATCTAAAAACTATAATAAATTATATAAACTTTATAATTGACTTTATAGGATACTTCAAAATATTAAGAGTATGAAATCAGATCTAAATTATAAAATGAAGAAATCAATAATCTTAATTAAAGAATTAGAATGAAATAAGATGAAACAGATAAGTTAAAACAATAAATCTAGATATTTTAAAATTAAATTTAAGAATATTAAAAATATACAGAGTATGAAATGAAATATTAAAATTTAGCCTAAGAATACGATAGAGTCAATAATTCCTTAATGATTAAATTATAAGAGAATGATTAATTGAGAAATTGCATCTCTAAATTATAAATTACTTTAAATGACCATTATAAAATTGAAGAATATGAAAATAAAATAGCTTTATAGAATTAAGAAATTGATCGTCTTCATTAATGTGTATAAACAAAATGTGAAGATATTGAAAAATTAAATTATGAAAATAAGAGAATCACTTCTTTATTAAGAACAAGAAATGAAGAAATTGATAATCTTAAATATAGGATATAAGATACTTAATAATTGAAAGAATATTAATAGAAATTTTAGTTATTGAATGTAGAAGTGGAAAGATTGTCAGTACAATTGAGAAATAAAAATGAAGAAATGGAAAAACTTAGATAATATTTAGGATAATTTTAATTATAAGAAGCCAATAAATTACAAGAATTAGAATAAAGGAATTTAGTGTATTAAACAGAAATAGAAAGATAAAGTAATTTATTAAAGATGAAATTATAAGAAATTGAACAGAATAAATAATAAATTAGATATTTATAAGAAGAAAATGATTAATAAAAATCTAAATTATTGATCTAATAAGAAAATCAATAATATAATGATAAGATCACTTTTTTGACTCAAGAAGTTGATTCTTGGAAGAATTAATTCATAAATCTCAATAGAGAATACCATAAATAATAAGAATAGCTAATGCTTTCAAATGCAGAGTTGGATACATTAAAGAAATAAAGAAATAATTCATTTAAAGTAAATTATAATTTAATTTTCATAGCTGGATTCTTATGAGAATATCAAAGAAAACTCAACTCTTACTGCTTACTAATATGGTACTCTCACTTTAAGAAATATTTGATATTACTATTATTATTATAAAATAAAATTATTGTTATGAGCAATTTCGATAGTCCCTCCACTGTATGATCTTATAATTATTAGAGAATTCTAAATATAGTAGACACAAAGGTTTTTTAAAGTGGGAGCTTGCTAATAAAGATGTTAATGGAGCATTTAATGCTTAATAACTATAAGTTGAAAAAGGAATCTTATAAAGAGAGCGATAACCCAATTCATTAATGATACCTTCAACAAAATCAGCTTAATCATCATAAATTAGTCCTGAACCATCAATAATAAAGGAACATATCTGTTGTGATAAATTAGATGAATTAAGTAAATAATATGTAATAATAATCAAAATATGTGTAGTAATTAATCATCAACGAGCAAATGAATAAATTAACTGAATTAAATTTGTTAATACAATAACATTCTAGATTATTGATTGATTCATACAATTAAGGATTAGAGGATGCTAAAGCACAATAATAAAAAGAATCTTAAATTCTTGAAAATAATCGATTGTTGAGAGAAAGAGATAGATAGATTCAAGAATGGGAAGAAAAATATAATAAAGAAAAAATCTTTGGAGATGAAAAAGAGGAAGAGATAAGGTATAAGTGGATTTTAATTTTATAGTGAACTTGAAAAATAACTCAAAGAATTGAAAACATCAGTTTAAGTAACAACAAGCTCTACAGATTTGGAAAATGAGAAAAATGAATGGAAAAATAAATTTATCACATTAAATAAACAATTCAATGAAACAGAATAATAAGTCGTTGTACTAGAAAATGAGATTGATATGTTAAAATAATAACAAAAAAAGACTTCAGTTAGAGTAAATATTTATATTTCATAAGTTTAGACAACAACAAGAAGAAAAACAGTTACAAAGGATGCACCTCAACCATGATAATTTTAAATCAACCTATTATTTCATAATATTTTAATTATAAAAGATAAGTAAAATAATTATACTTATTTGTTAATAACTCAATCTTTGATTATTTTAAGTATAATCAATCCGTTTTTATTATGACTTCTTATATTAAATAAAAATGATTACTTCAATATATGTTTAATAATAATTTTATTAATGTAAGAATCAGAAACTAATTAAGTAAGCTAATTTGAAAGTGAAGATTAATCTAATCCAGCTTGTCCAAATAAACCTATAATCCCTTATCTTCTTCAAAAGAGCTTTGTTTAAAAATCCGATAACGCAAGTTATCTAAATTGGTAATAACCTGATTCGAAAAGAAATAAGTCATCTTTGGCTATGATTGGAACTTCATATAGCAAATCAAAGTAGCATGAATGCTGTGATAGATTTGAATAAATTTCAAATGCTCAAAGAAAGGCTGTTTAAAGTTAGATCCAAACAATGACTTAATTGAATTAGCTAATTCTTGACCATTCTAAGTTATTGGAAGATATGATAGGAAAGAAAAGGGAGGAAGCTGATAAAAATAAATCATTATCTGATTAGTCTGATATACAAAAGGAAGTCTCTGAAAAAGAAAGGAAATATAAAGAATGGAAAGAAAAGTGTGAAAAAGAAACATAATAAAATTAATAAAGAGATCATAAAATAAAGTAATCTTGAATTAATAAATTAGAGAATTAAAGAAAAAACTAACAGAACTTGAAGAACAATCATAAAAGTCAAGCTATACTATTTCTTTAAATTAAGAAGTTGAAACATGGAAAAATAAGTTCTTAAATCTTACTAAATAAAATAATGAAACATAAAAAAAATTAAAAGAATATGAGGATGAATTAGAATAATTGAAATAAAATAAATCTTTGAGAGATAGTGATGCTTAAGTAATATATACTATATATATTATAGTAATCTACAACAACTGTGACAACAACTAGAAAAAGAGGAACTGTAAAATTAGCAGAACAAATTTAATAATGATTAAAATTATATATTTCTAATCATTTTTAAAGATCAAAATATATTTATTAAATAAAGAAAATTTATTATTTATGTAATAGTAATGTGAATGCAAAATAGAAGGAAATATGAATATTTAAATTATTGGAATATGCTTAAATGAGGAATGTTCTGAGGAATGGTTTTGTCAAAATTGTATTGGAAATCATGATAATCATAAAAATGATCTTAAGATTGGAGATTAAATGGATCAATTACTTGAAAAATATAATTCTGCTAACAATTAAAAATTCATAGAGGCTGATGAAAAATTTTAGAAACTTTAAGAATATTATGAATAAATTGAACAAGAAAATAAAAATGAAACAAAAATGTTAGAAGATCTTTAATTATTTATTAAATAAGAAAATTATGATGGTATTAGCAAATATTTCGAATAATTCAAAAAGTTTAAATAACAAATAGATAACAACAAACCAGGTAATATTGCTATTTAGTAATTTAAGCATCAATATTTAAAGAATTAAATAGACAATTGAATGAGCTAAAATAATTAGATTTTTCTGATTTATTAGATGATGAGATAGCCAAAAAAAATAAGGCAAAAATTAAAGAACACCTTACTTAAGGTAATTAATCTACTTGATTACCGCTAGCAAAGTTGTTGTTTGATGCTTAAAAGTTTAATGAAGCTTTATAAATATTAGAAAGTTCTTTAGAAATCAATAATGAATGTGTAGATGCACTTTTATTAAAAAGTAATTCTTCGTTGAATCAATTTAGGTTAGACCTTAATTTAATTAGAAATGTTTGATGATGCTATAAATTATTGCAATTAGATAATTAAATTAAATAAATAAAATTTTGAAGTCTACGTTTTAAAAAGTATTTATAATTCCATTTAAATAAGGTATTGCATTACTATTTATTTAAAAATTTAATGATGCTGTTGATGAACTCAAAAATGTCCACTTGATTTAATCTTTTAGATTCTATTATACGATACTCAATTTATTTTAAGAACTAGAAGGATTTTCTTTAGTAGTTAAAACTTTAACTTAGTCACCTACTTTTAATTTAAAGAAATAATTATAAACTTTGATAACAAATTAACAAATTCCATGTAAAATTTTTATATTTATATAGCTTAAATGGTAAGATAATAATTAACAATTATTATTGAAATAATAAAGTTGGCTAATCAAAATGAAATATAAAAAGCCCTATTTTCATTTAATTAAAGTATTAGTTTTACTAGTATTTAGATTTCTAAGTAATTGGGGATTATTAACAATTATAGGAGGTAGACTTAAGACCAAACATTGATCCTAAATAATGGTAAGAAATTGTAGAGTATCTTGATTAAAAATGTAAAAAATAAGATAACCATAACAATACTTAATAAAGCCCAGATTAATTTCAAGCATAATTCAATAACTTTATAAATGATACACCATCAAAAAGTGCAATTGTTTAATAATAGTATGAATACATTTCATGAAATTAGAGCATAAATATAGATTCAAAATAATTAAATTACACTAGAAACTCAAAAAGATGTTATTAATTTTCTGAATGACACAGTCTAACCTTAAGATACTTCTAATTCATAATAATAATCTTAATTAGCTAATAAACCTCATGCTAAACTACAATAGCAATTAGCTGATTTCTATAATGATCCACATTAGAATGAAAGGAATAAATAGTAATAACAGTATAAAATGTTTAAATTATTTAGGGTTGAACAATTAACAGATTCTGGAAAAGGATCTACCGAAATTTAAGAAGGTTCCTCAAATATTTTTAACTATTAATCATATTCATAAGTGGGAGGAATAAGTATGAGTAAATATTTTTTTATTTAAAAAGGTGTCAAATTAGATGAGGTCAATCGTTTGAAAGAAGTCTTAAAATATATAGATCAATTAATAATTTCTAATTAAAATGTCTCATAATACTATTATAAGAAAGGTAATTAGAATTTTTAGTAATAGCTATGATTCTCATTTAGCTAAATCAATTACAATAAGCTTTATAGTGTATTGATTTGGCTATACGTTTAGATAACAATGAACCTAATTATTATTATCAAAAAGGTTTAATTAGATATAATATGTAGCTTTATTGTTAATTTCCCTTGGTTAATTGTAGTAAGCTCTATCATAATTTGATAATGCTATTTAAAGAAATCCTAACTGTGCATATTATTATTATGAAAAAGGTTAAATATAGAATTAATTTTAGGAAAGGCATTATCAAGATTGAATCGTTAAGATGAAGCTGAAGAATAATTTTAAATAGCTAAATCAAAAGAAGATAATTGATGCAAAAATTTTAAATATGAATTTGAAAATAATTTCTTAAAAACCAAATTAAATTAATCATATCTAATTTTTTCATTTTCTAATGAATAATAAAGATGAAAATTAATTTTATTTCTTTTTAAGCAAACATTATTATTTTATAATCTATAAATTAAATTATAATCAAAATGTATTAGAATGACATTTAGATAAGATTATCAGAAGAACAAAAACAAAAGTTGCATGAATTGCAATTAATTTAGTAAAGAGAGCTTTATGATATGATAAGACGTCATCAGTAGGAATAGTTATAAATATTTGAGTAATTGAAAGAATAAGAATAAATCTAACACAATTTATCAAGAAGCTTATTTTCCAAAGAGATAAAATAATCAAATCTCAATTACAAACCTTATACTTTAAGTCAATATAAATTGCTGAAATTATAACCAATACTCAAGAATCCTGGTCAGGGATTAGGTCCAACATTATCAATTGAAAAATGGGAGTAATCAAAAGATAAAATGGATAGGATGCTTGAATTTGCAGAACATGTAAAATATTAAAAGATATAATTAGGTAAAATTGGAACATCGACATTTTAAGAGAAGAATACCGAAAAGTTAACCAAAATAAGTGACAGCTAGGTAAAGAGGGTTGGAATTTGCAAGGTAAGTTCTAAAACCTATTTTGATCCATTAACCATAGAAATTAAGTAGATTAAATAATGGCTAAGAGAATAATGAATTATTAGAATATGAATTAAGAAATTAAATACTTAAATAATAAATAGAAAAAATGAAGTGATATATGATATGTATATAGTTTAAACTCATAATTCATTTAACTTTGAATATTGATTTAGGTAAATTTTTATTGCTAGTATTTCCATATACTTTATTCATAACGTATAATGAATTTGTAGAATTAGATGAAGTTGTTTTTTTATGTTAAGTATTATCAGTTACTTATCGAATTGCTCGAGGTGAGCAGCTTTAATTATCTGATAAAGGTTATAATTAGCGAGGAGGCTTAATCTTTTCTAAATCAACTGACTAACCTAGTTTAGAACGAATGATATATTTATTTTCTTAATAATAAAAAACAATACATTTTTTTGAAGCTGTTGGAGTATTTGGACTCATTGTTGTTGGGAGTCTAGGAGAAGTGCTGTCATTAGACTATCTTTCAATTACTTGTTTTTAACTTTGCATCATGTTAATACTTTTTCTAGAACTAATGACATCTTATCTAATTTTGATTCATTTAATACGTTTAAAAGGAACATTGTAACAATTTATCATTGTTAGAATTAGATAATCGAATATCCTTGTATTTTTTTAAGATTGTACCAGCTAAAGTGCCCTTTTTTCCTGGCCTTGTTCTTTCTAAAAAATGTGAAAACTAATAATTTACAGCAATAATCATTAGGGTTTGATAAAATGTTAGCAAGTCTTCTTTTTCTAACCATAGGAAATTCAATTTATATATCATGAAATCTTTAATATTTAGAAGTAACCATTTTTTCACTTATTTCATGAGTTGATTAACATCTAATTTTACTTGTTGAAAACTAATTCGAAGAATCTAATTCAAATGAATGATTGATTTTAGTTGTTTAAGCATTTATTGTTTTGTGTGTAGGAGTAGAATTTGGAATTGATTCTAAATCTTAAAGTACTCGCTTAGAAATGAAATTCCAATACATAAAATAATGAAATATAAAACAAAATAAAATATATATAAATATATCAATAATCATTTAATTTCGAATTAATAACTAACTATCATAAACATAGCATAATTATAAAATAATATTCATTTATTAATGATTTCAATGCACCCTTTACTTATTATGAGCAATATTTTATCAAAAAAGTATGTGATTAATATTTCAAAATAGGATTAATTATTTATTTTACTTTAAATACTTTATTTAAAGAACATAATAATAATATAAAAAGCTAATTTAATAAGTCTTTCAAGTCCAATATCTAACATAAAATCTGGGTTATCTAAATCTAATTTACTGGATTTAAAGAAGGATAAAAAATAAAAGCCCAATTAAATTTCTAAAGTTCTTTAATTTTGTAATCATGGCCTTGTTAAAGTTTTTATTATTATCATAATGGATCAAGTTAGCATCATTATTAGAAAATGATGGCATTTCGTATGCCTAAGAATAATAAAGAGATCATTTTTTTCTGTTATTTTTATTCATGTTTGTTTGAACTCTCTTTTGTTTTCCAATTTATTCTTTTATTATTAATTTTCTATAACAAAATATTCATCAACTGCTATTTTTGTTTTCAATTAATATCATATCTTAATACTATAATCTTTAATTACTAATTTTCAAATGAACTTGATTAGTAATAAATATTAATTATCAAATTTACAATCTTTAAAGAGAAATTTTCCCTATTCCATTTAAAATTACTTCAAATATTATAATTTTCATTCATAATACTAATTCGCATATTTTTGCATATTAAAAATCATAAAGTATAGTTTTTCAAATAAATGGATACAGGGAAAATAATAAAAAGATAAAGTAATTTATTTTCCTAATATCCCACAGCTAAGTAAAGAAAATTAGAAATCAAATGCAGTACTAAGAATACTAAGTTAACCTATTTATCAAGACCAAGTTTGTTCATTCTTTAAAAAAGTTTAACTAATTTATTTTATTCTATTGATTGGTTAGTCAATTTTTGAAAAAAAATTGCCAAAATCTATGATTATTTAATTTGTTATATCTTGAACTATCATCTTTCTCCAACTTCATTCAAAAACATTAATTTTGTGAAGCTATGGTGCTTAAATTGATATTGCCTTAGAGTCCATGGTAAAATTTTCCTATATCTAATTGCGAAATTACTTTCTTCATCAATTTATAGTGATTTAAAAATTATATAATTAAAAAATTCAAATAAAAGGTCTTCTCTCCCCAGGTTTGGTTATAAATTCTCTTTTTTTGCTTGCTTTATCGAATCCAGAATTTGTCTCATACCTCCCAGGTCCTGGAGCAAAACTAAAAGATTAAAAGGGATTTTTCTTCTCTCCAATCCCTTGAGAGATTTTCTAAGTGTGAGGATAAAATATACAGAAAATCGATTTGGAACTGTCAAACAGATTTAAGGTTGATATGCCTCAGGTCCAGGTATACCGTTTTCTCTTTGATCATTAAACATTTTCCCTTTTCCTTTTAATTGAAATTAATATCTGTGCTAACCTAAATCTTAACGTACAGTGTACTCTCCAGGTCCTACAATAAACTCATAAGATACCTGGTAAGTATCTTGCTACTTCAGGAGATTAATGTTTATTATATGGTAAATATGTTTTTGAGTAAGCTTCCCACGATAAACCAAAGGTTTTTTTTAATTTATCATCACCTGGTTCTTAGCGAACTTAATATCTATCTGAACTAGGCAATTCTTTAGCATTAACCTTCTACCATTCATATTAAAATACTATTTTATTACCAAACCCTTATTACGTAAATCTATTGTATAATGAAAAATTCATTACCTTTTTCCCAATTATGAAGGTAATTCCAATTTTGTAGTTAGTTACAATAAAGATTGAGTATTAAATCTATTTGCTTTAGGGAAAGATATTTATGGAGAGGTGTGTCTCAATGTGCTTGATGAAATATTTGTACTCAATCCAACATTATTTAAAAAAAGAGTGTTTGTGCTATAACATTGCTGAGAATTGGAATTGATATCTCCAGGTTCAGTATTTCCTCAAATAACAACAAAACTTTATACCTTTGTGCTATTATTCCATTATTTAATTATAAAATAAAAGTATTCATTATTATTACAAAATTTTTGTTTATAAATAAATTTTTATGAATCAGTTGAAATTTATTAGATCAAAGAGTACTACAAGGCCAAGTCCCTTGAAAAGAATCCATTAAAAATTAAGATAAGTTTAGAAACCTGGAAAACTGAATGTTAGTGTAGGAAAGAGTAGGTAAACCTCTGAAAATAAAGAAACATTACAAATGTCAACCCCGAAAGAAAAAGTATAAAGAATACTTCAATTATTATCAAATCATTAAAAAAATAATTAAGGAACATATTTAGAAACTCCTGAAAGAACTTAGAAGGCTTTTCCTTTATCACATGAAAGAAAGTTATTCAACGAATCTATGAAACTTCAAGATTCCGCTTACGGATTCTATACACACAATATTTATCACTAATAGACATAGAATGATTAAATCAGTAATCAGTTGCCTTAAATGGAAGAAAGCACTATAACAGAAAAAATAGATGCCTTTTAATTAAAATTTTTGAAAATGAATTCTTAAGATTAAATTACTTCTGATCAACAATCCCCACCAGCTATTGTATATGGAAATACAACAATTTCATAATTCAATCAAAATAAAGAAATATTAAAATAAAGCTTTTAAATTAATTAACAACAAAATAAAGATTAAAAATATTATAATTCTTAACAGCATCAATAATTCTTTTCAAAGAATATTCCATAAAGCCAATATCACTCTCGAAAAAATTCTATAAAAAATCAATAAAAGGAGAATTTAAATGGTTAAATATCTAAAGAATCAGCATCGGCTACAAATACTGATTATAACGAAATTATTTTGGAAATCTATCCTTAATTTTTGAAATAATATCAATAAAATGCAAATACAAAGAAAATGATTAACGAAAAAAATGAGCAGCATTGTCCTACAAAATTAAGTACTAAATCTCCTTAATAAGTTAAAATGTATAGTGAGTTATTAACTGATAAATCTTTAGTTTTAATTTCACCAAAAACAGTGAAAGATATTGAAATGTAAACTAGTTTTACTTAACCTATTAATAAATCTTAGGAAAATGTTGAAAAGTAATCAATATAAACTTAATTTGATACAGTGAATGCATCTGTGTAGACAAAATAAAAAAAAAAGAATCTTGGATTATTTTAATATCAATTTTCATATCTTTCACCATAAAACAACAAAAATCGTTAAGATATTGATTTATTATCTTTGGGGGATTTCTAATCAGAAATTTTACATAGAACCTAAAGCGATTTTGAAAGAGATTTTCATTCTGGGAATAAAAAAAAATAGGAGATGCAAATTTCAAAAATAAAAGATTTTAATATAAATCCGTAAACAACTTAAAGAAAACAATAAAGATAGTAGTAAAATGATAGAAGGTATATATTTATAATTACTAATTAGATCATTTTTGATGAATTAAAAAAGCAATGTATATTTATCTCGAGAGTAATTGTTAGATCCATAAGAGGATAATCATCATCATCCTTATTATTTATAAGCAGAACCAAAGGAGATGAATTCGAATTTTTATTTATAATAAGTCAAGCCAGATTTTGTATCTTTAGAAAATTCAAAATAAAGTAGTGCAAATATATCAAGCAATAAATTAGAAAAGGGATCTTCATTTTTGAGCACATAATGTTATAAAGATCACTTAAACATTTTGTTAAGCTAATCTTAATAAGGGAATGTGAGGGCAAGTTAACATGATCCTTACTTAAATTAAAGCAGTTCAACAAAAAATAAATAAAAATACTCTTTGAGGACAACTTCTAAGAGTAATCAAAAAACGAAGAAAAAATAAAACTGCTTAAATACTAAAAAATGAAAATATATAAATATAGTTATTTTTTAATCGAAAGAATAAAATTTTCAGCATTTATGAACACTTAAGTTCTACGAATTTAAAATTGATATAAAATCAGTTAATTGATTATCCTCTGAACAATTGAGATCCTATAAGCTTAATTCTTCATCATCATCAGATTCTATACTTGTAATACTTAATCTTTAATTAACTCTTGTTAATTTCACTTCCATTGAGCTCTATTCTCTTATTTCCAAAATTGTTCTTAGACTAGGTAAAAGTTTTTATTTTCCAATCTGTTTAAATTTTGCTTTTTCATTAACAAACCAATGATGATTACTCAAATCTGACAACTCCTTTCGCTTAAGAGGATCTGGCTGGATTAAATATTATAATAGATCAATTTAAGATAGACTCAAAATAGATTTCTCGGATAAAGCCGATTCTTATCTCAACCTTAGAAAGGAGATATCAAGATTTTCAATAGATTTGTTAAAGGATTAGCAACTCCCTTTAATAATAGGTTTATAGACACAAAGATAGAATAGGGTGCAACCTATTTGGAATTAATCAATTTTTTGTGGAAACTAAACATTGCATAATTGCATCTCTGGAGGTACCCATTACTTAGGTAATTTTTTAATAAGTTAAGCAACTCCTATTTCTTCTCTGTAAGCAAAATTAATCAACACTATTTGCAACTGATCTAAAGAAGCATTTCTCAAGAGAATAATATTCTGAGGTGTTATTTAAGCATGATATAAATTTTGTTTATGTAGAAATTTTGCAAATTTTATCAGTTGAAACACTATGCTAGATATTTGAATGGAATTCATAACTAAACCTTATTCAAGTAATTTATATAAGGGATCTCCAACCCAATAATCATATAATATGTATAAATGCTGCTAATCTTCATACAAAGAACAATATTTAAGTAAGCAAGGATGTTTTAAACTCATCAAAATGTTAACTTCATTCATTAATTATTCGTAAAGAGAAGGATTTTTGTCAAAGTCTTGCAATCTAAAAATATTTACTGTGTAAACAGAATTATTCTTATTTTTAACACAAGCAAAAACATTTGGGACATTAGTTCTCTCTTTAATTGTGAATTTTTATAGAAAATTGGACAATTTACAAAATTTCTTAGCATATTTAGTCCACTAAATGTACTTAAATTCTTTACATTGGTTAAATCTTTTAATGTAGTAAAGAACAAATAAGTTTATCCTAGTTGATTACTTAGTTTTAAACCTTAAGCACTAAATTCGCGATATTCAATTCTTGTCTTTTAGATTGAACATGTTGAAAGAATTAAAAACTATTAATCCTAGATAATCATATTAGGATATAATTCCATTTTCTGCAATACAAATTTTTCCAATTCTAAATTGTATGTGTAAATCTCATTTTACAATAGATAGTCATTTTGAACAAGAGCTTTCGGTAGAGGCTTCATATTCGATTATTGCAACTCAAACTTGGAGAATGCATCTGTAAAATTTAAGAGCCATCCGAAATCATAGGAAGAATCATGATTTACATAAGTGTTTTGTTTTCTTTTTTATGTTTGCATAATTTAATTATGAAAAAAATAATATATACATCATTATGTTAAAAAAATATTTTTTCTAAAATTAAGATGGCAGTGAATACTAACTTTTTTCATCTAAAACTGTAAAAATGTTATAATAAAAACAATAGTTTTCATTATGCTGCTCTTTAGAATATGTTCCTCAATACCAACTTGCTCCCGAGAAAACTATACCAGATGACCAAGTTTATCCAATCCATTCTTTGGACCTTGCTGTATTCTCTAGAATTATTCACAGCCAAATACACCTTCTAAACTCAAGGACTTAGGAAAAAGAAGCTACTAGACACCGAAAAAAAGGAAATAATGGTGTAATTTACATAAGCAAGAACCAATTAATAAATTAAAAATTTTTTATTTTATCATCCATCATTATATATTTTAAGTAGTTTATCAGAAATTTCCAAAAGCATAAAAGGCAGAGAATTTGATATTGCTAATTTATTTAAAATTCTTGCACTAATCTTATTAAATTTATTGAAGTAGAAGATTTTTGAGTTATTCGGCTTCAATAAATCCATTTTAAAAGTGTCTATTTTTTTAATTATTCATTTATAAAAATCAAAATCTTGTTTTCTAAAGCAATATTCAAAAACTGCCAACCCTTAGCATTTATTTTCTAATTAATTAACAAAAGTGTGATTCCTTTCTGCCATTAATTACAAAGGCAATTTTCTAACATGACTTATCAAAGTATTCATTAATTTTTCAATAAATGATGCTAGGGAGAGCCTGAAGGAAAAAATAAGTCGTCGCTGCACTAAGGAAAGATTTCTCTCTTTTCGTCTAATGAATAGAATTGTTATCTAAAATCAACTTAAATTATTCATTCAGGTAATGATTTGTTAAGCTCTTATTAATAGCTATAGATGGAATGAAAAAATTAGCTATTTTGCAATTAGTAAATGAGCAAGAAGGCTTTTCAAGTGATTTCTTTAAGACTCTGAATAAAATTATTTTGCCCCCTTCGTTTGCCAAGCCTTCATAGCTCTGTTAGTTTCCAAAAATTGTTTCATCAATAACAATATAATTAAATAAATTAACTCTATTCATGTTTTTTTCAATCAACTGTTTGCTTTGCTTCGATAATCCTTATTTTAAGGAGTTTTGTAAAAAACTTTATAATATTGATTTTAATAATTTAGAATCAAAGGCTCAAAATGGTGATTTGAAAGAATTAAATAAACTGTTCTTAAATTATTGCAATTTTTATAATTTTCTAGGAGTATGATAATCAAAATGGCAATTGTGATGACTTTACTTTTATTAAATTTGGCCTAAATTTTCCATTTCACCTCAGCTTAAGTTTGACTATATTACCATAGTTCTGTTTATGTAAGAATTTAACATATATTCGTAAATTTTCACATAATGGTATTAGCATTTTAATTTGAAAATAAATGGTTTATCAGCTTCATCTTTCTAACCTTTATAATGTTTAACATTCTTTTCTTGAGATAAATGAAACAAATTTCTTACTTAAATTCTTCAGGTGTTTTTTTTTTTAATGAATGGCCTGTATGGTTAAAAAAAAATTCTTTTCTAATTGAAGAATTTAATTATTCTATTATTTATACACATTAAATAAACAAATGAAAACTCATTTGAAATTATAAAATTCATTTTTTAACTATAAAATGTAAAGTTCAACTTGAAAAAAGTGTGCTAATTTAATGACAAGTACATTTTTTTGTATGTTATATAAACATTTTCTTAGTTTATTCAACTTTATTTATTTCAAGAAACGAAAAGAAGCCTTAGATCAAAATAATATGGTAAGAATTAAAAATTGTTTATTTAAACTAAGAAAGGGCATCCATTGAGTCTCTCTCCAAATAGTCATAGTATTGAAAAATATACCTGAATAATATTAGCTCTGAACAGTAATTAACAATAAACTTTAGGCTTTAATTACTAAAATAATAAAAACTGAAATTTCATCTTCACAAAATCAATCAGAGCTATGATGCATATATGGGAATGACTATAAATTTAGGTTTTTATTAGACGTTTTACATTAACTTAACGAAAAAATTACATATTTTTATCTTTATTAATAATACCTTGAAAGAAATAACTTGTTGATTTTTTTGTGGAAAAACAAATTTTTCAATTTTTTGTAAAAATAAAAAAAAAGCTTAACAACTAAAATAGTTTTTTCAACTTACAATTTTATATTTAATTTTTAAATCCAGATAAAATTTCAAAAGATTTTTATAATACTATTGGTTTCTTAGTCAAATTAAACAATTGTCTTAATTGTAATGATAAGATTGCATGTTTTACTAATTAAATTAACTAGTTTGAAATTCTTGATTTTGGACACGAAATATATTCGAGAGAACATCTATACGTCATTTCGTTTTAAAATTCTTACATAAGGCAGCAAATAAAATCTTGTTTATACTATGTAAATTATGAATTTCTATTATTAGAGTCATAGATATGAAAAAAGTCAATACAAAGAAGTTGACATAGTATTTGCAATTTGAAACTTTAATTTGGAAATGGATAGGAGAAATTTAGAAGGTCTAAACTTCTGATAAATAAACTAATATATTTACAATCATAATTTTTCCTTTTAAAATAAAGTGAAGAGATTCTGAACAAATTATGGCATTCATTCAGCCAGCTAATTAGAGCTTAGGAATGGAATTTTGAACAATAAGAAAAGACACCTTAAAAGAGAATTAAATATTAATATTAAAATGCAGAAAAAAATGAATAACAAATTTAACTCTGTTATAAAGTAAATTTTATTAATTTGTGCAAAATTAAAAATCATGTTGTAAAGAAGTCAAATTTTTCTTTAGAATATCTTATTTATATCAAATAATTTATTGAATATTGATAGATTATGTCAATAAAATTATGCAAGAAAATTTTAACTCTAGAAAAGGTTTTTAAGATCTTTAAAATACTGTAAATAGAAGAGATATAGGAATAAGACCTTTGAAAATTTAGTTGGTTTTGAGTTCTTTTAACAAGAGTTTTTGTGAGGAAGAAGTAAACAAGTAAAAAATAAAGACTTAAGAAAGTTTTAATAATTGATTGCTTTAATAAACTGTCATTAAGAATCATTAGTCTATTAGGAAATTATATGAAAATGCATTCATTAAGAAGAAATAAACTTAAATTTACAAGACCCCTAATATAAGGAGGATTTTATTAATGAAATCAATCAAGCTTGAAGATTAGTTTATGCAAATCTTAAATCTAGATTTCCGAGCCCACAGCCTTTATTATACTCTATTCTTCTTAATGTTAGAAGATTAAATAGTGTTCACTTAACCAGATGGAATGATAATAATCTAAAAGTCATCATTAGTAGTGAATCTCTCCAGTCTCTTAATTTCTTGTTAAAGGCGAAGAAACTTTTCAAGTGGTTACATTCTTGGCTAATTAAATTAGAAACAAAAATGTATAAGGCTTTTGGGCTTGAATTAGGAAGTGAATTAAAAAAAGAGTATAAGACTTGGGAAGATGTTTTATTGGAACCAAAGATTCTATTTCGCTAATCTGTAAAGTAAGAATCATATCACTGAGAAATTAATTGAATGTCAACTAATCTAATGAACCTAATAATGAAATTAAACTTTAATATATCCATAATAATTCAAAAGCTTTAAGTTTAACTTTATCAGATTCAACTTTATTTAGTAATTAATTAGATTATGTATAAACAAAATAAAATATAAATAAGATATAGGTAGAAGTGATCAATAACTAATTTGCAATGCTTTTTAAATGTGCGAACGTAACTTTGGAAACCACCATTCAACTTAGAATAAAAATTTTTGTTAAGAAACCCAAAGAAATTACTCCTTGTATTTCTGAAAATACATATAGAGAGATATTTCATGATTATATTAATATGTCCCTAGTCTTAAGGTTGATAAGAGGAAATGCATCTAAATTTATTTGGTACGAAAATCCAGAGTGGCTAGCACTTTTATTCTATGAAGTAGAGTAGTGATTTAAATCCACTCTTTATATGATTATTTCACGATGAAAAGATTTAGTTAGTGTTTTATAATTAAATAAGAATCAGAATGCTTAAGGAATATTTATTGGCTCAATCTTTAGATTTATGAGATGGTTTGAGAACAAAGAGATTTAAATTCTTTAAACTTTTTTGATGATCAACATCTATATCAGGTATGCTGGGTTTGTAGCTTACAGTAATGAACCCAATTTGGTGTTGACGAAGATGTGATTTATTATCGTAACTGGTTGCAAGCCCTTTGTCTCGAAGATTTAAGTAATTTAAAGAAAAGCACAAACTTTATTTAGGTTTGGATCAGGTAGAAAAAAAGTATAATTTCAATGAGAATTATTCAGCGTATCTATTATTTAAGATAATTAATTAATAATTGATACAGAAATAATTGAAATGATTGTGATGAAATTTTAATATAGATTCAGATTAGATATTACAGAGAAAAGCATTCAGGTAGAGAAAATATTACAAATCCTGGCAAATAAATAATCAAGATAAGTTTAACTTGCTTTATAAAGAAAAATTTTAATTTCACTGTGTTGATGGATAATAATTGGATCTACCATTATCTTTTTATTCCTTTATATATGATGCTAAAAGTTGAATATAATTTCAGATAGATTTTATTGAAAAACTATTTCATTTGGAAAAAATTATTTTAGTTAATTTATCAATCAATACATAAAGTCTCAAATAGTTTAATAATCCACATATATTGTAATAGAGTCTTTAATTACTCATATTGGATTTTTTTACTTCAAATTTTGGAAAGCTTAAGTTCTCTAACTGTATATTAGATATTTTATAACATTCTTTATAAATTTTTAATTTTAGAATATTCTAAATGAATCTGAAGTTTACTTGTTATATCCAAAAATTAGTAGTTATAGTAATATTTCTTAAATAACATTTTAAAATATTGGTGAAGTTTAAATTTGAGATATTTAAATATTGCTAATATACATAAATAAGATTTGTATAAGAAAAAATAATAACAACAAACCTTCCCTTAATCAAATAACATTTGAGTAAACATCCAGACTTTAATTGTAAAACAAAAAAATTACTGAGATATATTACATTGTAATTTATGATCACACTTTTTCAATTTTTTAGTAATATAATGATAATACTTATTATTTCAAATTAAATGAAATTTTTCAATATTTCTTGCTTTGAAAATGATTAGAGTGGAAAGTTGTAAAATTAAGTGTTTAAGACGACAATTCATAATTTTTCTTATCTAATAAGATTCAACGATCTATAGGACTTGATTCAGCAATAATAAGTACAAATAGTTATTTAAGATAATCGATTTAAAAAATAATTAGGAATAAGATTAATGAAAAAAAAATTTCATGAAAAATATAATGCTAAAATGTTTGAAGCTCTCAATTATTAATAAAATAAAAGCAGTTATTAAGAAAGAAATTTCAAAACCAATTACAATTAGAAAAAAATAGTGACATCAATAATTAACAAATGTGAAGATTCATTTTAAAAAAATCATTCATCCTTCGAGAAAAAAAATAAAAACAAATATAATCATAAATGTATCGATCTAAATGAATTTTATTTTACAGAACTTGTTTTTAATAAAATGCAAACATTTGAAGAAGCATTGCAATTAATTGATTTAGCTCTTTAAAAAAGCCCCGAAAATCCAGAGTACTAAAATTGCAAAGGTAAATAAAAATCATTTAATAAAAGCGATTGCGTTAGCAAAAATAAATAGATTTGGAGAAGCATTACAATATTTTGATTCAGCAATTAAAAAAATCCCTGACAATGCAGATTATTATTATAATAAAGGTATCTTTCTAAATGAATGTTTATTTTCCAGCACTTGTTTTAGGAAAACTGAATAGATATGAAGAAGCATTGGAATATTACGATTCAGCTATTTAGCAAAATCCAGAAGATGCAGATTATTATTATAATAAAGGTATCTTTCTAAATGCATGTTTATTTCCAGCACTTGTTTTAGGGAAAATGAATAGATTTGAAGAAGCATTGGAATATTACGATTCAGCTATTTAGAAAAATCCAGAAGATGCAGATTATTACAATAACAAAGGTATATTTATCAACTTATCCTTTCTCATTAGCAATTACTTTAGATAAGTTGAATAAATTGGAGGAAGCATTAGAATTTTATGATTTAGCTATTGAAAAATACCCATAAAATCCGAGCTATTATTATAATAAAGGTATATGTACAATTTATATTAAAATATAGCAAACATATTATAAAAAATGAATAGATACGAAGAAGCATTGGAATATTACAATTCAGCTATTTAGCAAAATCCAGAAGATGCAAATTATTACAATAACAAAGGTATATTTATCAACTTATCCTTTCTCATTAGCAATTACTTTAGATAAGTTGAATAAATTGGAGGAAGCATTAGAATTTTATGATTTAGCTATTGAAAAATACCCATAAAATCCGAGCTATTATTATAATAAAGGTATCTGTACAATTTATGTTAAAATATAGCAAATACATTATCAAAAATGAATATATATGAATAAGCATTGAATAATTATAATTATGCAATAGTTAAAAACCCAGATGATTTAGACTATTAAACTAACAAAGGTATTTTTTTAAGCATATCTCCTTATTAGAAAAAACTATATTATAGCACCATTCGAGTTATATAAATAACATTACAAAGGATTTAAGCTAACAATATTTTACTGAAGATAAATTTATAAGTTAAGATTAATATAATACCAAAAGTAAACAGTCTAATAGATACTTATATAGCAATCACAATATGTAAAATGAATAAATGTTAAGAATCATTATAAAAATTTGATTAAGCGATTATGAATCATTCATAGAATTCCGATTAATATAATGATAAAGATATAAGTAAATCATACTTGAAAAGCAATCGCATTAGGTTACATGAATAAATTAGAAGAAGTGTTGCAATTAATTGATTTAGCTCTTTAAAAAAGCCCCGAAAATCCAGAGTACTAAAATTGCAAAGGTAAATAAAATCATTTAATAAAAGCGATTGCGTTAACAAAAATAAATAGATTTGGAGAAGCATTACAATATTTTGATTCAGCAATTAAAAAAATCCCTGACAATGCAGATTATTATTATAATAAAGGTATCTTTCTAAATGAATGTTTATTTTCCAGCACTTGTTTTAGGAAAACTGAATAGATATGAAGAAGCATTGGAATATTACGATTCAGCTATTTAGCAAAATCCAGAAGATGCAGATTATTATTATAATAAAGGTATCTTTCTAAATGCATGTTTATTTCCAGCACTTGTTTTAGGGAAAATGAATAGATTTGATGAAGCATTGGAATATTACGATTCAGCAATTAAAAAAATCCCTGACAATGCAGATTATTATTATAATAAAGGTATCTTTCTAAATGAATGTTTATTTTCCAGCACTTGTTTTAGGAAAACTGAATAGATATGAAGAAGCATTGGAATATTGCAATTCAGCTATTTAGAAAAACCCAGAAGATGCAGATTATTATTATAATAAAGGTATCTATCTAAATACATGTTTATTTCCAGCACTTGTTTTAGGAAAAATGAATAGATTTGAAGAAGCATTGGAATATTACGATTCAGCTATTTTGAAAAACCCAGACAACACAGAATATTATAATGGCAAAGGTTTAATATATTATAAATTTTTTATTAGCAATTACTTTAGAGAGAATGAATAGATTTGAAGAAGCACTAGAATATTACGATTCAGCTATTTAGATAAACCCAGACAAGGCAGAATATTTTAATGGCAAAGGTATAATATATTATTACTTTTTTCTAAGCAATTACTTTATAGTAAATGAATAGATTTGAAGAAGCATTAGTATATTACAATGCAGCTATTTAGAAAAACCCAGAAAATGGAGACTTTTATCATGGCAAAGGTATAATATATTCTAAATTTTTATTAGCAATTGCTTTACAGAAAATGAATAGATTAGAAGAAGCATTAGAATATTACGATTCAGCTATTTAGAAAAACCCAGAAAATGGAGACTTTTATCATGGCAAAGGTATAATATATTATAAAATTTTATTAGCAATTGCTTTACAGAAAATGAATAGATTAGAAGAAGCATTAGAATATTAAGATTCAGCTATTTAGAAAAACCCAGAAGATGCAGATTATTATTATAATAAAGGTATCTATCTAAATACATGTTTATTTCCAGCACTTGTTTTAGGAAAAATGAATAGATTTGAAGAAGCATTGGAATATTACGATTCAGCTATTTTGAAAAACCCAGACAACACAGAATATTATAATGGCAAAGGTTTAATATATTATAAATTGTTTATTAGCAATTACTTTAGAGAGAATGAATAGATTTGAAGAAGCACTAGAATATTATTATTTAGCTATTCAGATATATCCAGACAATGAAATTTACTGCTATCACATAGGTTTTATCTTAATTACTTATTTATAGGTGATATTCTAGAGAAAATGTTCAGATTTGAAGAAGCATTAAAATATTACGATTCAGCTATTTAGATAAACCCAGACAAGGCAGAATATTTTAATGGCAAAGGTATAATATATTATTACTTTTTTCTAAGCAATTACTTTATAGTAAATGAATAGATTTGAAGAAGCATTAGTATATTACAATGCAGCTATTTAGAAAAACCCAGAAAATGGAGACTTTTATCATGGCAAAGGTATAATATATTATAAAATTTTATTAGCAATTGCTTTACAGAAAATGAATAGATTAGAAGAAGCATTAGAATATTAAGATTCAGCTATTTAGAAAAACCCAGAAGATGCAGATTATTATTATAATAAAGGTATCTATCTAAATACATGTTTATTTCCAGCACTTGTTTTAGGAAAAATGAATAGATTTGAAGAAGCATTGGAATATTACGATTCAGCTATTTTGAAAAACCCAGACAACACAGAATATTATAATGGCAAAGGTTTAATATATTATAAATTGTTTATTAGCAATTACTTTAGAGAGAATGAATAGATTTGAAGAAGCACTAGAATATTATTATTTAGCTATTCAGATATATCCAGACAATGAAATTTACTGCTATCACATAGGTTTTATCTTAATTACTTATTTATAGGTGATATTCTAGAGAAAATGTTCAGATTTGAAGAAGCATTAAAATATTACGATTCAGCTATTTAGATAAACCCAGACAAGGCAGAATATTTTAATGGCAAAGGTATAATATATTATTACTTTTTTCTAAGCAATTACTTTATAGTAAATGAATAGATTTGAAGAAGCATTAGTATGTTACAATGCAGCTATTTAGAAAAACCCAGAAAATGGAGACTTTTGTCATGGCAAAGGTATAATATATTATAAAATTTTCTAAGCAATTACTTTATAGTAAATGAATAGATTTGAAGAAGCATTAGAATATTACAATGCAGCTATTTAGAAAAACCCAGAAAATGGAGACTTTTATCATGGCAAAGGTATAATATATTATAAAATTTTATTAGCAATTGCTTTATAGAAAATGAATAGATTAGAAGAAGCATTAGAATATTACGATTCAGCTATTTAGATAAACCCAGACAAGGCAGAATATTTTAGTGGCAAAGGTATATAATATTATTACTTTTTTCTAAGCAATTACTTTATAGAAAATGAATAGATTTGAAGAAGCATTAGAATATTACGATGCAGCCATTCATAAAAATCCAGAAAATGAAAACTATTTTCTTTACAAAGGTGTAATTTACTGGTGAATTATTTCATAGCCTATGCATTACAATAATTGAATAGATTTGATGAATCATTGGAATATTATGATTATGCTATTTAAAAAAACCCAGAAAAAGCAGAATGTTTTAATGGCAAAGGTATCTAATATGTAAAATATTTACTTAGCGATTGTCTTAGGATTAATGTATAGATATGAAGAATCATTAGAATATTATGATTTAGCTATTCAGAAAAACCCTTAATAAGCAAATTATTATAATGGCAAAGGTTAAAATATGTAAACAATTTTATAGCGATTATCTTACAATTAATGCATAGATCTGATGAATCATTGGAATGTTATGATTTAGCGATAAGGAAAAATCCAGAAAATGGAGAGTATTATTATGGCAAAGGTATAAATTAATGATGCCTACATTCCTAGCTATTTCTTTACATGCATAGATTAGATATCAAGAAGCGTTGCATTATTATGATAAAGCTATAGAGAAAAATCAAAACCAAGCAGACTTTTATTATGGTAAAGGTATAAATTAATGAGATATACAAACTAAGCGATTACATTAGGATTAATGAATAGATATGAAGAATCATTAGAATACTATGATTCAGCTATTCAGAAAAACCCAGAAGAAGCAGACTACTACTGTGGCAAAGGTTAAACTCTGGATATTGACTATTTTAGCTCTTTCCTTAATAAAAATGAACAGATTTGAAGAATCATTAGAATATTATGATTTAGCCATTCAGAAAAACCCTGAATAAGCAAACTTTTACTGTGGCAAAGGTATAAAATGTATTGATCAATATTTCTTAGCGATTGCCTTACGTTTAATGAACAGAGTTGAAGAATCATTAGAATATTATGATTTAGCCATTCAGAAAAACCCAGAAGAAGCGGAATTTTATTATGGCAAAGGTATAAATTACTGAACAATACTATCTTAGCGATTGCTTTATGGAAAATGAATAGTTATGTAGATGCATTGAAATATTAAGAATTAGCTATTCAGAAAAACCCAGAATAGGCAGACTATTATTATAGCAACGGTATAAATTAATAATATTAAAAAATTTAGCGATTGTCTTAGGATTAATGAATAGATATGAAGAATCATTAGAATATTATGATTTAGCTATTCAGAAAAACCCTTAATAAGCAAATTATTATAATGGCAAAGGTTAAAATATGTAAACAATTTTATAGCGATTATCTTACAATTAATGCATAGATCTGATGAATCATTGGAATGTTATGATTTAGCGATAAGGAAAAATCCAGAAAATGGAGAGTATTATTATGGCAAAGGTATAAATTAATGATATTTAAAAACTTAGCGATTGTCTTAGTATAAATGAATAGATATGTCGAATCATTGGAATATTATGATTAAGCCATTCAGAAAAACCCAGTAGAAGCCAAATTTATTTATGGCAAAGGTAATTTACTGATCATTGTTTTCTTGGCGATTGCCTTAGGATTAATGAATACATTTGAATAAACATATTAATATTACGATTCAGTTATTTAGAAAAATCCAAAAATTGAAGATTATTAAAATGGCAAAGGTACTAGTTATTATAATGTTTTCTTAGTAATTACTTTAGAAAAAATGGAAAAATTTGATGAATAATTGGAGTATTATGATTCAGCTATTCAGAAGAACCCAGAAAACGCAGAGTATTATTATAGCAAAGGTATAAATAAATGATGTATTTATTCTTAGCGATCGCCTTATTCAAGATGAATAGATTTTAAGAAGCATTAATGTTCTTTGATTCAGCTATTCAGAAAAACCCAGAAAATGCAGATTATTATTATAGCAAAGGTATAAATAAATGATGAATATATTCTTAGCGATCGCCTTAGTTTTAATGTATAAATTTTAATAAGCATTGAAAAATTTTGATACAGCTATTCAAAAAAACTCCGAAGATGCAGATTATTATAATGGCAAAGGTATAATTTAATGATGTATATTTTTGTTTAGCGATTGCATTATATAAAATGAATAGATTTGAAGAAGCATTGGAGTATTATGATTCAGCTATTCAGAAAAACCCAGAAAATGCAGATTATTATTAAGGCAAAGGTATAATTTAATGATTTATATTTTGTTTAGCGATTGCCTTAGAAAAAATTAATAGATTTGAAGAAGCATTGGAATAGTATGATTCAGCTATTCAGAAAAACCCAGAAAAAGCAGATTATTATAATGGCAAAGGTATAATTTAATGATGTATATTTTTGTTTAGCGATTGCATTATATAAAATGAATAGATTTGAAGAAGCATTGGAGTATTATGATTCAGCTATTCAGAAAAACCCAGAAAATGCAGATTATTATAATGGCAAAGGTATAATTTAATGATGTATATTTTTGTTTAGCGATTGCATTATATAAAATGAATAGATTTGAAGAAGCATTGGAGTATTATGATTCAGCTATTCAGAAAAACCCAGAAAATGCAGATTATTATAATGGCAAAGGTATAATTTAATGATGTATATTTTTGTTTAGCGATTGCATTATATAAAATGAATAGATTTGAAGAAGCATTGGAGTATTATGATTCAGCTATTCAGAAAAACCCAGAAAATGCAGATTATTATAATGGCAAAGGTATAATTTAATGATGTATATTTTTGTTTAGCGATTGCATTATATAAAATGAATAGATTTGAAGAAGCATTGGAGTATTATGATTCAGCTATTCAGAAAAACCCAGAAAATGCAGATTATTATAATGGCAAAGGTATAATTTAATGATGTATATTTTTGTTTAGCGATTGCATTATATAAAATGAATAGATTTGAAGAAGCATTGGAGTATTATGATTCAGCTATTCAGAAAAACCCAGAAAATGCAGATTATTATAATGGCAAAGGTATAATTTAATGATGTATATTTTTGTTTAGCGATTGCATTATATAAAATGAATAGATTTGAAGAAGCATTGGAGTATTATGATTCAGCTATTCAGAAAAACCCAGAAAATGCAGATTATTATAATGGCAAAGGTATAATTTAATGATGTATATTTTTGTTTAGCGATTGCATTATATAAAATGAATAGATTTGAAGAAGCATTGGAGTATTATGATTCAGCTATTCAGAAAAACCCAGAAAATGCAGATTATTATAATGGCAAAGGTATAATTTAATGATGTATATTTTTGTTTAGCGATTGCATTATATAAAATGAATAGATTTGAAGAAGCATTGGAGTATTATGATTCAGCTATTCAGAAAAACCCAGAAAATGCAGATTATTATAATGGCAAAGGTATAATTTAATGATGTATATTTTTGTTTAGCGATTGCATTATATAAAATGAATAGATTTGAAGAAGCATTGGAGTATTATGATTCAGCTATTCAGAAAAACCCAGAAAATGCAGATTATTATAATGGCAAAGGTATAATTTAATGATGTATATTTTTGTTTAGCGATTGCATTATATAAAATGAATAGATTTGAAGAAGCATTGGAGTATTATGATTCAGCTATTCAGAAAAACCCAGAAAATGCAGATTATTATTAAGGCAAAGGTATAATTTAATGATGTATATTTTTGTTTAGCGATTGCATTATATAAAATGAATAGATTTGAAGAAGCATTGGAGTATTATGATTCAGCTATTCAGAAAAACCCAGAAAATGCAGATTATTATTAAGGCAAAGGTATAATTTAATGATGTATATTTTTGTTTAGCGATTGCATTATATAAAATGAATAGATTTGAAGAAGCATTGGAGTATTATGATTCAGCTATTCAGAAAAACTCAGAAAAAGCAGATTATTATAATGGCAAAGGTATAAATTAATGATATTTTCTTAGCCTTGTGCATTTCCAAATTTATGAAAATCAATACGTTAGAAGAAATATCAGAAAATCTTATTTCTAAAATTCAGACCAACTTATAAAGTTAAAAATATTTTAATATCAAAGGTATAATTAATAATTTACACTTTTAGAAACACAATAACTACTCTAATCTATCATTTCTAAATCGATTTTACTTTGAGACATATTGATATGTTTTTTTTTTTAATTATGAAACCATTTATGTTTAAACCAATCTAAATACTTATTTGATTATAAAATTCAATAAAATATTGATTTAATTCTAAATACATACCTACTATTTTTTTTAGTTTTTTGAGAAATCATGCATTCATTTTAAGACTGTAATGCGAATGAGAAGTGTGACCCATTTTGCTTAAAATCGATTCCTCTATTAATTAAGTATTATGTGTGGCTTGAAATTTTTAACAACTAATTTGATAAATATTCAGATGTTGCAGTGATGTTTTATAAAGGTTACCTACAAATATCTTGTGTCAATTTTGTCCCACATTATTGTTGAAATATACATTTATGGAACCCTCACCACTATTGTTACAATTGTCCCCTCTACATATTTATGTATGATATGTCTATGTTTATATACTTTTATTATGAAGATGCTATTATAGTAGTTTCATACTCATAGTGTTAGACTCAAAATTCAATCCCCCCTTTGATTTTTCTTTAGGTATAAAATGAATATCCACATTTTTGTGAAACTGAGAAAAGAAGTAAACATGAGATCTTCACAATTAATCTTAGAATTGTAAGGGCTATCAAATGATGCATGATGGGTTTGGCCTGAATATATATATATATATATATTAATAATAATATGGATAATAATAATAATAATAATAATGATAGATATGATAATAATAATAATAAATAATAATAATTTTCCTTTATACCATATATATAGTGGGGTTGGGTGCAGGGTAAATGGGTGTCCAAAAGGGGTTGGTTTTTACTATCATAATAATAATAGCTATACCTAAGTTGTGATAGTACTATGGTCGGTTTTTACTATCATAATAATAATAGCTATACCTAAGTTGTGATAGTACTATGGTCGGTTTTTACTATCATAATAATAATAGCTATACCTAAGTTGTGATAGTACTATGGTCGGGGCCGAAGGAA